ACGGGAAGTCTGAATTTTTTAAGAAGTTGCACGAGACCCTGATGGACCATATGGATTACAACATGATTTTGATGGGAGATATGAATGGAGTGGTATCCACATATATGGACAAGGCACAAAGACAGGTAGTCACCAAGGATGGTAGACTACCGAAAACTTTTTGACATGACAGACAACTTGGATTTAGTTGACATTTGGAGAATAAGAAATCCCATGGCTAAAGAGGGAACTTTCTTTTCTGAAGCCAAAATGACATGGACAAGAATTGACCAAATTTGGATAACTAGAGGAATGGCACCAAAGACAAGAAAGGTGGAAATCTGCCCGAAAACTTGCTCCGACCATAATGCTGTTAAGATGGAAATGAGACTAACACCAACTGGCTCCTTCAGATGGAAGATGAATGACACCTTATTTAGAGATGAAGAAGTACTTAAGAAGGCCCAAAAAACCCTGAGAGATTATTTTGAGATAAACCTCAGTACCAACGTGGAGAAAAGAGTAATCTGGGACGCAAGTAAAGCGGTTATGAGAGGGTTCTTAATACAACAGAATGCAGTAAAGAAAAGAACTCAAAATGAGAAGAAGGATAAGATAATGGACAAAATAAAGGAATGTGAAAAAGACTGAGAGTAAACCCAAAATCTCAAGAGATTCTGAGAGAGTTAAAGTTATATCAAGTACAATATATGAAAATGATGAATCAGGAAATAGAATGGAAAATTAAACAAATGAGACAAAAGACTTTTGAGTCGGCCAATAAATGTGGTAAACTGTTGGTATGGCAAATGAAAAAGAGACGAAAACTAAATACAATTACGAACTTAGAAGTGGAAGGAAGAAACATACAGAACCCTGCAGAGATCAGAAGTTGTTTCCAGAGGTATTTTAAACGATTATACACTCAAGGGCCATTGAAAGAAACAGACCTAGACCAATTTTTGAAAACAAATGGATTACAAAAAATATCTCAAGAAAATAAATTAATTTTGAATCATAGAATAACCGAACAGGAAATAGAAGGTGCCATTCAAAACATGCAATTGGGTAAATCTCCAGGACCAGACGGCTTGACTTCTAGATACTACAGATCCTTAAAAGAATGGTTAATTCAACCTTTGAAAGAGGTCTGTAACGAAATAATGGAGGGGGAAAGAGCACCAGAGTCGTGGAAAGAAGCATATATTACATTTGTACCAAAAACAGAGACTGAAAAGACACAGCTTAAGAACTACCGCCCTATATCATTACTTAATGTGGATTACAAAATTTTTGCAGATATTTTGGCTAAGAGATTTAAAAAAGTGTTGATGGAAGAGATTCACAAAGACCAAGCGGGCTTTCTCCCAGGAAGACATTTGTCTGACAATTTGAGGAATATAATTGATATTTTGGAAAAATTAGAAGTGAACATAAACACTAAAGCAGTTTTGATATTTGTAGACGCGGAGAAAGCCTTTGACAATATTTCTTGGAATTTTCTGAAGAAGAATCTACAGGGTATGGGGGTAGGCCAAGGTTTGGAGAATGGTATAAGGGCAATTTATTCAGAACAAAAGGCTAAACTAATTGTAAATAATGTTGTGACGGAAGAACTTAAAATTGAAAAAGGGACACGACAAGGTTGCCCAATTTCCCCGCTTCTTTTTATTTCGGTCCTGGAGGTTTTTCTGAATATGATTAGAAGGGACCAGTTGGTTAAAGTTATACAGGTCGGAACTAAACAGTACAAATTGAGAGCATTTGCAGATGACTTAGTATTGACGTTACAGGAGCCAGAATCTAGTACTAAAAGGGATTTAGAACTGATTCAAGAATTTGGTCAAGTGGCAGGATTTAAATTGAACAAGTCAAAAACCAAGGTTTTAGAGAAAAATTTAACACCGATTGAAAGAGAGAGGTTTCAGAATGAGACAGGTTTAACAGTGGTTAAGAAAGTTAAATACCTGGGGATTAACATGACAGCAAAAATGGGAACTTATTTAAAGATAACTATGAAAAATGTTGGTCTGAAGTGAAAAAATATTTAGAAATTTGGTCAAATTTGAAGCTTTCACTGCTGGGCCGTATTGCTGCGATAAAAATGAATGTATTGCCTAGAATGTTGTTTTTGTTTCAAACTTTGCAAATCGTGGACAAAATGGATTGTTTCAAGAGGTGGCAGAAAGATATTTCTAAATTTGTCTGGCAGGGCAAGAAGCCCAGAATAAAATTTAAAATACTAACGGATGCAAAGGAAAGAGGTGGATTTGCCCTGCCAGACCTCAAACTTTACTATGAATCAGCAGCTTTTTGCTGGTTGAAAGAATGGCTACTTCTTGAAAACACTGACATTTTGGACTTGGAAGGTTTTAACAATGTATTTGGATGGCATGCATATCTATGGTATGATAAGGTCAAAGCACATAAAGCATTTAAAAACCACATTGTCAGGAAAGCGCTGTTTAATGTTTGGATAAGATATAAGGATTTGCTAGAAAACAAAACCCCAAGGTGGCTGTCACCAATGGAAGCGAAAGCCTTGAAAAAGATCAATATGGAGGTCAAATGGCCGAAATATTGGGAAATTTTGGAACAAGACGGAGATAGACTGAAATTGCAGAGTTTTGAAAAATTAAAAAACAAAGTGCGAGACTGGCTTCATTATTTTCAGATAATGGAGGCATTTAAATTGGACAAGAAAATTGGCTTCCAGGTGGAAAGATCAAAATTAGAAACTGACCTGTTAGAACCCAAAACTAAGAATTTGTCAAGAATGTATAACTTGCTGCTGAAATGGAATACTCAGGATGAAACGGTAAAATTGGCTATGATTAAATGGGCACAGGACGTTGGACATAACATTATGTTTGCTGACTGGGAACAGTTGTGGACCACAGGTATGAAATTTACGGCATGTAATGCCTTAAGAGAGAATATTATGAAAATGATATACAGGTGGTACATAACCCCAGTCAAGCTTGCAAAAATCTATCACTTGCCCGATAATAAATGTTGGAAATGTAAAGAAACTGAAGGTACATTTTTTCACCTTTGGTGGACGTGCCCAAAGATTAAGGCTTTCTGGGAAATGATATATAATGAATTAAAAAAGGTATTCAAATATACCTTCCCTAAGAAACCAGAGGCCTTTCTCCTGGGCATAGTCGGCCAAACGGCGTTAAAAAAGGATAGAACTTTCTTTATGTATGCAACAACAGCAGCAAGAATACTCATCGCAAAGTATTGGAAGACACAAGAACTTCCCACGCTGGAGGAATGGCAGATGAAACTGATGGACTATATGGAACTGGCGGAAATGACTGGCAGAATCCGTGACCAGGGAGAAGAGTCGGTGGAGGAAGATTGGAAGAAATTCAAAGATTATCTACAGAAACACTGCAAAATTAATGAATGTTAGAGTGATGTTGGATTGAAAATAAGTGGTTTCCAGCTGTACAGGATAAAGTTATAGATAGATCAAGATTAAAGATTAGGATTAAAGAAGTTTAAGGAAATGGAAATTTGGTACTTAAGAGGTAAAATTTTAACGTTATATTACAGTGAGATTAAAGATTAGGATTAAAGAAGTCTAAGGAAATGGAAATTTGGTACTTAAGAGGTAAAACTTTGATGTTATATTATACTAAGATTAAAGACTGGGATTAAAAAAGTGGAAAAGAAATTGCTGGACAAACAATTTGGACTGGAATACAAAAGAGGGAGGTATGAGGAAGTCCAGAAAATAAGTAAATTTAAAAACGGAAATGAAAAAGTGATATTGTTTTTAATTGTTCTTTTTTTTGTGTTTTTTGTGTTTATCTTCCTTTTTTTGGATTATGTATTGTGTATTTGTGTATTTCTTTTTTATGTCTTTCTGTCTAACTTTTTATTGAAACCTTAATAAAAATCATTTATTAAAAAAGAAAAGAAAAAAAGAAAACGTTGCCAGTATTAAGATAAATTCAACAGTGTAAATAAGTCTTGATGGATGTAATAATGGAATGCTGAATGGTTTAGCTTATGTAAAATATGCAGAGATTTATAATATGCAAAATGAACCATGGAAATAGAAGAAGTCATTGATATTTTAAGGTTCCTTAAATGAGTATTCTAAATTATAAAACAGAAAATTACACACACACACACACACAGTGTTTAGAAGGAAGATGTGAGTTTTTAGTTTGCAGTTGCTGTTTTAACATTCCAAAGCCTCTCCTTGCTTTATCTTTTTTTGAGGGTTCTTTTTTTTAACAAAAGTCAATCAAGCGCTCGAATTTCCCCGCCAAAGAGGCCACGTGCCTTGCCGGCGGGGGCGGGGCCGAGCGCGAGAGACGCTTCGTGGCGTCGCCGGGGCAACGGCTGCCGGGGAGACGGGGGCGGGGCCGAGCCGCGTGCGCCTTGCGCCGGGGAGGAGCGCGCGCGCCCGCCGCGCCTGGCCGCCTGCGCCCGGCTCGCCTGCGCTCAGTGTCGCCGGAGCCGCCGCCGCGGACGGAGCGGGCCAGGAAGCAGCCGCCGCGCCGCCGCCGCCGCCAGCCGGGCAGCCAGCCGGAGGCCGGAGGGCCGCCCGTGGAGCCGCCTCCGGGGATGCCGAGCCGCCAGGACCCGGCTGCCGCCTAGCCTCGCCGAAAACCGGATTTGGGCTTTGCAGCCGCGCCCTCGCCGCTGCCCGAGAACGCCAAGCCGCCGCCGCCGCCGCCTCGTCCTCGGTTTGGTCCGCGCCGCTCGCCTTCCTGGGCGCCGGAGTCGGAGCAGCCTTCTTCTGCCGGCGTCGCCCGGAGCGCCCTTGGCCGCCTGTTGGGGCGCGGCGCCCTTCCTGCGCCCCGGCGGCCGGCGAGGGTCGGGGCGCACACAAAGGGAGCAGCCGCCCGGCGGCGTCCCCCGCCGCTGCCGCCGCCCGCCCTCCATGTCGCCTCGGCCGGGCGGCGCGCGGCCCCGGCGGGAGAGGAGCGCGGCGGGCGGCTGGCTCCCCGGCCCGCCGTGCCGCGGCGCGGCCCTCGCTGCCCGTGAGGCGGCGGCCCATGCCCGGGGGCGGCGGCCCGGCCCGCGGCGGCGGCTGCGCTGCTGCTGCGCGTCGCCTGACCCCGCGCCGAGTCGGCCGCGCTGGACCTCCGCCTCGCGCGCTCTCCGGCCAGGACCTCCTTCTCTCCCCGCCGCGGCTCCATGGCTCCCCGGACGCGCCGGCTGCTCCCGCCGGGGCCGGCCTGAAGAGGAGGAGCGCGGCGGCGGCGCTTGCCGGGTAAGGGCCGCGGGGCGACGGGGCTCCGGCCTCGGGGCGGGAGAGAGGAGGCTGCCGGGGCGGGCAGGGGCGCCTCGCCCCCTCCTCTCGTCCTCGGGCTTTTCCCTCGCGCCTTTTGTGAGCCACGCTGAGCGTTTTGTCGTGTTCTCTTTTTGCCACCAAGCTGCCTATTAGTTGACATGCATCTTTTCGGTGCTCGCGACAGCCCTGCCAGGTGGGTCGAGCTAAGAAATGTGCAGTGCCTGCCCCAAGGTCACCCCAGCCAAAGGGCGCCTGTGGCCCCCCGGCCGCACAAGAACTCCTCACTGCCGTCCCATCTGCCTTGCTTCATGGGGGGCAGCCGGGGGGGGGGGACACATTCTGCTGCGCCCATGCTGCTCCTGCTAGCAGGGGGGTGAACTTGCTGGCTGAGCTGCAGGTGCCTCTGGGGGCGCCGGAAAAGGGTGCTTTGGCCCAGGTGCAGTGGGAATCTCCTTGCCTGCCTGGAAGAGCCTTTTTCGCCGGGGGGGGGGGGGGAGTAGAGGCTCTGCAATTTGGCTACTTATTTTTCCTGAGACTACCCAGGTGGCCTCTTATTGCATGCTATGGAATCTCTCACTTTGGGGTAACGGGCTGGAAATCTTTCCTTTGGATGATTAATCTGCTCCCCTCCCCCATAAAATTGGAATGAGTGGCAGAATTGCTTCTGCTTAGGCCGGTGAAAGTGTAGTGAAGCTTTCTCAGAACTGACAAGAGAGTGGTGTTTTCTTTGATTACCTGGCAAGCCTTGTGTGTGTTGGAAATCACCTGCCCCCCACCCTGGGAATGTGTGTGGCGGGGGGGGGGATTGGATGTACCTTCCAACTCAGCAAGTCTGTGATCTGTGTGGAGAGGTTGGTCTGCCCACGTGCCTCACCCCCCTTGGTCCTCCTTGGGGCAGGAGCAGGAGGTGGGCATGTACCTGTGGTTTTTAATTTCTAAAGGAGCGCAGGGGTGCTTTTAATGAAAAGGGTAAATGTTGCTGACACATCCTCATGGCAGCAGTGGGATGGAGAGCAAGGGAGATCTCAACCAACCCACCTCAGCAGTACATTGATTTTCTTTTTAGGCTACTGTTAGGGATTCTTGGCATTACATGTAAATGGAGGGGTTTTTGGTAGCGAGAGGAAATCTGCTGTCTTGAATAATACAATATTTTTTTGAACGGAGTGGAGGGTTGACAAGTAGACTGTTGGCCTCCTTCGCAGAGATGTGTAACCGGGGGGGGGGCTGCAGATGTAGCTGCACCCCCCTTTTTAAAATTAAATTATTGAACGCTTCACAAACTTGCATGCTGCTGTGCTCCTGAATGCCCATTGCCCCTAACTTGGGCACACTGGCTTTAGATGATGCTTCAGCAGCCTCTGGAGGGCCACACGTTTGCCACCCCTGCTGTGGAACTACCTGAGCCTCTTGTGAGCAGAGGGGGTGGGTGGGGAAAAGGCTTTTGCCTGGCTTGCAGCTGGTTGCTGGTCTGGTCCACCAAAGCAATTCTGTCTTTGGAACCTTAGATAAAATGCCCGGGGGGGGGGCAGTTCCCTGGCTGCTGAGAAGCAAACCTCCATGTGCAGGGGCAGTCTGCCATGATGGCGGGGAGGGGGCGGGGAGGTAGAGGCAGAGCTTGGGGGCACCTGGCTGGCAAGTCCTGCGAACAGGACTCAGTGTTGGACTCAGTGGGTTTGACCCAGCAGGGAGATGATCTTCTTGATGTCCCTCAGTTTACTCATTTAGTCTGTAGATTAAGAGAAATCCCATTTTGCTGGAGGAGGTGGAGGCTTTCCAGAACCTGCATTTTTGTTTGTTGTGCCCACATCAGGGGCTAATTTCCTGCTAAGATCATGCCCATCCTTGAATCCGGAATCTTTTAAGAAAGAACAAGCTCTGAGAAGTAGGAGTTTGCTTGGCTGTGTTGTAAGAGGCACAAACAAATGCAGCAAACATTATCTCCCCATCCTCTTGCAATACAGCTCACCTTCCAGCTGGCCCTTATCTTTCCATGAAAGGAGCTTACAGTAAATGTGTTTATTCCCCCACCCCCCTTTTTTTTTTAAAGTGCAGTCTCTGCATAGTGCCTGATAGGTTGGGCTGCACACAGTAATTCTGGGTCTGAAGAGGCAGAGGTGGTGCAAGAGTTAAATTGCAGTGAGGCTGTGTGTGTCTCTGCCCCCCCCCTTTAAGCTGATCTCGTTCCTTTCACATGACCAGGGATGGATGAGCGCACTAACCTCCTTCTCTCTGGCTGAGCAGGAGCAGAAGAGCTCCCTTTAGTGTCTCTTACAAAGAAGCTGTTCAGCCAAAGAGCATCTCCTAATCCGAGGTCGGAGGCATCTGGCGAATTAAGGGCAGAAACTTAGGCGAGGGGTCTTAAAGGGGCCGAAGCTGCCCGTCTCTTAGGTGGGGAAGAGAGGCGTGCCTGTGAATGGAGATAAGGGGAGCTGTGTCAGATGCGACTGGTCTTTGTATTTAATTTATTTATATCCCTTCCTTTCCCCCAAATTGCCATTCAAGGTGGCTTCCAACGTTTAAAAACAGCACCATTGTTATTATTTATTATTAGTGGCATTTATTAATCGCCTTCTATGCCATTGTCTCAAGGCGATTTACCCATAAGATAATGACAAACAGTTAAAAGCATAAAAACAACCAGTACCTTTAAAAACAAGACTGGTGCCCTGACAAGTGGTGAAGACCCCTTTACCCAGCTGGGGAAGCCTGTCAGAACATTTCCAGGAGGTGTCAGCGGGCAGGGAAGCTTTTCCATAGAACAGGGGCAGCCACACTAAAAGCCCTTCTCCAGGTTCCTGCAGAGCTTGGCTCTCCTTCCAAGGGTCTAATTACCCACGCAATGTCAGCAACGTTGTTGGCCTGTGGCCAGTACATTCTTAACGTTATAAAATATAAAGTAGTGAAAAAAGCTAGTTTAAAAAACCAACAGTTGTAATACACCAGACCCCGTTTAGAGCCAACAGTTTGCCCTGACAGCTGCCCAGTGGTCAGCGCTGCCTGCACCTCCCTTTCCAGAGGCCTGTTCCAGGAAGACACAAAAGAGGGAGCCCGTCTGGCCTCTCTTGGGAGAGAATCCCGCCTTCTGGGAGCAGCTGTAGAAAAGGCTTGCTCTCGCATCCCCACCAGCATCTGGTGCTGAGGGGACTGAGAGAAGGTGCTCCCCTGAGGATCTTTGCACCCTGGCAGGTTCAGGCCATAGATTTACTGGTCATCAGCAGCACTTTGAATTGTGCCTGGGATCAGATCAGATGTCAGTAAAGTGGTTTTAACTGGAGAGTAGCGTTCCTGGCTGCTGGTTCCCACAGTGGCAAACTGACCCTCTGGACTTAAGAACCACAGCCTCCTCCTCTCCCCGTGGCTCAGCAAGAGAGCAACCCTGCCTGAAACCCTGGAGCCCTGAGCCAGGTGGGCCAAGGCGGCTTCATGCATTCCCCAGCTGGTCTTGAGATGGTGTCTGTTGCAGCGAGGAACTTTGGAGCTCACAGGGAGAAGCCCCTGCCCAGTTGCATTGGGTGTTTTGACCTGCAGGTTCTAGGAGATGGACTTATGCCTGCTACACAAGGCCAGGGTGCTTTTCTGGGCTGGTTGGGAGCTGCACTTCAAAACGTCTGGAGGGCACCAGGTTGGCGAAGCATGGATTAAACGTCCTCCTGCCACAATCATTTTCTGCAATGTACTCCCATGCTGTTGATCCACATGGATGTGGTGTGGCAGCAGAGTAGGAAGCTGTGGTTTATAACTCAGTGTTAGGAGCTGATATGTAAATATTCTGGCCTTTGAGCAGACCTATGCTCCTTGCTTTGTAGCTTAAAAGGTAAAGGGTTCATTAGGTTCAGTCGTGGCCGACTCTGGGTTGCGGTGCTCATCTCGCTTTATTGGCCGAGGGAGCCGGCGTACAGCATGACTAAGCCGCTTCTGGCGAACCAGAGCAGCGCACAGAAATGCCGTTTACCTTCCCGCCAGAGCGATACCTATTTATCTACTTGCACTTTGACGTGCTTTCGAACTGCTAGGTTGGCAGGAGCAGGGACCGAGCAACAGGAGCTCTCGTGGGGATTCGAAACGCCGACCTTCTGATCGGCAAGTCCTAAGCTCTGTGGTTTAACCCACAGCGCCACGCGCGTCCCTTGCTTTGTAGTTTAAGACTAGCTAAATTGAGGGATGGGAAAGACCACCTTCATGTTCTATCAGCGTCCATGGTTCTTGGGTGCCAAAGCCAGATTTAAAATTTTATTTTTTTAAGCTGGTGTCTGGAGTTTTCCACCATGGGCTAATTGCAGACCTTAGTTGGCAGATAAAAACCATATGTAAAGTAGTTATTATTCATTTTTTAGAAACTTAGGTTGGAGCAAAAGTATGTAAGCTTTCAGGCTTTGTAGGTGTTTTGCTAGGTGAAATGTGAAGGGAGCAACATTTCTGGCGCAGATGGAACAGGTTGGCTTAGTGGCTGAATACATTTTCGCAAGGAAAAACCTGCTTTCCAAATAGCCCAGCCCTTGTGAACTTTTAAAGCCTGCGTACATTTTAACCCGACTTAAGTCACTTGAGTGAAAGATGGTAGCTGTGGGGTGAGGAACCTGTGGTCTGAGGGCCACATTCCGTGCTGGGTGGCCTTCCAGGGCCACGTGCAAAAGTGGGCACAGCAACAAATGTGCGTTTTGCCTTTTTACTACAAGGCTGCTTTTTCTCTCTGTGCTGCATCCATCCAAGCAAGCAAGAAGGGGGGGCTGGACTTGGGCCCCCAGGGCTGCAGTCCCGCTTCCCTGATTTAGAGGGTGCTGCCTTGTAAGTGTTTTGCACGGATTTGGCCTCTCAGCCATAACGCCCTATGATGGCCTTAGCTCCCCCCCCCTCCGCCAGCATACCTCACAGGGCTGTTGTGAGGCTGAAACAAGATTGCCATAGAATGGCAGAGTTGGAAGGGACCGTGAGAGTCAAACCCAGGACCCTCAGATTAAGACTTTTGTGCTCTGCTGACTGAGCTAATGTATATGAAATGATAAAACAAACCAAAAAGGGTGGGGGGAGAAACTAAGGTAAATGGTAGCTTCTAAGGTTGTAAGCTCCTTGGGCAGTGGTGGAGTTGCATGTACCTTGAAATAGTCGGGGAACTGGAAAGAGGGAGAGAGTTTATTTGGATTTGTAGCGAAATCTCAGCTCATTTCCTCCTCCTGTGCTGGAACCTCTTGATAATGACGGTGCCTGCAGATTATAGATCTGATCATTTGGAACCAAATAAAACCCTTAGCTTCCTTCAACTTTATACACCTTTTGAAAGGCTCCAAGAATTTGGTGGGTCTGTCTCCCCCGTGGCACCTGCCACTTTCTTTTCCCTGCATAAAGATCCATCTCCGGTTTTAACAGGTCGATAAATCTCCGCTTCCAAGTCCCACCTCTCAGTTTCATGCTGCAAGATATTTCAAGCCTGAAGAGGGAGGGCCATTAAAAATGCAAGGCTCTGAGCCGCTGGGTAGTGATCCGGGGCTGCAGGAAGGCAAAACTCACCCTTCCCCCCTTTTCTTCCTAAGGTAACACTAATGTCTCAGTAAATGAAACTGATCTGTAGAAAACGTAACTTGAAAAAAAAGACATTGCACATACCTTTGTAAACCAAGAAATCTTTAATAAAAATATTTTTTTTTAAAAAAAAAAGACGTTGGCCGTGTGCTTGAGTAGTGAAATGGGACTTCAGTGGCCCACCTTCCTTGTTCCCTGAGACCACCTCCTCTTTCCATGTGTGAGGATAAGGAAATATTTCTTTACAAAGCAGATTTCAGTTGAGAGTGGCGCTCAGAACTTGTTGGGAATTTGATGGCCTTTCACTTTGGAAGAGTCCTGATCCTGCAACCCAGTTGCTAAGACAGTGGCTGCCAAAGTGACTACTTCTGGCCCTTGGGGGAGGGGGGTGCTGACGGCGTAAATGGCTATCAGACTCTGAAAAGCTGGTATCACCGGATCACATCCATCCGTTTCATTGTATTAATTAGACTAAGTAGTTTTAATTAGATTTTCTAGTAAAGGTGTAATGCATTGTTGCAGTTTTGAATTTTATTGTGTTATTATCTTCCTTGATGGGTCCTGCAGACCACTATTCTGAATCATGCTTCTTATAGGGCAGGGGAGGGGGCACTTGGGGTGAATTCATGGAGCCAAGGGGGGCAGTGGCTGGGGAAAGTGTGGGGCCCCCTGCTCTGAACTCTTATGTGCAGCAAACCGGCTACTCCTCCCTGGAGTGGAGAGGGAGGAGAGGCAGTGGAGGGGCATTTCAGAGTTCCCGCTGCTCCTGCTTGCAAGAGAGTCGTGTCAAGTGGCTGAATGTGCCTTTGCTGTGTGTAAAGGCTGCAGGTGTGGGGGCCATTAATGGCTGCCCTGGTCTGCCTGCCTTGCCAGCTGCCCTTACTAAGCCTCCGAGTAAGTGGAGAAGCTAGATTTTTGCCATCCACCGTGAAAACATGCTTAACTTTTTTCTGTACTGAAAAGAAAACACAGCTAATGTCATTTTAAGAATAATTTAAAATGTGTTACCCAGTTGCAGCCCATTTTGCATCCTTCTCCAGGTTGCATATATGGGTTGGTTTGTTTTTTATTTGAAAATAATGATATTGAGCTTATTACAGCACTTCAGAGTACAGGATGATACTTAACAGTCTAAAATGGAGAAAGGGGGAAAGCGGAGGTCTGAGTAAACAGGGATTCTTTATAAGGGGTTCTTTCAGTTGCACCAGAGACTTTCCTGAGTCCTTTGTATGGTGCATGAGGCTCTCCCCCTCCCCCCTGTCCTCCTGCCCACACGCAGAGTGCCTTCTTGTTCCTGAACAACCACAGTTGGTCTTTCTCTGTGGCAACTAGTACTTAAGGGGCATATCCTGATGGGGTCAAAAACTCTGCTTTGATCCCTTGCAAGCCTGTAAAGGAGGAAAGAGCTGGCCTGTTGCTAATGCCTTGAGAAAATATGTGACTCTCTGGACAAGCTGCTATGCCAAATATAAATGAGAAATTGCATTCAGGACTTTCCAGGCAAGCGAAGGAGCGAGAGAGGAAGGACATTTCTCTCCTTTTTCTCTTGCCTGGTGCATTCTTTGGAAAAAGCTAATATTCCTGCAAGGTAATTCAATCAAACAACGATTCCTGTCTGCAAATGCGGCAGCGAGGCAGGCTTACAAAAGCCCCTGCTTTTATTATCTCCTGCTTGCTCGAGAATTGCTTTTCTCCCTCGAGTGAGCTGGCTAAAGCTGGCTTTATTATGTTAACCTATTTGTGTGTCAAGAGCTATTGTGCCGCTCAGTATCTCTGTTTGTGTTTGCTTGGCACTGCAAAGAAAAGGGCAAGGGAAGGGAGAAGAGGAGGAGAAATGGCCGGCTGGTCAGTGCCTGGCACTTGGGGGGGGGGGCAGCACCACTTGCTTGCGTCTCCCGTGATTGCTCAACCCCCAAGGAGGCGTCCGCCATGATTATCAGCCTGCTGCCTAATAATGTCTCCTAAAAAGCGCACCTCTTTGAGTTTTTGTAGTGTTTGCGGCAGGGATGCTATTTCTACTTTGGTTGTGCAACCTTTGCTCACCTAGTGCCCCTAAATGTTTTAGCCTGCAGCTAGAGGCTACCAAGGCTGCTGAAGGCTGCACCCCTATCTGCATCTAAGTCTCCCTCCTTCCCCCCGGTTTTGTAGTATCTGACACAGACCAATGGTCCTTCTAGTTCAGTATTGCCTACACTGACTGGCAGCAGCTCCCCAGAGTTTCAAATGGGTCTCTCTTAGATGCTGGGGATGGAACCTGGGTCCGTCCTTCTGCATGCAAGGCAACTGCTCTACCACTGAGTGAGTTATGCCCTTTCCCAGATCATTAGCCCAGCTGGGGAAACCCAGTCAAATGGATAGGGTATAAATAAAAAAATTACTAAATGTATAAAATGAATTGGGTGGTATAAAATATATGCAGGGGGGAAAAAGAACCATGGAGGTGGAAGTCTTTTGATAAGAAATTAGAGAATGAAAACGTAAGATGTGTATTATAGGTCTTTGAAGGTGCATAAATAAAAATTCAAAAAACTAAATACAATATTATTATTTGCCAAGTCCATTCGGAGCAGGAGTGTCTTAAGTTCTTGGACAGAGAAGAATTTCCCCTCCGTCTTCTTGCCTTTGCTGTCCCAAAATATTTTTAACTGGATGTGCCCACCCAGAGACCTCCTGCCCTCATTTCTTTTGTCAAAAGAGCTCAGGACAGTGAGCGTGATGCTTTTCTGGTGTATCCTCACAACAGCCCTCTGGGGTGGGCCATCCAGTGTTCGAGCAAGTACCTGGCCCAGGATCTGAGCTGTCCTGTCCAACATTTAATCCCTTTGCCACATGAGCTGGATGTTACCGTGTTTTTCGCTCTATAATGAAGGGGAAATGTGTGTGTGTCCTATGGAGCAAAGACGCCATAGCCCGCGACCCTCTCCCGGCTGGAGAGGTGACGCGCGGCTATGGCAGGAGCCTCTCCGCTGCGCCTTACCGCTGCTCCCCGACCTGCTCTTTGGGGCTGGTGGTGGGCTTCCCCCCGCCAGCCCCAAAGAGCAGGTCGAAAGGAACCTGAAGCCTGGAGAGCGAGCGGGGTCAGTGCACACCGACCCCTCTCGCTCTCCAGGCTTCCAAGGTAGCCGCCTGAACGCACCTTAAACGGCGCCTTGTTTTAGAGTGGGAAAACAAGAGGGGGAAAGTTCTCCCCCTCTCTGCGCAGCGCCTCCTGGGCAGAGAGGGGGAGATTTTTTTTTCCTTGTTTTTTTCCTCTAAAACAAAGTGCGTCCTATTGTCCGGTGCGTCCTATGGTGCGAAAAATACGGTAAATAACTGAACCCCCAAAATGTAAAAATCATGGTGGTTCCTTTCCCCTCAGCTGCTCCTCTGAGGATTTAAGTAAAATGATGCTGTGCTTCAATAGACCTCCAGTTTGGAGAAAATGAAGAAAGATGTTGGGTTGAAAGTACTCCAGGATGGAGAAAGCTGTTGTTTTGACTGAGAAATAATTAATTAATTAATACTTTTTATTATTTATACCCTGCCCATCTGGCTGGGATTCCCCAGACACTCTGGGTGACTTACAGCATATATAAAACATTAAAATATCAAGCATCAACTTCCCAATACAGGGCTGCCTTCAGGTGTCTTCTAAAAGTTATGTATCTTCTTGACATCTGAAGGGATGGTGTTCCACCGGCAGGGCGCCACCACCAAGAAGGCCTTTTAAGAAAGCACTTTAAAAAGAAAGTATGAAGGAGCCGGTGGTCTTTTTGATTCACAAGTCCCAGGAGTCTGCAGGTAAAGGGTGAAAGTGCATGCGACAGGTGTATTGGGGTAGCCCTACCCCCACTGTTAATAATTGGGGGGGCGGGTTGCATTCAGTTGCATTCAAATGCCTTTCTTTTGAAATGAAGCAAAATGCTGTCACTGAATTGATCTTTGCTTGATCCCATTGTTAAGTTGGCCCAAGTCCCTTTTCCCCGTGTTGTGGAGGTCAGGGCCCAGTGAGATTGTGTCTCCTTTTCTTAGATTCTGGAATCCTGAGCGGCTGGTCTTTTCTTGCACGGACCTCACCAGTTCTAAAACGGATTGGGATCCCCAAGTATCCTTCAAAATGGATTGAGTCATCCAGACTCAAAGGCGTAACTGAACCCCATTTACCTTCCTGGGTGTGTCTCCGGACTTTCAGTACTGTGGGGACTTGAATAATTTTGAAGGCTCCACCCAGGGTGGGTGCCTGTTGTGACCCTGTCTGAGTGAATGGCCTCGCCTCCTCCCAAAGCAGGTGGAAAATCCTGCCTTGTGCCTCCTCACGGGATGCCATGGAGCCACTCAGACACTCCCAGCCAGCCACCTTACTGCCCCCAAGGAGACTCAAAAATGGGGGTGGTGTCAACTCCTCCATGTGCAGGGAGCCCCCACAACCCAGAAGGGCTACCTTTTCTTTCCATTTTTCTGATACACCAAAGCAAGTTATGATTTATTGATACGCCGTCTTTCTGCCCAGAGGAGACCCCGAGGCGGCTCACAAACAATGCAAGTGCAGATAAACACGTAGCAATATAAATGCGGTGAGAATGAGACAGAAGAGTAACATTTCCAGAGTATTAGAGGGCATTCATTTTCCTGCCCCAAAGACAGCAGATTGTCCCCCACAAAAACATGAAAAGAAAGAGAGAGCCACAGGGAGGACTTAAAGTAGCAGCTCCTCCTTTTAAGGGTCCAAGGAAGGCGCTGGGAGGCAGGTGCAGCAGCCTCTGTCCTTGAGAGCGAGTTACAGGTTTCTACTTTGGATCTAGTATGAAAGCTTCCTCCAGCTGCCAGAAGTTTGCAGACGCCTCTGGTTGGGAGGCCAAATTGGATTCCCTTTCCTTGTGACATGGCATTAAAAGCCAGGGGGGGGGGGGAGAGATGTTTGTTTAAGCCTGTTATGGGTCTCTTGGTGACCCTGAGTGCACCCTTCCACCGGGGCACATGAAATTCTCTCTTGGCCAGAGGCTGTGGACGCACATAGAGTTGGGCTGAACGTTACCTCACTTAGCTAATAAGCTGACGGGGGGAGGGGGGGAGGTTAGGATGACCTCTTGAAGATGCACACAGCCGGATGTGCCCCCCAGGGCTGTGAGCTACTAAAGACGGAAAGGTGTGCAGATTCCTCGCTCAAGACAGATCTTTCCTGAATGGCAGATGATGGATGCTGTCTCTGGTTAAAAGGGGGAAGCCTACAGCCCAAAGGGTGTCTGGCTTCTGTGGGGGAAGGATGCAGAGCCCCAGGGGCCACTGAACTGCCTGGGGGCCATTTCTGGAAAAGTTGTTTTGCTCCTTGGTAAGAAGCAGCCAAATAATGAGCATCAGGAGCCCCAGTTTGAAAGTCCTTGGTCCTCATTGGCTGTTGGAATTAAGCCAGGGGCACATTAGCCCAGCTTTTGTCCATCCTCTTAGCTTGGTGGCTTCCATTATTCCCGTTACGGCTCTCCTAGAGGGCTGTGGTGGGACACATGGGAAGGTTAAAAGGGTGTCTCTGTACATGTGCTGTTGTCCTGCCCTGATTCTAGAGCTGTGGTTTTCTTGCTGTTTTGTGCATTGCATTGATTTTGTAGCTGTAATGGAAATGCTCCCTTCCTCCTAGAGGTTTTGAGGCCCAGCACTTACTATTTTAGAAACTGAGCATCCAGTTATTGGCCTCCCCCCCCCCCCACCTTGCAGTAAATGCTGTGGGAGGATTGCAGCACAATTCCATTTCTGTGAGCTGATGGGGGTCCTTAAAACAACGCCTTGTAAATACCTGCTCCTCTTTGTCACCTGGAGGCGATTCTGACTGTCCCCTGGGTGCTCCCCGGCTCCTTTTGCAAGGAGCTAGCTTGGTCTCTGGGGAGCAGAAGTGCCCCCAACTGGGCCTTTTATTTAACCCTCTTCTTCTGCCGTATCTTCAATGGGCAACCAGTCACAGGCCAAACAAGGTGCCTTTGCTTCCCTTTGCGTTTATTGCAAATGCAGAACCAGGGCTTGTGGGGTGTCTGGAGGGGGAAACGCAGCTCTGCCCTGGGCCGGAAGCCATGAATGCAGCAGCTCAGTCCCATCCTGTTCCCCCTCCGCCCGCTTCTTTCGTCCTCCCTCCCTCCCTCCATTTCAGGGTCTCGTGGTGGCTTTTTCCTGGAGAGGCGCACAAACGCATCTCTTTATGGCTGGCTGTAAACAAGCTTCCAATAAAAACAAGTTAATGACCTGAAACCGACAAGAGCCTGCTGGGGATTTTTTATTGCCCTGGAGACTCCTCTTGCCAACGAGGAGACAGAGCAGCAGGGCTCCTCCCACCCCCGCAGAAAGGCCAGGTGATTTCTGGTGATCTCTGCAGGGGCCACCTCAAGTGCTTTAACTGATTCCGACCTTCCTTGGGCATTTAGTTCAATAAAAGTTGCAGAAAAGGGCAACTGAGGAGCCGGAGTTACACAGAAGATGGAGCAAGCGTGTTTTCTCCTGCTCTGGAGGGTGGGACTCAAACCAGTGGCTTCAAGCTACAAGAAAGGAGATTCCGACTAAGTATCAGGAGGAATTTCCTGGCAGTAAGAGCTGTTCGACGATGGAACGGACTCCGCCTTTGGAAGAAGGTGCTGGACTCTCCTTCCGTGGAGTTTTTTAAACACAGGTTCATAGAGTAATAGAATGGTAGAGTTGGAAGGGATCCCAAGTGACAGGAGCGAGTGAGCCCGGGTTCTGCTTTTTTTTTTAATAATTTTTTTATTAAAGTTTTAAACAACAAAAAAAGAAAAACAACACACACACAAAACAATACAAAACTTAACAATATAAACACAAAACAATTAAAAACAAACTCTCTTTTCCATTTCCAATTTTAAGTTACTTATTTTCTGGACTTCCTCATACCTCCCTCTTTGTATTCCAATCCACATTATTTGTCCAGCAGTTTCTTTTCCACTTTTTTTAATCCCAATCTTTAATTTAGTAAAATGTTAAAATATATAACTTCAACTTTTTTAAACCTAATCCTTGATCTTAATATCATATAGCTTTAAAGTTTTCCCTTTTAAAATCAAATTTCCATTTCTTTAAACTTCTTTAATCTTAATCTTTAATCTTAATCTATCCTCAACTTTAACCTGTGCAGCTGGAAACCACTTATTTTCAATCCAACATCACTCTAACATTCCTTAATTTTGCAGTGTTTCTGAAGATAGTCTTTGAATTTCTTCCAGTCTTCCTCCATCGACTCTTCTCCCTGGTCACGGATTCTGCCAGTCATTTCCGCCAATTCCATATAGTCCATAAGTTTCATCTGCCATTCCTCCAGCGTGGGAAGTTCTTGTGTCTTCCAATACTTTGCGATGAGTATTCTTGCTGCTGTTGTTGCATACATAAAGAAAGTTCTATCCTTTTTTAACACCATTTGGCCCACTATGCCCAGGAGAAAGGTCTCTGGTTTCTTAGTGAGCCCGGGTTCTGCTTGCCAGTTTCCTACGGGCAGCTGGGACCAGGATGCTGGGTAGATGCCCCCCCCCCAGCCTGATCCAGCGCAGCACAGGGCTCTTCTTGTGTTCTTGAACTTGCCCAATGTCTCTTGGTGGCAGTTCACTGTCCCATTGTGTGTATATGTTGCTGGGGGTGAAAATGGGTCTGATCCATTCCTACTAGCCCGTAACTGTCTTGTGGACTCATAGTATCATAGAATGGTAGAGTTGGACTAAATGAGGGTCATTTAGTCCAACCCCCTTGCAATGCAGCCATGACAGAGGGCCATCCAGCCTCTGCTTAGAAGCCTCCAAGGATGGAGTCTGTTCTTCTGTCAAACAGCTTTTACCATCAGAAAGTTCTTCCTGATACTTAATTGGAATCTCCTTTCTTGCAACTTGAATCCATTGGTTTGGGTTCTACTCTCCAGAGCAGAAGAAACAAGCTGGCTCCATCCTCCATGCAACAGCCCTTGAAATATCTGAAGATGTCTTTCTCATGGCGTCAGTCACAGTGAAGTATGTGAGGATAAAAACTGTCCATAAGATATCCCTGCCCCTCTGGGTGTTGCCTGGGAAAGGCCTTCCATCCTTGCGCTGCTCTGCCTTCCAGCTGCTTCTCCTTTTAGAAAAGAAGCCTTTTGTTTCACCTGCCTAACTTCTGTAGGCCATTTTTTTTAGCAGCAGAAGGAGAATGCCATGGGGTGGGGTGGGGTGGGGAGCTGGGAGCAAAGCTGCCTTTGTGGTTGGTAAGCAAGCCCTAATAGAGCAGTAAAACCTTACACTTCAGGGGCTTCATCTGTCCCACACAGCCAGGCTCTGTTGCAACTTGCAGGATACCCAGGACCTGGCAGGACGAGCAAGAAGTGGCCCTCCTACTCATATGCCATAATTTGCCAGCTGTGTTAGTGCCCTGCTTTAATCTATGACCCCAGGCAGGTTATTGAGTGTGCAGTTAGTCATTCGAGAGCGACTTTATGTTTTAGAAGACCAATTAAACAAAAGCATGCTTCTAGACCACATGGGACCAGAGATTTAGGCAATTGCAGGTGAAATATCAGGTATCTGAGAAATGTTGGGATGGTGTGTGTGTGCTCCAGGCAGCCTTTGCCCTGTTCCACCACTGCAAGAATAAAATAGGTGAAGAAAGCAGAAATATGCATTGACAGTTAATTTTCATGCATTCTCTTGGACACGGAATGTTGATTAAGAATCTGGATCATTTTAAATATTGAGGTCCTGCCGATGGTATGCAAAACGGAGAGTTCTGTCCACGGCGGAAGAGTTCCATCACAAAGAAGGAGCTATTTCTTCTGCCGCAGGTATAAAGCCTGCCCCCAGTCCCAGGGTGCAGTGAGTGGAATAGCCGGGCAACCAGCAAAGCCTCTTGCTGAATGACGCTAACAAATCAGTGGCTTAGAAAGAATTAAATTTGCAGCGACTGTAGCTAAACTCCATTCACATGTTGCGAATAACAAGTTAACACACTGAGGAGGAGGAGGTGAGAGAGGCCTGTAGCTTTTGATGCCTGGTGCTCCTGGCTGGATTGGGTTGAATGGCCGTGTATATCTTACAAAGCAGCTCTTCCCGCAACAAATGATAAATCAGTTTGCCTGTTCATCATGACTCAAGGATCCCCCATGGAACTGGGGCAGAAAAGCACAGATTCGGTGGAACTAGTTGTGCGTTTAGGCTGCAGCCTGATGTTTGTCATTGCAGGGGGTTGGACTAGAGGACCCTCGGGGGCCCCTTCCAGTTCTGTGAAATGTGGCTGGAGTCATCAGCTGGGGGGGGTGGGGTGAGCTGGTTGCTTTGCTGGATTCTTGCATGGACCCCTTCCTAACTGTGCCCTTGGCACCCTGATGGGTGTGCCCCAAGCCCCAGCTCCAGGGGGGCGGGCAGAAGCTGCTGGCTTTCTGCACCTCCAGTTGCCTGGGCAGTTGGGTGCGGGGAGAGAGGGATAGAGAAGATTGAGGCTGGGGACCATTTTTCTAACTCAATAACTGGCAAGACAAGACGGAGTCTGCAGTCCGGAGATATAATTAGTTTGCAGCCACTGCACTTCCTTGATTTAGCTTCCTCGAGCTGAACAAGACAAGGCTGCTCGACCCAATTAGTGGGTACATCCCAGCAGATAAGAGGCTGTTTCTCTGGTCCAGAAATCGGTGGGGGGGGGTATAAAAGAGTGGGAGAAGAAAGAGAGGAATTGTTTGGGGGTCTTTATTCCTCAGAGTTGGAGAGATCTGTGTGGTTTCCTATAAACAAGATAAAATTTGTTAGCTGAAAAGTTAACAAATTGTAAAACCAGTAAAACTGCTTCTGACCTCAGGGAGTCACCCCAGACTACTGAGGGCCCTCCTGGCTTGGACTGGAAGGTTTGCTTGCCATCCTGAATGGCCAGTTGTTTTGGGGAAACCCCCAGCAAGGAAGCAGGTGAGCCGCCCCTGGTGCCTTGGGTTCAGCATCCCAGTGCTGCTGCTGGGTCAGACTCCAGCCTGCCTTGTTCACCCTGCTTCCAGCAGTGGAAGCTGAGTTCAGAAGCAGCGCCCTCCTCTCCCTGAGGGTGGGACCCAAACCAAGGGGAAGACAGGGGAACGGATTCCCTTGGAAAATGGCAGGTGCTCCTTCATTGGAGGCTTCCAGGCAGAGGTTGGGTGGCCGTCTTGGCAGGGATACTTCAGCTGCGATGTCTGCAATGCAGGGGGCTGGACTAGATGACCCTCAGGGTCTTTCAACTCTACGATTTCTTGTGATCCCAACCATCCTGCCTCTGACAGTGGAGCTAGGAGCCATTGATGACCCCATCCTCCATGAGTTTGTACAAACCCTATTGAAGGCCCATGAAGTTGGCAGCCATTGGTACATGTTGCCCCTGCGAATGGATTTGCTGCCCAAAGAAGCTCTTTTTGCCGTTGGTGCTGGACCTGCCTTTGTCCATCCTCACAGCACAACCATACCACGTTTCACACCTCTCTCAAGGGGAAACATGGTGGCAGTGCATGACATTATGTAGTACATAGTTAAACTATGAAACTCCCTCCCACCGGAGGCAGTAGATGGGTCAGCCCCTGCCGGCCTCCCCCAGCTCTGAACCAGAGTGTCTCTAAAGATAGCACCTCTTTCTGTATCAGGGAAGGTCAGTTTCAGGGGACAAATTTGGCCTGGCCCAGGGAGGGCCACCACCTTGGATGGCTTTAAAAGAGGATTGGACAAATTCATGGAAGAGGGAGCTATCGGTGCTACTTGCCACAAGGACTACTAGCCACAACCGTTAGGCTCTGCCTCCAGTAATGCTTCCACCTATCAGCTGCTGGAAACCGCAGGAGGGGAGAGGATTCTGGTGCTCGGGTCCGAATTTGCAGGTTTTCCACAGGCACCTGGCTAGATGGGCCACTGGCCGGAACCACCAGGCTCTTCTTTTCTCCTTTTGCTTGGCATCCCAAAACGTTGCAATGGTGCCCCGAGCTACAGTCCCCAGGGATGGGGGCTTATCAAACCACTCCGGGAGGGGAGCAGGGGTCTCCCTGCAGCTGCCAGCACCCTTTGCAAACAACAGCTCCCAAGGTTCTCTGGACAAAGCCAGGATTGTCTGACGTGGCATCATAGCGCTTTCAACATATGTCGTGAGTGGGCTGGGGTTGGCAGGGCGCTGGGACAAGTGGTGCAGCCCTTTCTGTCTGTGTGCATCCCCTTTGTAATGTCGTGCGTCAATTCCAAAAGCGTGAAATAGATCCTGAAGCTCCAGTTTTCCTTTGTGGTGGCGGGGGGGGGGCTTAGATGCACTCATACCTGTTTTTTGAATTCTGATCCCTCCCTACTTTCCTCTCTTGTTTGGAGGCAGTTTTGTGGCTTGGCTCCCTCGCATGTGTCTCCTCGATTTGTGCACGCCGTGGGTCCTGTTCTGAAGGCGCTCAGTGGCAGAGCGTGGCACAAGGCCGCAGGTTGAGTCTGCGGTGGCTACCAGTTGAAAGACTCTCCGGGGATAATACTGCATCTGATGTTGTAGGAATGGTATAAGGCAGCTTCCTATAGTCCATGGGGGTGGGGGAGACAATGAAATGATATTGTTTTCCCTCCCCCAGCCAAGATCTCACTCAACCCCTGGTGAAGTTGAGGCTGGGCAAATAAATTAAAGCCGGCAACAGATCAAATGGCTGAGAAGACAGAGATGATGGATCGCCAACGCTCCGTGTTTTGGAGAGGATATTTAAAAGGGAGTTGCTAGAGCTGCCTGAAGCTCCATCTGGTCCAGCTTCCTGAATCCAAAGCAGATGCCTCCAGGACGTCCACAGGCAGGATAAGAAAGCAATAGTAGGTCTCCCCTTTAGCACAACCCATCAGATTGGCATTTGGAGAGGGAGAGAGAAAGTGCCCCAGAACATGTTTATTCTGTTCTCGCCTAGTATGAGCTCCCTGAATTTGTTTACCCCTTAAAAAAAACCCTACATTTTTTAAATTAAATACATTTTATTAGTATTTTCCACACAACAACAACACGAAAAATATCGAAAAACAACTACTTTTTTAGTTTTTCAAATGTTGGTTTTTGTGTGTTGTGTATTGTTAAACAACCTACATTTTAGTGTGCGCTAGAATCTCCCCGTTGGATCAGACCAAAAGCACATCTAGTTCAGCCCGGCTTCCCAACATGACAAACTAGATGGCCTTTGGGGAGGGCCCACAAGCAGGAAATGAGGACAGTAGCCCTTTCCTGCTGTGATTCTCCAGCAAGCTAGACTTTGGTAAGGGACATTCACTGGCCAGAGTGCTGCTGCTTCTTTATTTATTATTATTATTATTATTATTATTATTATTATTATTATTATATTGTTGAGCTGTGAGGGTGGACATGGATAGTCAAAGAAGGGGTTTGATCTCTGTTAAAGCTGTCTCAGTCGGTTTCCCACACCATATCTTGTGGCAGGGAGTCATGCCTTAGATCTGGTGTTTTGCCTCTGTGAACGTTGGTATTCCGACACTAAGTTCCAGTGGAACAAAAGAAGTGCCATGGTCAAATCACTTCTTGGTGCAACTGGACTTCTCTGCAACCCTTCCCCTCTGCAGGGAGGTGGGACTGATTTGGGTGGTCCACCCCCACCACTTAATGGATCCAAATGGTTTACAGAGAGTGGTAGGGGATGTCTTATCCTATGTTGATGGCCTCTCAGCTGATTCCCTGGTGGTCCGCTGGAATGCGGAGTTAACCTGGCTCTGAAGTGCCCTCTCCGATTGCATGGAGCTCAGGTGGCCCCATGGTTTTCCCTGGGGCTGAGGGTGTTGAAATAGCTAGAACATCAGTGGCCAAAAAACTCATTCCAAATTGGGCTAAACATGGGTTAGAGCTCAACATTGAGCCGACCAAGTGGTGATGGCGAAGATGTTCTTCGCCGCCTCTATTGCATCTGCAGAAAACAGTTGCAGGAGACTCTTTCAGGTGATGCGTAGGGTGATAGAAACACCTTTGCCATCGGGGTCCAATAAGAACTCCAAGATCTCCTGCAACAAGTTTTTTGCGGGTAAAGTGACTCGAATTTGGAGGGAGATAGACTCCACCATGAGAGCAGGGCCAGGCAGGAGATTCCCAGAGCTCTGTCTAGTCACGTTGTATAGGGTCAGTTTCAACCTGTTACCTTTGAGGATGTGGACAGGCTGCCTGGCCTAGTGAAACAGACCCTCTGTCTTCTTGACCCTTGCCCACTCTGGCTCATAAAAGCCAAGCCTCTTGCTGGATCCTAGCCAGGATGGCTCTGCCTGCCTCCCCAGTCAAGGCACCAGTGCTGGAAGGGGGGGGGGACGACGACGCTTGTGCTCAGGTCCTGCTTGCGGGCTTCTCAGTTGGGATTGGGGCACCTGGCTGGCCACTGGAAGAAGAGGATCCTAGATTAGACGGGCCGTTGGCCCGATCCAGCAGCCTCTTCTTATGCCATTATGAGCGGAGCTGGCTGGCTGCCAACCTGACAGCGTTTCAGCTCCCACTTAAAATCTCTGATCGATGGTCAATTGATCCTTCTCTGAAAATCAGAGCCACTCAAGGCAACACGAGGGTGCTACGTGAAAATGTGTCTTTAGTTTTCTTTCTTTCTGGACTCTTTCCTCTTTCCCCTCCTGGCTGAACATATATCCACCTCCTGCCTCATCCCCCCCCCTTACAATGTCCGTTGTTGCTGCTTTTAGAGAGGCACTGACCCTCGTCCTGTTCCTGCTCCAAAATTTGTTACTGCAATAAAGCCAAGAGGTTGTTAAAGGATGTCAGGGATATAAACTGCGTACTAAAAGTTCCCTGTCGAAGCTTTAGATTGTACGAAATCTTGGTTTAATTGCCTCTTTGCTGGATTTATGCAGCTTATTCAGTAACTCTTTATTTTGTGTGTGTTCCATTTTTCTTCCTCCCACTCTTCTGTCCTTTACTCTTCAGGTGTAGTTGGAATCAGCTTTGCACTCAAAACATCAGCTGCTCCCAGAGAAGACGAATCTCTCTCTCTCTCTCTCTCTCTCTCTCTCTCTCTCTCACACACACACACACACACACACACACCAGCTCAAACCAACATGGGCCAGGAGTCCAAGGGAACGTAGAAAATTAGGCTGTCAGCTGCCGACTTCTGCTACCTAAGAACCTCCCGCTTTTTTGTTTGCCATTTTACTTATCAAAAAAGGCCAAGTCTCTAGTCCTCCTGACTGTGAAGGCGTGCTTGGAAAGTGCCTGTGTGCAGTGCTCTCTGGGGTTTCAGGAGCCTGGGCTGGGGGAGAGATGCCTTTTCCTGCAAGTCTTTGGCACTTCTTTCCGGTGGCAAGATCTGTTGCTTGTAAGATGGGGGGGGGGTCTTGTTCCTGCTGGTTTTGTTCCCTTCCCACAAGCAGTGGGAGTCTCTGCCTGGTTTCTTGGCAGAAAACTCACTGGGTTGGCTGGCACCCTTTTCTTGGCTCTCCCAGTTTTTTCCTCTGGCAGCCGTCACAAGAGCATATGCCACCTCCCTCCCTTTCTCTTCCTCTTCCTCTTCCCTAAGTAGGTAGCAGGGAAAAGGGGTGTTCTTTGAAGTTTGAGACCTGGATCATGCAGCCCTACTGCTGTGTGTGGGTGTGGCGGTCTGGGGGCCACCTTATCAGGCCCCCAGGACTCTTCCCACCCACCCCGCCCCCCGCACCAGCCCTGTTCTGTGCCTCCATGGAGTATTTTTGCCTGCTGGGAGGTGTCCTTGGGCAGCAGTGATGCCCTTGGAGGATGGAGAGGTGCGGGGGGGGTGGGATGCTCAAGCCTCTGACTTTTTATGTAACTGGAATGTAGCTTTCTGGAGTGAAGTCTTTGCAAAAGGAAGGGGCACATTTAGTGCCCTGGTGCCACCCGTGCCACATGGCTGCTGGAAATGTGGCCCTTCAGACGGAAAGGGCTTTCTGTCCCTCTTTTAATGCAACAGGGAGACAAGTCATTGGTTCTTCGGTGAATGACTCTTCTATTGCTTGAGAGCCAGTGGCACAGTGGTCAGTGTCAGACTAGGACCTGGGAGACCAGGGTTCAAATCCCCACTTGGTGTGAGGCTGGCAGGCTGGGTGTCACGGCCCTCAGAGGGCTGTTGGGGGGTTCAGATGAGGAGGGGGAGGAGAACGCTGCCTCCTGCCTTGAGCTCCTTGGAGGAAAAGTGGGAGATACATGCAATGAGAAAGCAAGATGCCGTCCCAGACAGCCCCCTCAATTATGTGTGCTAATTGTGAAACAGAGGTAGACTATAAATATCAGTATAACTTTTTTAAAAAAATTGGGGGCATGGGTGAGGTCCACGCTGCCCAAATTCTCTGGGTTTGCAAAAAAAAAAAAAAAAAAAGGAACAGAAAGGGCCTCTGTCCAGCAGGAGGTGGACTCAGTGCAGCTGATTTACCTTCTCTCTCTCTCTCTCTCTCTCTGTCTGTCTCTCTCTGTGTGTGTGTGCATGCGTGTAAATATGTAAAATGCGCACCCCCCTTGCACATGCATGCACCCCCCACCCCCGGTGGAGGGGGCCCCTGCTCCCCACCACAGGCCTGCCCGCTTGCTTGCCCGCCCAGCTGTTCCTGTGTTATTAATGCACGACGCTGATCATGGGCTCCCGTTGTAATCATTAAAACTATTAGAAGGGAAATGTTCGCTTGAAGCTAATGTCAGCCTCTCTCTGTTCTGCTTTGCAAACGCTCACAATTAATGCCAATCAGGAGCCAGGAAGGAGCCAACTTGAAATCGCGTCTGTTTGATCTCATTTGTCAGCTGTTGCCGTTCTGTGTTGTACATTTTCATACAATTGCTATAAACATAGAAGGGGAGCTGGGGGGGGAGTGCCTCATTCTCTCTCTTCTCCACCCCCCTTCCAAGTGAGCATTCACCATTGTTCTGTATGTTCATTTTAATCATTTTGTATTTCTCTGCCTGTCATCTGGTCCTCGCAGGCAGCCTCGAGTGGGGAGAAGAAAGTGGGCCTTTGTAAAACAAATACATAGATCTTGATAGATGCCTCATTTTCTGATCCGGTGGCTGTGCGAGATTATCTGCAGCTAAATAGGAAAGGCCTTTTTAAATTCCTCTTTTCCGCAACGAGCCGCTCGCTTTGCTCTGAATGTAGCAGATGTTTTACTAAGGCTTGTGGGGGGGTTGGGGGCTCAGTCTGCATCTTTTTTCTTTTAATGTTTAAAGGAAGTTGTTTATGTGTGAGGAGAGAAGTGCAAAATCAGAGATGGTTTGACGGGGTTTGCAGCACTGCTCTGTTAACCTAAAAATAATAATAAATTGCATGAGGTAAGCAAAAGGAAAAGTGGACTTTTTAAATTATTTGGTTGATTGGACCTGCTTAAGCGTTGGGTCAGTGCAGCCGCCACACAGGTGAAGGAAGGGGCTTCTCAGGAGGCACCTGGCTAGCCCTGCCCCCACGACCCACCTTCACTAACCTGGGGCCTCCAGGTGTTTGGGGCACAGCTGGCATCAGCCCAGGGTGCTGAGGCTAATGGGGGGTGGAGCCCAGGATACCTGGAGGGCAGGATACTGGCAGATCTCAGGGTGGTTTACAGGTGATCATCAAGGATCTCTAAATCCCCACCATACCATATAAAAGTAGAAGGGGCAAAAATCCCACCCCCCTTTCCAAATTACACTGCTGAAGAAGAGGAGGAGGAGTTTGGATTTGATACCCCTCTATATCACTACCCGAAGGAGTCTCAAAGCGGCTAACATTCTCCTTTCCCTTCCTCCCCCACAACAAACACTCTGTGAGGTGAGTGGGGCTGAGAGACTTCAGAGAAGTGTGATGAGCCCAGGGTCACCCAGCAGCTGCATGTGGAGGAGCGGAGACGCGAACCCGGTTCCCCAGATTACGAGTCCACTGCTCTTAACCACTACACCACACTGGCTATCCTGTGTGTTCTGTTTTCCTACAGCAACCCTCAGTCCCTCTTCATAGCCAGCCCCATGGGATTTGGACACAGGCTGCCCCTCCCTTTATCTAGAAGGGGCTCATAGACTAAGGTTACCAGATTTTTATCAATTAATCCGGGGACACTTTTCAACTTCAATGGATTTTGTACTGGGGGACTGATTTGTAAATCTGGGGACTATCCCTGGGAAACGGGGATGTCTGGTCGCCTTATCATAGACCCCTCCCCACCTCCCAGATTGACCCGTTTCAGCACCAGCCTGCCAGCTTGGCAGCCAGCGAAAGTGGCTTGATCTGACCAAAGAATTGTCAAACTTCACAGTCCTAACAAAAGCACCGTAAAATTTAAGCTCACTTCATTCTAGCAATTTTGATTGGTCTTTTTTTAAAAAAAGTGAGGAAATATGTTAAAGGGACACCAAAAATAGATTCTCTCAAGCAGTACTGATATATCGCTCAGGGCCGGTATGAGGAGCAGACGGTGATGTCAGCTTCGCTCAGCGGTATATCTCTGGGTGAAAGCGCCATCCCACTCAGCCCTCATATGGCAGCGGAGAGGGAGAAGCCGGCTGTCTTGGCGAGGGGCTCAGGCACTCTGTCCCTCCCTCTGCATCCACTGAGCAGTTAAGGGAGCCCCGCGCCCTGCCCACGAGCAGCAGGAGCAGGCTGGGGCTGTCCCTTCCCGCTCTCCAGCTGAGCTGCGCAAACAAGCCAGTGAGCGCCTGGGTGAAACCGCCTCAGTTCCCCAGGTGAGAGCCGGGCAGTTTCACCTGGTGTCTCACAGGCAGAGGCCAATGCAGCTTGTTTTTACAACATCGCAGTATATATGTTTGGCTGGCGATACACCACAATGTTGAAAAGCTGATATTGCCCAACCCTAATAGGTGAGCGGAAGGTAGATCAGGACTTTCAGTAGATCACTAAGGATTTCTGAATCCTGGTTTGTTTGCAATAGTCGTCGGTGGGCCTCAGGGATCTAGAGTAAGGGAAGAAAACCCAGGTCCCTCAAGGGGTCTTGAAGTGCACCCCCTCACCCCCTCAGCTTGATTGCCGTTGGAAGCTGTTGGCCGTGAGCTGTTGTGTGAATGATCAGGTTATATTGTCTGCTCTGCATCTGCTGCCTTCAGATTTCCATTGGGTGACCCCTGAGTTCTAGTATTGTGAGAGACGGGGTGGGGGGAATTCCCCTTTCTTTTTTTTCTGCAAACTGATATTCTAACCTCCTTGCAGTCCTCCCGCCCCCGGCTCCTCTTTCTAACCTGGCAAACACACAAGTCCAAAGTGCCAAATGACTGCAGTGGTTGCCTTGGACGATGACTTTATGTTGGTGTCCGGTGAACCTGTCCTACAAGTTCATTTCTTGGCATCTTTTGGTCTTTCTTTTGCAGCAAGTAATGATTTAATGTTTGAATATTTCCCGACAGAAACGAACCACACCAAGCTTGCAAGTAGGGTTCCCATTTCGAGTCCAAACAAAGAGTTCAACATGGCTCTCTCTGTTCCAGTGTTTTTTAATATTTCATTGTTCCTGGCAAAAGTTATAATTTTATTTGCTCCAGAAAACCCTACAGCAACCTCCTAAACCTGTCTCTTCTCTCTTCTCTCTCTCTCTCTCGCTCTCTTTCTCCCCCCCCCCCCCACCCAGCTGAACTGTCTCATTTAAAGAATTGCATCCATTGTAGAAGGGTTAGGGGTCTGGCTGTCTTAGAGCTTTGTGTTGCAAAACAGTGTTGGGGGTGATGGACGTCCCATCAAACCGTAACCCGATTAGGCAGGGGAGGGCCACAGCAGAGGTTGGGAGCCAATGGTGCTTGAGGACATTCTTCCCCAGGAGCCCCTGAATGGAAATCCCATCTGTCGACTGGTAAAGCCTTTCTCTGCTCCTGCTGTGTGCCTCTGATAATGGGGGCCGCCTTCAAAGGAGCCCCCCTCCTCCCAAGCAAGAGTTGGATGCTTCCTGAAGGCCCGTCCCAGGAGGGGAGAGAACGAGTGGTGGGTGCGCTGCAGAGACCCTATTGTGTGCGTTTGCCCTGCACGAGGGAGATGGGGCGAGTCCCAGACGCCCCAGACAGTGGGAGTGAGTGAAAAATGGCCCTTCCATTCAGCCACGACAGCTCCTTTTTGCAGGTGGCTCCGGGGGCGAAAGGTCAGGAAGTCGGGCTGCTGGCACAAAGGCGAGGCAAGGAAGCCGAGCATGAAGGCGACGGGAAGAGATGCAGCCAGTGGGAAGGAGGGCCAGGAGGAACCGCACTGGTTTCCAGGCAGACGGGATACGAGGTGCCCTCTCCACTTGCATGGAGTTTCACCCCCTGCCACTGAACTGTGCGCCCGCCAGGAATGCCCCTTCGTGCATCATGGCCGCATGAGCCACATTCCTGAGAATCAGAAGCGGAGCTCACTGCCCCGGGCAGCCTCTGAGAATGCTGGACCAGATTGGCCTGTGGTTCCCCCCCTCCCTCCAGTTCCCTGCTGAAAGTGAATAATGATGACGAGACCGGTGCAGTTCACCAGGAAGGGTACTTCACAACCGGGGAGCCACCACTGAAAAGGCCCTGTCACAGGCCAGCACCAACCAGGCAGCCCCTGGTGGTGCCACACAAGGATTTTAGGTAGCAAGGCTGGGCAGGACTCTTCTCTGCCTGAGATTGTTGAAAGTTGCTGTCCGTCAGAGTAAGTACTAGGTGAAATGGGCCACTGGTCTGACCTGATTATCAGGCAGCTGCCCATCTTGCCCCAGGCAAGGGACTGAGGCTGAAATTGCGCACTGTGGCACACAACAGGCTTCTGCTGCAGCACAGAGGTGCAGACTTCCAAGGCGCCCGTCTCTGTCGCAGGAGGTCAGGACACGTCCTCCGCTATGACCTGATCCAGGGGTCAGCAAACCTTTTCAGCAGGGGGCCAGTTCACTGTCCCTCAGACCTTGTGGAGGGCCGGACTATATTTTTTTGGGGGGGTGAACGAATTCCTATGCCCCACAAATAATCCAGAGGTGCATTTTAAATAAAAGGGCATGTTCTACTCATGTAAAAGCATGCTGGTTCCCAGACCATCCACGGGCTGGATTGAGAAGGCGACTGGGCCGCATCCGGTCCCCGGGCCTTAGGTTGCCTACCCATGAGATCAGTGCATCGCTCAGCCCTTTCAGCTGTTCTCCAGACGTTCCAACCAGGTACTCCAATACAGCTCCCACCAGTTTGTGCTGCCTGGGACTAAGAAGCATTGTCGTGCAGAACACCTGGAGGGCACCAGGTCGGCAAAGCTTGCCGTCATTTCCTCCTGTCCCTTGCAGGAGTTCTCAGTAGGGGGATTTGCCTCCTTTTTTCTTCCAGAAGTGGCTGGATGCAAATGACCTTTTTATTTGTCTGAAGTAGATCTTGGGTCTCTTTGCTAGAAATTGCCCTGATTAGATTATATATAGTGCTAATTCTGCTTTTCTTAATTAAAAAAAAAATCAAGAGTGCCTCAGAAAGTGACTGTGCCCAATCAATAGGCTGCTGACAGTGGCATAATTTGTAATTCCATTTGTAATTTTCCATCAGACATCTGTCTCGGTTCCTTGTGAGTCAACATAGATCTGTGCAACTTTACCCAGCTGGCTCTGTTCCAGCAGTGTGGGGTGACTTCCCCCCCTGTAGCTTAGATGGATCTCTGGCGTCTGTCGCCATCGGGGTGAACACACTTTCCCCTGGTCCCAAATGCTGATTTATAACCAGAATGGTATGCACTATGTGCCTTAGAAAAGCCCACACCCAGCCCTGGAGGACCCACAGTCTTTATCCCCATAAAGAACAGAATTCTGCAATCTTGCAGATCACTGAACTTGACATGATGTTGAGCTTCGGGCAGTGAAGCCTTTGGCTCTGATTGGTTGAGCTTCTGTGACCCTACAGAACAGAGCCTGGGAGCTGGGGTGGGGGCAGACTTCAGACTTGCAGGGTCTACTCAATGTTGCCCCCTCCCCAACTGGAAGATCCATTAATTGGAGCCTGATCCAAAAGGCAAAACTTGGAATAAAAGTATTCTGAGCTCAGGAAATTGTTTTTGAGTACCAGAACTGAACCTAGTACATAGTACTTTGTTATCCACAGCTTTCTATATTTCAGTGTGGTGTAGTGGTTAAGAGCGGTGGACTCATAATCTGGTGAACCGGGTTCGCGTCTCCGCTCCTCCACCTGCAGCTGCTGGGTGACCTTGGGCCAGTCACACTTCTCTGAAGTCTCTCAGCCCCACTCACCTCACAGAGTGTTTGTTGTGGGGGAGGAAGGGAAAGGAGAATGTCAGCCGCTTTGAGACTCCTTCAGGTAGTGACGAAGCAGGATATCAAATCCAAACTCTTCTTAGCCAGCATGGTGTAGTGGTTAAGAGCAGTGGACTCGTAATCTGGGGAACCGGGTTCGCGTCTCCGCTCCTCCACCTGCAGCTGCTGGGTGACCCTGGGCTCGTCACACTTCTTTGAAGTCTCTCAGCGCCACTCACCTCACAGAGTGTTTGTTGTGGGGGAGGAAGGGAAAGGAGAATGTTAGCCGCTTTGAGACTCCTTCGGGTAGTGATATAGAGGGGTATCAAATCCAAACTCCTCCTCCTCTTCTTCAGCAGTGTAATTTGGAAAGGGGGGTGGGATTTTTGCCCCTTCTACTTTTATATGGTATGGTGGGGATTTAGAGATCCTTGATGATCACCTGTAAACCACCCTGAGATCTGCCAGTAGATCCCAGTCCACCTTCTCTCTCTCTCCCCCCCCCCCCGTTGCAGATTGACGTACAGTGTATTTATTTGTCTCTGTGCAGATTGCATTCTGTGGACATCATTCACTTCCTGGGGCTCCCACGGGAGAAGGGCAGCATATAAAAACAAGCTGTATTTGAAAATAGTAAAACAGCCAAATTTAAAACACTTGGACAAGCAGATATGTTTTGACCAGGGTTGAAACCATTGTAAAATCCGGTTCCTGCCACGCTTGGCCGACAAAGAGCCTCTTTGGAAGATGGTCGGGTGTAGAACAGGGGTTGTCAACCTGGTCCTTGCTGCCCACTAGTGGGCGTCTCAGGATTCTAGGTGGGTGGTAGGGGGCTCTACGGGACAAGCGCTGGTGGGCGGTAAGGAAATTTGACCATCAAGAAAGATGCATTGGTGGGCGGCAGGCATAAAAAGGTTGACTACCCCTGATGTAGAAGAACATGAGCAGAGCCTGCCGGATCAGGCCAGTGGCATCCGGTGCCCATGAGTCCACCATGAGATGCTTGTGGGGAACCAGTAAGCAGGACCTGAGTGTGAGAGCCAGTCTCCCCTCCTGCAGTCTCCAGCAGCTGACATTCGGAAGCATCTGTGCCTCTGACTGTGGAGGCAGAGCACAGCCATCCAGGCTAGAAGCCGTCCATCGCCATCGCCTCCTCATTCCTCTTTTGCAGCGAGTCTCATAGTCACACCTGGGTCCCAAGCGCTTCGGGGTTCTTCTGCCTGCTTTTTCTTTTTTTGAAGCAAACCATCGCTAGTTTTCCCATTCAAAGTGTGATTTGCCCATGTGGACAAAACGGGCAAATGGCAGTGGGTTCATTCAGACGCAGGAAACACTGAGCTTTCCTGATCATAACGCCAGCACTTCTTCTTCCCCGTTTTCTACCTCTTGTGTGATGGAACTGTGACTTTTTGAGCGATGTGCTGGAATGTGACAATAAATACCTTTCCCCCCAGTGGGTGTGATGTGGCACAACAACAACCCCCCTGCCTTCCACACAGGCATGCTTTTGTTGCAGAGAGAGCCCCCCAAGGGGTGCATCTTCCAGGTTAAAGAGACTTTAAGTGGATCTTTGCTGGAATCAAACAACATGGATGTGAGCACTAAACGTGGCCACTAGTTTTCCAGAATGGCTTTTATGTTAGGTGAAAACTCAAGTATTGTGCGGAAATTAACAGTCAGGGGAAACATCAGGGGAATGGAGCAAACTGCTGTGTGAGTTCAGCCTTGGCTTTGCTTCAAGCTAGACGCAACAGGATTCTTCAACTGAGATGCCTCCATTTCCAGGGGTTGGGCTAGATGACCCTTGGAGTCCTTTTCAACTCTACAATTCTACAAAGAGAGAGTTGTTGCACACAGTAAACCAGAGCGCATTAGCTCATGCATGTGGAAACTGAAGGCTTCTTAAGGTTTGTTCTTGCTGCTCCAAGCTCTGGTTTGCATTTTGGCTGCCCTGGGCCAGTCAGTTGGGTAGGTCATAATTCAGTTTTTAGGGGGTAAGTGCAGAGTACCAGCTTGCTGGCATTCGTGTTGAATTTATGTTTTACTTTAAACCAGGTTTAAAGGGGCATTTAGTATATTTGAAAAATGAAAATAAAGCATGCTTGAAGTGGGATTTTTATCTGTTCTCTGGCAGGCTGCAGGATGAGGCCAGTGGGTGTTGTTTACCTTGCTTGGGTCACATCCTGCACAGGCCAGCTGCAGCTTCCTTCAGCTTTTGTGCCTCTGCTGCTTTAGACTTTCCTTTGCTGATAAAGATCAGGTTTGAATGGGAGGCCTGCCTGGGCTAAATGTATGCAAACTAAATCAATTTGCAGATAATAATTTACTTTGCTTCGTTTTACTCTTTAGAGACTTTCGGGGGTTTTTTAAACTGTGGTTTTTCCCCTTTACTTTTGCTGGGGGATGGAGGGGAAAGTGTGCTCTGTGGTTGGAAGAGATAAGAGCGGTTGGGAGCCAAAAGTACATGGAGGGATTAGCTTGGCTGTCTTTGTTCCATGTTCATATGGGCAGATTCAGAATCTTGAGTGCCTACGATTGTGTTGTGGGTACGCACACCAGAAGCTTCTGTTGCTGCTCATGTGGCTTTCTCGCAAACCCCACCAGCCCCACACTCCCCTTGCCAACCCACAGCCTTCCCTTTACACCTCACCCAGACCCCCTAGCCTCACAGCTCCTCTGTGCCCCTCCATCCCTGCTTTAGTCAAAGCTGCCTTCTCCTCATGCAAATCCAGGACTGTGACGCTGGGATGAGGCAGATCAGTTCCTCCAACGGGGACTGCATGTTGACTGCCTTACAGACAGATAGGTGGATAGATAATTAGAAAACGAAACGTTGCTGGCTCTCCAGAATGCAAAGTGAAATCCTAGAAGTGGGGGGGGGGGGCCTAAGCAGTTCTCTCTTCAGAGTATGTCTTTTGGGCTTTGCACCTCACCGTTCACCTCCTTCCCCTCCTTGGAGGAGCAGATGCAGCCATGCAGAATTAGCAGATCTGCGCAGGTGACATGATTTACTCAGCTTGCAGAATCCTAGAAACCAGAGCTTGGCAGAGAATGTTAGATACTTCCTCACACAAATAAAGATGCAGCCTTGACGATAGCTGGGATAGCCTTCTGGAAGAGGATATGCAGCTGGTTAGATATGCTGCAGGGCTTCAAAATGAGAACTCTTGGTTTCATGAACTCTCCAGACCACACATTTTTCTCAAGTTTTCCCCATAATCCATGAGAACTAGGAACTTCCTTTAAGAGAGACTGAGAAATTACCGTAAGGTCGAATTCCATGCCTTGCTTGGGGAAAATGCTGGTGTAAGGAATCTACAGCTGCCGGCCTTGGGTGCCAGCCCCTTCCCACTCTCGCCCTGCGACGTCTCCAGTCCAAAGCCTGGTCTTCCTTCATTTTGCCAGCCAATTATGTGCCTTTGCTTTGCCTTCTGATCCTCTTGTGTGGCTTTTCTTCTTAATCTTGAAATGTAAAGATTCAGACGTAACATCTACCACTCTCTCCTATATAAATAAAGGCATAGGGGCTCATACTTGCAGAGCAATCTTAGGCATGTCTACTCGGAAGTAAGTCCCATTGAGGTCCCTAGGACAAGCACATGGGATGGCAGCTTTTAATGCCTTTGCAGATCCACTTTGTCCCTCTCTCCCTCCCTCTCTCTCACTTGTCATGGGCTGAGCTTTACAATAGTCACAGCCCACCTTCGGCAGAGAAGAGCTCCTGAGGCAGCATTTTTAATGCAAATGAGGCAGAAGAAGGGAGTTACTGGCCGTATTATGAAAATCCACTATTGGAGCAGGAAGGATTTGGGGAGACCTCCCGTATTGTATACATGAAGGAAAGTCGGGACCATAGAATGGTAGAGTTGAAAGGGACACCCAGGAGTCATCTAGTCCAACCCCATGCAATGCAGGAATCACTGGCAGATGGCCCCCCAAACTCTGCTTAAAAACCTCCTAGGAAGATGATGGGAGCTGGTCTCCCTCCCAGTAGCAGATGGAGGGCTGCCCCACAGTTGTAGCTGGGGCACAGGGGAGGAAAACTCAAGGAACATCCATTTTGGCAGGGTAGGGGTTGAGTGATTCCCCCTGCTGCCGCCGCCCAATGTTGTTGTGAAGGAGACAACCGAGCTTCTTTAAATTAACAGACTTAGCGGAGGGGGGAGAGGACGCCCCCGCCCCCCGTATTATCTGTGGAGAAGCCCCCTCTTTTAATCAGCAGTGTCTGTGTCTCTTTAAGATCACCAGGCTTTTAAAGATCACACAAGGGGTTAGAGGAAAATTACCCTTGACTCTTAACATGCTAATATAATCTTGAACCACATCTTCAGAACGGCAGCTAAAATTGCTTTTTAGATTAACATTTAATTATTAACAGCGCTCTCTCTCTCTCTCTCTCTCTCTCTCTCTCTCTCTGAGCTAGCATGCTGCTCCCCCCCCCCTTGCCAAATATATTAGGCGGGTCTGATGGAGACATTTTCAAGTGAAGATGGGGGGGGGAGGGTGGCAGGGAGGAAGGTCAGCCATGCCTCCCACAGGCCCCCGCGTGCTTTATTGCAAGCCGTTGGCAAGGTGCTAGTGAACTTTCCCTTTTGGGTTTTTTATTTTATATTTCCCATAATTTACAGAGGGGTGACCTTTCCCCAGATTAACCCATTCCACCACCCAAACTGTCAGCTTTGCTAATTGAGTCGCCACTCATTTTCCTTTTCAAGGTTGAGCATAAATTACACCGCAGTTTCCAGCGTAGCAACCTGGGGGGAGGGACACACACACAAACACGCACAGTAATTCAGCAGTGACTAGCCTTGGAACATGTGAGGAAGGAACAGAGGGTCCTTCTGAACATGTGCAGAGTGCATTGCTATCCTTTCCCAGTGTTGCAGCTTGGAGTGGGCTCGGGTGGAGTTGCCCCATGTGGTCTTGAATCCTCGAGCCTCTTGGGACGTTGTTGGGGTTTTTGAAGAGGACGTGAGGAGCTGAACAGTTGGTGCCCTTAGGATCATCAAAATGTAGAGCTGTAAGGGACCCCAGCGGTCATCTAATCCAACACCCTGCTTAGGAAGGCCAGAACAGCCTGGCTTAGGAAAGTTGTTACAGGTTGGGTTTAAGAATTGGGTGAGGATCCTCCAAACTACTTTTTTGTGCTGGCATTTGTTTCCTTGCAAATGGCTCTTGAGCAGTTTTCCTGATCAAGCCAAAAAGAACATTTTGAGAAGACAGGGCAGATCCCTAGAATTTGGGTCATGTCGAGTTTGGTGAGTTGCTGAGCCTGCCAGATGGGATTCCACCGAATGTGAAGCTTTAACACTTGGCTGATGGTAAAAGCTAGATCTGTTGAGGCTTAAAACAGACCAGAACTATTTTCTGTGTTGAGGTTTTACCCTCCAAATGACATCCTCACAAGAACCCTGCTGGGTAGGATAAGCTCTGAGGGGGGGGGGGGCTGTCCCCCAGCAAGCTCCGTGGTGGAGCGGAGATTTGAACCCAGGAGTTCCCTGCCCTACTCCAGATTGCGACACCACACTGGCTCTTGTCTGGGGTCCAGATTCAGCCCTTGACCGTTCAGCTTACCAGGTGACGTGGAGCCAGTCTACCTCACAGGGTTGCTGGGGACTAACATGAACTTGTGAAATAACCATTGTGGGAAATAGTATTAATGTTCCTGGCTGCTATATGTAATGACCTGTCTGTGCACCAACACTGTGCTAGTGCTGTACAGACAAGGGAACTTTGGGTCCAGGTCAGGGGAGGTAATAGTCCTTCTCTCTTCTGCCTCGGTCAGAGCCCTCCTGGATTCCTGTGTCCACTTCTGGGCTCCCCACTTGGAAGAAGGATGTGGACCAGCTGGAAGGTGTGCAGAGGAAGGCAACCAGGGGGATCAGTTATCTGGAAACTGAGCCTTACGAGGAACGGTTGAGGGAGTTGGAGATATTTAGCCCAGAGGAGAGAAGACTGAACGGTGACAGGATCACCATCTTCAAATACCTGAAGGGTTGTCACATGGAAGATGGAGCAAGCTCCAGGACCCAAACCAGTGGATTGAAATAGCAAGAAAGAGATTATGACTAAACATTAGGAAGAAATTTGTGACAGTGGGACAGACTCCCTCGGGTGGTGGTGGACTCTCATTCTTTGGAGGTTTATAAATAGAACTTAGATGGCCATCTGTCGGGTATGCTTCAGCTGTGATTTCTGCATTGCAGGGGGTTGGACTGGATGACCCTTTGCGGTCCCTTCCAGCTCTACAATTATGTGATTCCGTGGAAGTTTATGGACCTTCTGCCAGATGGATTTAAAATTATGACTAAGAATAAAAATAAAAAACCAGGCAGGGGAAATGTTGTGTATCGGTGGAGATGTTTGAATGCTCTGAGGACCGATTTTGGTAACGAAGAAGGTCCTGCGGAGGGAGAAGGCATCATTCCAAAAAGGGACAGAGCTTGGAGAAAAGAGAGCTGCCTCCCTGTCAGGTAAACAGAGGCAGCCAGAATGGCATGGCTTTGAGGCTGCCATGGATTGTGCCAGAGCAGGATGCCTAGCTTTTGACCTGCTGGGAGAACCTTTTGGGATTTTCTCCTGCGCCAGCCCTGCCAGGAGATGTGCAAGGGGATAGAAGTGCGGAAGGTTGTGCAGGAGAACATCCCAAAGAGGGGATTTGGCTCCCGTGTCAGTGAATGCTCTGGTACTACCATTTTCCTTTTCGTTTGCCAAGTTCTGTTGTAGCCCTGAGTGAAACTTGGTGCTGTCTGTATTGGGCACCTCTGCTTTTGATGGGGTTTGGGGAACTCCTGAGCATATCGGTAGGGGGAGGGCACCAAATTTGGAAGATTTGCCCATGATGCACATCTTGGATTGAGAAGATGAATTGGGAGCCCTGCCTTTTTCCTTTGAAGTCTTAAACCACCTGTCCTCGTGTGACTGGCAGGCGGATAGCCCTGCTCACTTGCCCAGGGGCCCGTGGGTGTCCTGAACGCGTCTCCTTCCGCAGCCCTGATTTTGATCCCTTCATCCCTAGAAGTCCAGTGTGCTCACTATCCATTGTGCCATGGAGCCACCTGTTTGGCCTGTTGAGATTGTGGCAGTTCCCAAATCTTCAGAAATCGTCTTTGGGTTGGTTAGCGTTTCTCCAGCAGCCTCTCTGGATCTGAATGTGTCTCTCTCCTCCGCTCTGGCCTCCACCCCCTTTCCCTTTTATCTCAGCCTCGCCGGGCAAGGGGGGAGAGAAGGGCATCGACAGCTGTGCGGCGCCTTATCTTGCCACGGGGACCTTCAGCGCTGGAGATAAGGCCCATCTTATCGCCTGCGGATGTCAGAAAAAGTGCCAAAGAGTTCTATCATTGGCGCATTAGATGTCGGCTGGGTTTTTTTCTTTTATTAAAAAAGTCACAAAGACCTTGGACTTATAAATAGCCTCAATTTTAACGATAGGCTTTCAAAATTAGCAGGCGTTAAGAGAAAAGGCTGTGAAATGGGAGCTGAAAAAAACAGTTGGTTGCCATAGGGTAACTTTTAGAAAGGCAGCTATTTTTAAAAACCGGAGAGTGGCGGATATTGAATGCATTGTGTTGTACCGTTGCTTTACGGGAAGCCTAAAGGCAAAAAAGTGCAGCTGATCTGTTTTGAGTTGGCAGGTGCGATTCAGACCCTCCACCATTGATGGTCGACAGAAAATGCTGTCTTATTCAACATCTTTATCAACGACTTGGATGATGGACTCAAGGGCATCCTGATCAAATTTGCAGATGACACCAAACTGGGAGGGGTGGCGAACACCCCAGAGGACAGGATCACACTTCAAAACGACCTTGACAGATTAGAGAACTGGGCCAAAACAAACAAGATGAATTTTAACAGGGAGAAATGTAAAGTATTGCACTTGGGCAAAAAAAATGAGAGGCACAAATACAAGATGGGGGACACCTGGCTTGAGAGCAGTACGTGTGAAAAGGATCTAGGAGTCGTGGTTGACCACAAACTTGACATGAGCCAACCGTGTGACGCGGCAGCTAAAAAAGCCAATGCAATTCTGGGCCTCATCAATAGGAGTATAGCATCTAGATCAAGGGAAGTAATAGTGCCACTGTATTCTGCTCTGGTCAGACCTCACCTGGAGTACTGTGTCCAGTTCTGGGCACCACAGTTCAAGAAGGACACTGACAAACTGGAACGTGTCCAGAGGAGGGCAACCAAAATGGTCAAAGGCCTGGAAATGATGCCTTATGAGGAACGGCTAAGGGAGCTGGGCATGTTTAGCCTGGAGAAGAGGAGGTTAAGGGGTGATATGATGTTGTTGTTGTTGTTTAGTCGTTTAGTCGTGTCCGACTCTTCGTGACCCCATGGACCAGAGCACGCCAGGCACCTCTGTCTTCCACTGTCTCCCGCAGTTTGGTCAGACTCATGTTTGTAGCTTTGAGAACACTGTCCAACCATCTCATCCTCTGTCGTCCCCTTCTTCTTGTGCCCTCCATCTTTCCCAACATCAGGGTCTTTTCCAGAGAGTCTTCTCTTCTCATGAGGTGGCCAAAGTATTGGAGCCTCAGCTTCACGATCTGTCCTTCCAGTGAGCACTCAGGGCTGATTTCCTTAAGAATGGATGCGTTTGATCTTCTTGCAGTCCATGGGACTCTCAAGAGTCTCCTCCAGCACCATAATTCAAAAGCATCCATTCTTCGGCGATCAGCCTTCTTTATGGTCCATAAAGTGATATGATAGCCATGTTCAAATATATAAAAGGATGTCACATAGAGGAGGGAGAAAGGTTGTTTTTTGCTGCTCCAGAGAAGCGGACACGGAGCAATGGATCCAAACTACAAGAAAGAAGATTCCACCTAAACATTAGGAAGAACTTCCTGACAGTAAGAGCTGTTCGACAGTGGAATTTGCTGCCAAGGAGTGTGGTGGAGTCTCCTTCTTTGGAGGTCTTTAAGCAGAGGCTTGACAACCATATGTCAGGAGTGCTCTGATGGTGTTTCCTGCTTGGCAGGGGGTTGGACTCGATGGCCCTTGTGGTCTCTTCCAACTCTATGATTCTATGAAATGCCTCTTCTTGTCCAGAGAACCTGGGGTGGAACTCCCCCTCCCTCCCTTTCTGCCTCCTTGGATCCTTGGCCCCTTGCCCACATCCCATAATAAGTTTATGGAATGCAGTGCCACAAGCTGCTTGGTGACAGCCACTTGCCCAGAGAGCTGTAAAGCACACAGATCTCTGGAAGAGGAGGGGGAAATGTCTGTCCGCAGGGACTTGCCATGTACAAGTGTCGTCCCCCCCCCCTTATGTGGGGGTTGCATTCTGGGCCCCTGCGCACATAAGTGAAATTGCATAATAGGGAGGGCGTGTGGGGAGGACATAGAGAGAGACTCACCCTGGAAATCAGTCAGGCTGCTGCCTCCCTACCGGGGGGGGGGGGGCTGAGCAAGTGGCGGCAGCGGCCATGGAGGGCGAGGGCCTAGAAAGGGGCCCAGCAGGGCCTTTGGTCTAGCGTCCTTTCGTGGAACCTCCATGTTCAGAATCGGTGTGCCTGTGAGTATGAGCTCCTGGGGATGAACCACAGAGGAGCCCTGTTTCCCGTGTGGCCTGTTTCCCGTAGGGGCACTTAGCTGATGACTGCGGAAGGGGGCAGGACCTGGCCTGATCCAGCCCTCCTGCAATGCACAGTTTTCCTTGCCCTTGAGTCCTGGGAGGGAGTCTTTCTCTCCCCAACCCATTTCTGTAGGTGACCTGCTATATTCAGCGCAGATTCAGCACTTCCGATATATTTCAGGAAGCTGTTTGTTTGCCTGTTCTCTGTGCATTTGGACAGCTCTTAAGATACCATAAACAAATTTGGCATGGTGGTTCCTGAGATCAAGGGGCAGGTTTTAATTTGTGCTCGGATAAGATTGGACACCATTTTGAATCAAGGCTGAACCTTTGAAAACAATATGGATTTTAACAATTGATGTCAAAACTGCATTATTTGTTCCTGAGCCATGGCTGCTGGTTCATTGCAAGAGGGGTCCTCCTCAGCCTTTTCTGAGCTGCAGCTTGCAGGACAGAGGGCCCCCCATTTCTCAATATGCCTGCCTCCCCCCTTCTCTCTCCCTCTGTAAAACAAAACCAGAAGGAGCTGTGGGCATTGGTGCTGACGGGCAGCGTGCCTTAATGTGGCCCAGTGGTGGCTCTGGCCTCACCAGGGTGCTGGCCAGGTGCAACGGAGATCTTGTACCTGTAGAACTGCCTCTTCTTGAGGTGGGCAGAAGATGCTCTAGGAGACAAGGGGGGCAAAGCATCTCTCCAGGTTCAGGTGGTTTGAGGTTTTGTGGCTAATTAAGAGTGATGTGACCTTTTCTAGGAGAACCTGTCAGCGGAACTTATGGGGGGGGGGGCATGAGAAGGATGTTGGCGCCCGCGGCACCCTTTGCCTCTTTGCCTTGCCACGTGAGTTTAGTGACCCAGAGAAGGAAATGGGGATCCACAAATACAGTTGCTAACAAACGGTGATGGCTAGAAATTTAATTTTGTTCTGGAAAACCTGCTGGGAAGACTCTCAGAAAGGCAGTGTCTTGTGCTAGGATCAGCGTCATGTAGGTTGGATGCTTTTGAAAAACACCTGGTGCACTTAAACTTTGCCTGTGTGGAGCAGAAAGCTCAAAAAGGCCGTCTCTTTTTCTGACTAGTGAAAGCATACAGTGGCTTCCCAATGCAGCCGTAATTTGTGGGTCCTTGGAGAGAAGCCTCCCTCCCTCCCTGGAAGACCTGGCCTTGTGGGATCATGAGGATCCCCAGGCTGCTGCGAGGACGCAGGCCGTATTTCTGCGCGTAGAGAGCACCTCCATCACATTCGCTGCATCTCTGCTTTCAGAGTTTCATCAGAGGCAATAAATGCTTCTGAGTAGCCATTGCAGGAACTTCAGGGAAGGAGAGTTGCTCTTCTGCTGGGGTCCTGCTTGCAGGTTTCCCATAATGAGCATGTGGCCGACCATGGTGAGAACAGGATGCTGGAGTCTTGTCAGCCTTGTCCTGCAGGCTCTCTTCCTTCCTATCCATTGCAAGGGTGACCCTCTGCTGTTGTGCAGTTCTTTATTTCAGGTGAAACAGAAGGCCAGCAGTCCTTTTCCATCTGAGCCGAATACCCCAAATAGACCCAACTGGAGCCTGGTGCAAAGAGTTGTGGGAGCTGGGGGGGGGGCTCCAGAGCATTCCCCTTGTGGCTAGTGGCCATCAGTAGCCTTATTCTTTAAAAATCTGTTCAGTCCTCTTCTTAATCCATCCACACTTTGTGGCCATCCCGGCCTCCTGCTGCAGGGAGTTCCATAGTTTAACTATGTGCCGTGTAAATAAGTCTTTTTTTCTGTTCCAAATCCTCCAGCCTTTCGCTCTCTTGGGCTGTTTTGCGTCCCAGTGGCCTGCTGGATGAGGGAACTGGTGGGAAGTGGAGTCAGCAGCAGCTGGAGGGGCTGCAAATGGGTCTCCAGCCTCCATCTCCACTTTCAGTGTCCATATTATAAAGCCCAGACAGCAAACTCTGGCTAAAGTGCGCAGGAAGAGAACTGTGTGCTGAGCATGGTCTCTTTGCCAGAGCCAGCTTGGAACTCAATCTGGGGTGGTTGGGAATTAGTTCAAATGCAGATGAAGCTAACTAAGCTAATGTTAAGCATTTGAACAGATCAGCCTCAAAGTCTCATTAGCTGATTCAGGGCCTTGCACGGTGCCCCCTTCCCTTTCGAACAGTCCTCCTCAGATGACAGTCAATCAGGACAGCTGGCTTCTGTGCCCCATCTCACCCCTCCCATGTGCAGACCACGATAGGTTGACGTTGGGGGGGGTGTTTCTCATGCTGGATCTCCTGTAGGAATTAGGGATGCAGAAGGTTACAGTTTTGTAGGATTACTGTTTGTGCATTTGGGGTGGGATCCTAGAAGGGTCCCCAAGGGACATCTTGTCCTACCTCCAGAAAAGGAGGAATCTCAGCTAAAGCACAGGTGACAGGTGGCTGTTCAACCTCTGCTTAAAAATCCACCGCCTTCTGAGGGAGTCCATTCCACTGCCAAACACTTCTTACCCTCGGAAAGTTCTTCCTGGTGTTTAGCTGGAATCGCCTTTCTTGTAACTTGTCTCCATTGCTTCGCGTCTTCCCCTCCAGAGTGGCAGAAAACACAGCCCTTCAGATATTTGAAGATGTGTTTTTAGATTTCTGGATTTTGTCTGTGTTGCTTTAACTGATGTAAGCAACCTTGAGTCCTGGTTGGGGGGAAGACATGGAGTATAAATAAATGTTCTAATAATAACTCACCTGCAGCTTAAACTCCATGTTGGGAGATCCCATCTCTGCCCCATTTTGAGACACACAACCCCCACGGTTGGCCCAGTGCATTTTCCTGCAAAATCCAAGCAGCTTTTCAATTTTGAGGCAGTAGGGTAGGTCTGAAAGTGAGAGCATTTGCTGCCAGTCAGGGTTGACAGTACTGAGCTGAATAGACCAATGGCCTGACTCTGTACAAAGCTTAGCCTGTTCCTAGTAGGTTTGCTCCTTCCATAGGTTTCATGGCAGCTCATGTCTGGCAGTGTACCTTGAGCTCATGCCGCAGAAGCTGCAGTGGACCCCTGGCAGGGGTGGGGGGAACATAGCAGATGGAGTAAACCAAATGCACAAGGTGCCCCGTTAAAGATGTGGTAGATCAGCCTGGCTAGTTGGTCTCCCACCATTCTCTGGTCCACAGCCTCCAAAGCTCCCTCAGGCATTTCATCCTCTGCCTCATACCAAGCCAGACCTTCATGACCTAGACCACCAGAAGAGCCCCTCTGGCTCGGGACAGCAGGGTCCCCTTCAGCACAGCCTCCTGTTCTCACGGTGGTCAGCCAGGTCCCTGTTGTGGGGAAGAGCCTCTGGCCTCCTTGGGCATCCAGCAACTGGCATTCAGAAGCGTTGCTGCCGTGCAAAGCTAAAATTTGCATTTGTTGCTTTGCCCCCCTTTTTCTCTGGCATGGGGCTCCTGGAAGGCTGCCCATACGTGCCCTTGGTCTGCAATAGGGTCCCTCCAGGCAGAACTGCATGGAAAGAGACCCTGATGCTTCCTTGCACTCGCATGGTTGCTGAGCAGTTTTGGGTCTGTCTGTGCGTGCTCCATGACATCACAGCAGATGAGCCAATCCGATGGGGAGCCTGGCAGGCCCCCGTGCAAACCACCTTGACCTTGTTACCATACGGATATAAGAGGCAACTGGTTTTGCGTTAACCTGCGACCTGTCTTCAGTTCCAGGAGTGGATCACCTCTCAGGTTTGTGGTCTGTCATAATGTACGTCACTCTTTGTGTGATGAGGAAAATAGGAAGCTGCAGTTCTAAGAGTTTTCGCTTCCCAGAGTTTCTCCCCCAGCCGCCTTTGCTCCGGCTTCTCCAGGTGGCAGCGTTGGTCTCCGGGGAGAGGAGGGCTGCCTGTGGATTTGCCAGGAGGATTAACACAAAGCGCCAGGCGGGCAGGGAGGGCCAGCAGCAGCACCCTCCTGCCAGAGACCCAGATGGCGAGTACCTGTTGGCTGGTCATCAAGAGCTGGAGGAGACGGCAGGTGGGATGAGGCTTAGGACAAGGAGGGCAGGCGAGGGATTGGAGCAGCGCCATGGCTGTGCAGGAGAAGCGCTGCGGAAAGGGGACGGGCGGACGCCTTTATTTCAGGGAGCATCTCAGCTCTGCAAATAAAGAACGCTGTATCTGTCTATTCCAGGGCTATTGTTATTGCTGTTTATTTACATTCTGCCTTTTCCCCAGACCGGGACTCCAGGCAGCTTATGGATAAAAATGCAAAAACGGACAGAAAACTGGGAAAGCTAAAAACATAGAAAGGATAATAATTTTAAAAAGCAATTACAACAATAATTTAAAAATGTTTTATTTTTACACACACACACACACCAGAACAATTGGACAAAGCAGCAGTGGCCTGACCCAGTCTTGATACTTAAAATTATTATTATGGTCACTTTCCCTCCCCCCTATGGTCCCCGGGCTGGGTGCAACCTTAAAAGACAGTAATAAAAGCAAGTTTAAAGCTGCTTACAGTCACAGAAATAGGGTGGATTGTGAAAATCTGTATCTCCAAATGTCCAGTGCCAGGGTAAAGAGGCACATCTTCTGCATTTGCCAGGAACTGCATAATGACAATGCACCTCTGGGGGCAGAAGTTCTTCAGCTGAGGGGCCACCACAGAGAAGGCCCTCCACTCGCAGGCCACCACTCCCTGCCACTTCTCAGGGTGGAGGAAGCACTAGGAGGTCCCCCTCTGCTGATGGCAGCACCCAAGTGGGTCTGTAGGGAAGGAGGGGGTCTTTCAGATATTGGAGGCCTGAGTTGTTTAGGGCTTTGGACGTTAACGTGAGCACCTTGAATTGGGCCCAGAAATGAACTGGCAACCAGTGCAGCTCGTTTAAATCGGGTGTTATGTGGATCTAAACAACACCGGCTGGTAATCTGACAGCTGCATTTTGGACCCATGAAAGTTTCTGAGTTGTCCGCAAGGATAGCCCACATAGAGCGCATTGGCCTCCCCACCCTTTGGGAGCGACCAGGGATTGGCCCTAGGACCTTGGAAATGCTTTGGTGGAGCACTGGCTTCTCATTCTGCTGGGAGGGCTGGCTGTGTTCAGGACACAGGAACCACCCGAGAATTGGAAACCGTGGACCTAGTCCAGGTGCAGCCCCATGGCACAGCCCCACTGTGGCTCACCCATGCCTGGCGAGTGGCAGCAGGAGCCACAAGGAGCCTTGTGTGGCCTCGGTCTTCTCTCTGGGAACTCACTTGTGGGCCTAGTGTGACGTGCAAACTGGGAGTGTCAGGATACCTTAAGTGAGAGGAACATAGGTCCCTTCCTGCAAAATCTGCAGCACATGCATCCCTCTGGCTGGTTTTTTGCACCTTGCATGAATTGCATCTGATTGCGCCCTAAAAACCCCGCCTCCTGCCTTCCTTGTGGCTTTTGTTGTTGTGGAGTTTAGCTGCTTCCCAGCGCTCTAGCGGCTTGCTGGCTCCCTGTATGACCAGGCCAAGGTTGTAATCCTGGCATTGTGGAGGTGAGCAGCTGGCTGGCTTATCAGTCAAGTGTATTCAATTCCCAAATAAGCCCTGCTCTGTTCTCGGATGTGTGCGCATATATGTATTTTCTTCTCTCCAACTACATAATTTCTGACTGATTGTGATATCATACTTTAAAATTACCAGAAATCAAAGCCGGGAAATGGATATCGCTGCTTTTTACCACGAGCTGCATTAACGAGGGACATATAACGAATGCTCCTTTCTCTGTGTCTCGCTCCTTTTCTTAAAGACAGTAATAGGAGAAAATTGGTTTTGAAACAGAATAAAAGTCCCTTTCAGAGGAAAATCACTTCTTTCAAGGTACCTTTGCAGAAAGTAAAATAGTCAGTGATGAAAGGTGGTTGTGTGATTGTCTTCTGCTTTTAGAGAGAGTCTGCTACAGATGGGGAAATACAAGATTGGGATAATTACATGGTAACGAACTCTTGTTGTGAAATTAGCATCTTAAGAAAAATAGTGGAAAAGGCTTTTATTCATGAATACTTCATTACTAGGAGGAAAGTGGACCAATTTGGCAACTTCAGGCACCTGTTCAGGATTAAATAACTTTTCTCTCGGCGCACCTTTCCCTCGCAAGTGTAGCATGTTTTTGCCGAACTTTTTGAAGGAGAAATGGATCCTTTGAGGTGGTCCGGAAAGGGACAGCGGAAGCAGCCTCTTCAGCCCAACTGGCCCTGTGGGAATGGCTTCAGAAAGGTGCAAACACTTCTGTGGTTTTTGAAAAATACCAGAAATCAAGTCAGGTTTCCCTACGCACAAGGAAGAGTTGTTCAAACTTTGGCACACCACATGTGCTGTGTGCCTTGATTGCTTACAAGAACGGGCAGGGGGGGGAATGTATACTTGTAAAAACTGTTTAGGAATAAAAAAAAATGTACATTTTGGAACTGGTTTGATTTCTCCTTTTTGTGAGTGTTTTGCTTTTCAATATTTTTAAATTTGGTTTTCTACATCCTGCTGTTTCTCCACTAGCTCAGTTTTTAGCTACTCATTCTTTTTTACTTTTTCAATGAAATCTGATAGAATATGCACACATTTATAAGTGGCACCAGTGTGACCTGGTTTTGATGCAGGGACTTGAACCTCCCTCCCCACAGGACAAGAACCCACAAGCAGGATTTGTGTTGAGAAACAAAAGATTGCCTCTGTTGTTCTTATAATAAACCGCAAAGTGTCTAAGTGCGTACTGCTGTGCAGCAACTGAGTTTTAAAAAACTATTTTAAAGCCTGCATATATACAGTCATTTAAAAATAAATACTTTTATCATTCTTATTATTTTTAAACTCACTAGCTACCTTTTTTGCCATTGCAATCCAAAGCAGCTCGCAACAATATGTAGATAACATACATTAAAACCATCACAAAACAAAAGCGTAGAAAAATAGAAAACACATTCATGGTTTTAAAAGGCAGGATTAAAATATCCTTCCCATCCAAGGGGCCACAGGTAGTTAAAATACCAAAGCTCTGGTGAAAATGAAACGTTTTTGCCTGGTGCCAAAAGATGCGTAATGATGGCGCCAGGAGGGCCTCTCTAGGGAGAGCATTCCACAAGTGGGGAGCCATCACGGAGAAGGCCCCATTCTCGTGTTTCTAGCTCTGGACCTCCCATAGAGGAATGCGGGAGGGACAAAGGGCAGAATAAACAGCAAGAAGCAGCAAAGGTTGCAGGCAGCATAAAAACCTGTCTGAGCCCAGGCCTCTGCTGAGCTGGCTACAGCAGCAAGCCAGAGACACGAAGTGCTGCCTCCGAACATGTGTGCAGAGACCCCTTCAGTTGTTGTTTCATTCCATTGTGAGATCTGGGTGGGTGGGGTGCTTTGAAAATGTATTTTTCTTCCTTTCTTGGTTTTAAATGTACCCGTCTGGTTTTCTGCTTGCTTGCTTGCTTGCAAGTTGCCTTAGAACTGTAGAGGTGGAAGGGGCCCTGAGGGTCACTCAGTCCAACCCCCTGCAATGCCTTGAGTTGCCATTGGTAAGAAAAGGTGGCCCATAAATTTACTGTGTGATAGCAGCCCTTGTTAAGGGAAGGTGTCTCTTGGGGTAGGCGGCCTCTCTGGCTCATGGCTGCCCTGCCTGCCTGCCCCCTGTTTGAAGGCCAGAGTTCCCTCCTGAGGTTGCCTTTTCTCTCTTGGGGGACGAGTCACGAGGCAGCAAAGGACACAAGTCTGTTTGGAAGGGAGGAGGACGATCCGCAGGGAGGCTGAGAGCGAGCAATTCCTTGCTGTCCATGCTAATTTATCAGCCTGGAGAGGAGACGGCCAGCCATTTCCGCTCACGCCTGTCGGCTGCGTTCAGGGGGAAGGACGTTGGGCTAAATCGTGCTGACATAACCATTAACCAGTTCACTCCAGTCAGAGGGGACGGACGGTGTGCAGTCTCCCACTTCATGGGCCGTGATGAGGAAATGTCCCCCGGGGGGAATCGTGCCAGGGGCAAAACGCCAGAGCAGGAGGGAACTTCCCTGCCTTTCCCCAGCACCCTTCCTTGCGCTTCTGGGCGGGACGAGGGCCGGCCGTGGCCCCTTCTGGGCTCCCACCCGCAGAAACATCCCAGGAGGGGTGACCTTGAGCCTGGCCGGCCAGCCAGCAGCCGCCCCACTTTGGCCAGGCACTTTCCTCGAGGACCGCTGGCCGTTTTGTTTGCTTTCCATGCAAATGGAGTTGGCGCAGCATGGGATTGCAACTGCTTTCCCTCAGCTTTATTAATTTGAAATTTTGTCTGCACAACAATCTTCTTTTAAAAGTAACCAGAAGTTTACTTACATTCAGTTCACAGTAGGTTCCCTGAAGGCAGGCTTTAGCTTGTAGTTACAGAAGAGAGTGTGGGTTCATCCCATATGGGGATTGAGCCCATGTGCTGCTGGCTGAGAGCCAGCAGTCAGCAAAGGGTATCAGGATGGAATAAAGCGAAGAAGAAGAAGACGGGAAGATGGATGTGTGACCAGCCTTTTTATGGGGTCTCCCAGGGTCACGCCCATCTACTTGGTCACATGTAGGAGGAGGATGCTCCAGACAGGTGTGACAGAAAGTCCTCCTGGCTGGAGTAACATCCCCCTGTGGGTCTACTCTGGACAAACAGGAAATGTTGTATTTGACTGCCTTCTGTGATGTTACATCCCACGCAATTTAGGTTTTCTTTTTGTTTTCCTTACCACCACTCTGAGATTTTAAGGGCCTGCCTTAGTTCCACCTGTGTAATTTCTCCTGGGGACGTTTTGCTCGCAGCCTTGGGGAAATGGTGCCTGCTTCCATTTGGCATATCCGAAGGAGGAGATTTGGTGCGGGGCAGAGGGAAAGGAGTAGCTGCAGGTCTTGCACCTGTTCTTCTGGCTTCGTCCCTGTTCCGCTCCGCCCATCCCTCCAGCATTTCTCAGGAGGTTGCTTCTAATTAGCAGCCCAAAAAGGTTACCATGAATTGTTTGAAAGTCACCCGGAGCAGAGCAGGACACTGTTTTATTCCAGTTCCCTCTGCAGTCAGAATTGATGGTGAGGAAAAGGGATTTGCACACAAGCTGCTCCTGCGCCTGCCATGCTGAGGGAGCTAGAAAGCCGCAGGGGTGGGAATCCGGACTGAAGGATCAGGAAGAAAGGGGTGGAGATCCGCTGCAGGGTTTAATCTGAGCCCAGGACAAAGAGCTGATCTTTACATGGACAGCAGTCACGTAGGACCCTGATATTTGGGACTTCACTGCTTGCAGATTAACAGGCTGCATTTTTTAAAAAATGGCCCCCTTTGGGGAAGGTGGTACAACTAGGGCAGGGGTAGGCAACCTAAGGCCCGGGGGCCGGATGCAGCCCAGTCGCCTTCTCAATCCAGCCCACGGACGGTCCAGGAATCAGCATGTTTTTACATGAGTAGAATGTGTCATTTTATTTAAAATGCCTCTCTGGGTTATTTGTGGGGCCTGCCTAGTGTTTTTACATGAGTAGAACGTGTGCTTTTATTTAAAATGCATCTCTGGGTTATTTGTGGGGAATAGGAATTCGTTCATTCCCCCCCCCAAAATATATATATATATATATAGTCCGGCCCACCACATGGTCTGAGGGATGGTGGACCGACCCAGGCTGAAAAAGGTTGCTGACACCTGAACTAGGGGGTTAACATTAAAGGGCAAAGAGCAGCAACCATTTAGTTATCTGTGTGTGTATGGGGGGCACCATTTATTTTGTCTTTTTACCTTGGGCACTAAAATGTTTTGAGCTGTCTTGTGTTCTTGGTGGTTAAAGAAAACATACACGGAGAGAAACAGCATCCCTGCATTTAGAAATGAGCAGCTAAGGGAGGAAGGCTGTAGCTCCAACTTTAACCATTACCCGCTAATTTTCTAAGTGTAAGGATTATTTTATTGTTAAAAAAAATGAGAGGGAATCTAAACATGCAATTCCCCACCTACAATCATGGTAGTAAAGTTCCAAGAAATAGTGCACAGTTGTTCTAAAGAGAGGAAAATCTGCTCCAAACCTATTTATGATGCCTGGGCTTAGACCAGGAATATGTTAGGGAAGATCACATAGCTATCTATCTAGATCAAAGGCCAATTAAAAAAACAAAACCTCATATTTCAAAAATGCCCATCCTATGAAGTATCCCTTAGGAACAACTTTTAAAAATGCAATCTGAATATGATACAGTCCAAACATTTTCAGTCATAATATCTTAAAATAAAATCCATGAATTTTTATCTAAGATATCTAGATAAAAGTCCGTTTTTCCATTTAAAAGAAGTAGTGTGACCTTTTGAGGTTAACTGTACGTCAATATTTCGTATGTTTGTTGCACTGGTTAATATTTAGACCAAGATGGGGGAACCTGTGACACCCCTCCATCTCCCACCCCCCTGAGCCGACATGCCAAATGGTCAGAAATGGTGGGAGGTGCATCCAGCAGCGTCTAGAAAGTCACAGGTTTCTCACCCCTAATTTAGCCCCCAGAGGGAAATCCGGCTCTGGCTGCTCCTGAGTTCCAGTGAGGCTTTCTGGAGCAACAAACCAGACATCTTAATTCTTGCATCAGGCAACAAGTAGGCACGCCTCTTGGGTGATTTGCATGAATCCGGATGTTGGAAGGCTAATTTTAAGTCAGTCCACCTGGAAACAAGTGGAGGCAGTAGGGAAAGAGGGAGACTTGTGCCTTTCCTTAGGGACAGCCAGGCTCCGGCACTCCTGAGACCAAGAAGCAGCCTTCCTGATCAGAGAACCTGTCCTTCCAGGCATATGCTGAGTTCTTGCAAGCTGCCTGATGGTTTAAGCCGACCTCCCCTTCTTTCTTCTCCCCACATTTGCTTGTTGCTCCCTGGGTAGGCCAGTCTTTCCTCCAGCAGCCAGAGATCTGTGTGTGATGTGATATATGCATCCTGACAAGCAGCTGTCAGTGGATTTCAGCATGGAAGCATAATGGAACAGAAACCTCCTCTCGGAAGGACACTGTCTGCTCCTTGTACATTGCCAGCCGACCTTTTCCCTGCGCCTGGTTGCAGTGGCAAGGCCATTCCAGACGTCACTCAGGGTGGAGAGGAACGAAGCATAATTTATGCCATGCGCTGCACTTCCCAAAGGATAGTGCTGTGTGCTGAGCTCCAAAGGAGCAAATCGGTGGCTTTGGCCTCTTTCCCCTCGCCTTGACTTTGATCATCGGGATTTCGAGGGCAGCCTGAGATGGGGCAGCTGAAAGCTCCTGAGCCCGCATTCCCCTTTTGCCAGAGGGAGGGTGGAGCGAATGCTGCATGCTGGGGGAAGCATGTGCTACTTTTCGGGTGGAGGGGGGACATCCAGTGCCAGTTGAGTGTTTTCTAAAACTTGGGGGAAGTTTTGTGTTTTGTTTGTTCCCATCAGGTCTTGCTGCTAAAACTTGCCCTGTTGGGAGGACTGTCCTCTCAAACAAATACAAGGATTATTTGGTTGTGATTTCTGCATTGCAAGGGGTTGGACTCTGGGGTCCCTTCCAAGTAGACAGTTTTAGGATTCTGTCATCTGCTGGGAAAAGAGCCCACCTTTGTGCCACTTCAGCTTTTATTGATGCTTCTGGGGTTATTGAGGGGGGGGGCTTGGTGTTCCTACCCACCCAGAAGGAAGTGATAGAAAACCACTTTTGGAAAACTTCCATAGTTGACTTTCTGTCGTGTCCTTGGATCAGCCTGCTGAGTCCTCCATGGTGCACACATTTAAATTGTAATGCTCAGACCATTCTGGAAGTCACTCAGGGCTAGGACAGAAGGCAGTGGGGTGGGGGCGGGGTGATTAAGCATAAGTAATTTAAATAATGTTGCCAAGACTGTCCAGATTCTGCACCAAGAAAAACAATAATAAAGCTGGATTCAGCAAACTGTGTGCATTATGCAAATTAGGCAACTATGCACAATATGTCTTATTTGGTGTAATTTATTTTCCTCTCCGCCATTCTGCATACATTATTCTGGCTTTGTTAGTCATGGGTAGGGCCTCAGAAATTCCCTAGAAATATCATTCAGCAACTTCTGTTGTTTTGAGGCTTCTGGCAGTATCTCCCTCGTCCTTTCAAGCACATCTCCACCACCATAAGGCCTATGTCCTTCGTTTGTCTTGAATTCAGCTGTCTGGTGCTGCACTCTGAGCTGTTCTGTTTAGCAATCTTCTTATTGACTCAGTTTGCAAGGTCCTCTGAAGTGGGAGAATCACACAACTTAGTCTGCATTCACACAGCAGTTTATTCCACAATATTTCCCTCTTAATTTCTGCATTATATTTGAACTTTCATGCAACTTAAAAGCCACTTCCATAAATTTAGCAGAATATAGTGCAAGTTTAGTGCTCATTTCAGTGTTATTTCCAACAGATTTTTTTACTGGAAACAAATTACATGGGAATGAGTGCTAAACTTTCACTATATTACGCTATATTTCTGAAAGTAGCTTTTACATTGTTTGGAAGCTCAAATATCTCGTGAAAGGTAATAGCTAGGGAAACATGAAAGTGGAAATAAACTGTTGTGCGGATGCAATCTGCATTTTTCCTAGGCTGTCTGTGATGTCTGTTATTACTGACTAGTGAGGTTCTAGGGGTCTTAGTAGACCACAAGCTGAACATGAGGCAACAGTGTGATGCAGCAGCAAAAAAAGCTAATACTATTCTAGCCTGCATCAACAAAAGTCTAGTGTCCGGATCAAGGGAAGTAATAGTCCCACTCTCTTCTGCCTTGGTCAAAGCACACCTGGAATACGTTGTCCAATTCTGGATGTCACAATTTAAGAAGGATGTTGACAAGCTGGAACGTGTGCAGAGGAGGGCAACCAGAATGATCAAGGGTCTGGAAACCAAGCCTTAGGAAGAATGGTTGTGGGAGCTGGGTATGTTTAGCCTGGAAAGACAGGGGAGATGTCTAAAGGGTTGTCCCATGGAAGATGGAGCAAGCTTGTTTTCTCCTTCTCTGGAGGGCAGGACCAGAACCAATGACTTCAAGTTACAAGAAAGGAGATTCAGAATCAACATCAGGAAAAACTTTCTGAGGGTAGGAGCCGTTCAACAGTGGAATGGGCTTCCTCGGGGGGGGGGGGTGGCCTCTCCTTCCTTGGAGGTTGGATGGCCATCTGTCAGGGATGCTTTAGTTGAGAGTCCCGCATGGCAAGGGGGTTGGACTAGATAATTCCATGATGCTATGACTCCCTCCAGTTTTGCTGACTGACGCTCTTCCGTCTTTTTGGGTCCCCTGCAGCGCACTCTGGATTGACGCCACTGGAGCCTTTTCCCTGCCACCAGTCATGTTGGCCTGCCTGCAGAGGACACAGAACCCGCCCAGCCAGCACCTCACCTGCCCAAACAAGGCCCTGGAGCCACGCAAGTGTGAGTAGACCCCCTCGCTGGTTCTTCTGCGGACTCGACTCACAACTGCCTTCACACAAACCAAAGCTGGTGTTAGTCGTAACGATTCCCATTGTGGGACACTTTCCAAGGTGTGCCTCTGTGGCCACATCTGCACCATGTGGGTTAAATCGCTATGGAACCATTTCAAATAGCTGCAGCTTCCCCCCAAGAGTTTTGGAGCTGCGGTGTGTTGGGGGTGCCAAGAGTTGTTGGGAATGCGCACCCCCCCACACACACACACTTAACAGAGATTGATTGTGAAGCCACCCTGGGAATTGTAGTTCTGGGAGGGAAATTGCTGGGACAGTTATCCCCTAACAACTCCCAGCACCCTTAACAAACTACACCTTCCAGAATTCTTTGGGGGAAGCTTAAAGTGGCGTTGTAATGTTTCAGGTGTATGGTTTGAAGGGAGCTCAGCCCGTGTGGCCAAGGAATGGCCAGGGATAAAGGGGGAGATCTAGGTCCCTAGAGCGGAGGAGAGAGTGGAAAGTGGGTGGGTGCTCAGGGGTAGCCTGCAGTCTGGGGGCCATGACAATCAGCCTAGTTTCCTCCCCCAGCAAAAGTGCAGCCATTGGGGGCATGGGAGCGGTGCTCTCTCCATCCCACGAGGGTTCTGGGCTGTTGCTATTTTGGCTCAGCATCCCTTTTCTGGTTGGTGGGGGCTGGGAGCAGGGAGCCGTTTGACTGGAGTAGGTGGGGTGGGGGTCGCGCTCTTCTGAGTCATGTCACATGGAGAAACACTGCCCCCTGAGTGAGCTTGACCAGGGTTTGGCGTGGAGAAGGATCCCTGGGCTGAGAGCAAATGCGAGGGTGGCAGTCAGAAGGGGAGAGAGCGAGAGAGCGAGCGCCTGTGCTTTCTCTGAGCAGGGAGAACGGCTGGCCCTTCCTGCTTCCCCTTGATGCTGTCTGGCCATATTGAAAAGTATATTTATTTAGCAAATAAGAAGAAGAGGAAGGGCAGGTGGGAAGTGGAGACGGGAGCTGGGCTTGGATGGGTGGGTGGGGGAAGTGGGTTCCCATGGCTGGGCAGTGCCCCGTGGCTGGGGTGGGGAGCACCCTTTGCTGCCGTGCTGCGACTTGGGTGCTCGCCAGCCAGGGCCCCATGCAGCCAACACCCCGAAGGAATTGCTTCCTGCCTCCCCTTCCTTTTTATTTCCTTCTCAGGCCCCTGTAATTATTTCTCTGGGTTTTGCTGTGATTCTGCGGCTCCTGATGAGTTGGCCTTTCAGATAAGCCGTAAACTAGTTACATTAAAATAGGTTCCGAAAGGTCACTCATCAAAGCACCTGTTCCTTGCGGTCTTTGTCTCTCCATCCAAAGCTGTGATTAAATGTCTATTTAATGAGCCCGGCTGAGGCAGGCTGCGGTGACCTCTCTGGCTGCAAAGGCGCATTAAGAGTCTCAAGTGATGAATGTGTGTTTTTAAACCGGAGGGCTGGGTGTTGGGGGTTCCCCCCTCCCCTGTCTTGCATCAGGAGCCCTCTCTCCTCTTCTCCCTTCAAGTGTTTGCCGTGTTCCAGGCCTGGAGATGAACATTTCTGCTGCTTTGATCACTGAGACCCAGCATGGGTTTCTCAAAAACAAATCATGCCAGACAAATCTCATTTCTTTTTTTGACAGAGTTACAACCTTGGTGGATCAGGGGAATGATGTGACGTCATGTATCTTGACTTCACTGAGGCTTTTGACAAAGTCCCCCAGGACATTCTTGCAGAGAAGGGGATCGAATGGTGGCCTGCACAGCATTTGAGGAACTGGACTTGCAGTCCTTCCTCCCCGTCCTCTGATGAACGGTTGTTGGGGTAATCGGAAAAGATGGCTTTTCTTAGAACTAGGCACGATTTAGAAGCGACTCTGATTACTTAATTTGCTCCTGAGTATCTCGGCAATTATCTTTATGGGCCTTATTTCTTGTCCTCTGGCGTCGTTTCCGTCGATATTAAATGAGCCCACCTCGCAGCGTGGCAGCGGCTGGCCTGCCACCACCACAGAATCCTATTATCCTGCCTGTGCTGCTGAATAATTTTTGTATTAATTTCACATCAAAGGTGAGCCTGTTAATGTTGGCCTCCCGCCTGTGCTGGAAGGCACAGGGGATGTTGGCATTTCTGAGGCTCTTCCTCTGCCTTTCTCCTCCTGCTGTGGACACGCTGGCTGGCTGGCTGCCCTGGGGGGCTGTCAACAAGCACCCCTCTCTCTTCCCAGTTTTCCTTCTCCCGTTTCTCCTGGGCTTCCTTCGTCTCGCATAGTGGTGCATTGCAGCAGGAACGGTGAGCTTGTTGCCCTCCATAAGTTATCGTTATTGTTTATTAAATTTGTATAGCATCCTTCACCTGTAGATCTCTTCAGAGGGTCTCCTGTCTGTGCCCCACATGTGCCCCAATGCAACCAGTGCTATGCCCCTGGTGGGTCTGGAAGCTTGGCAGTGAGGTCCTGCTCACTGTTGTGGCTTCTGTGGTCCCTGCCACAAGGCGAGGGGGCAGCCTCAAGGAGGTAGTGAGGGCCAAGGAGTCAGGGCTGGTTGTGAGCCTCAGTTGTCCATTTGAGACTTGTGGGTATAGAGCAATATATAAATTCTAATAACAACAATGATGGTGGTGGTGGTGAAGATGTTTCGCTCAGAGCCAATTCTCCAGCTGCAGACTCCTGGTTTATTTTTAAAGAGGTAACTGACCTTGCACCCGTCTCTCCTCCCCCTGTCCCCCCCCCATGGATGCATCCTCCATGGAGCTGGATCCTCCTCTCTCTGCTCCCACCTGCAGGAGGACAAGCCTTGGGGCCGCCTTTCTTCTTCAGCTAGGCACCCCCTGAGTGCTGTGCCGCTAAAAATCGGGGCAGAAATCAGCCTGCCCTTTCCGTCTCTGGGGGGAAAGCGCTTCTCTCTCTCTTGCTGATTAATTTAGTAATGGATTTCTCCCTTCCCCTTTAATATATGATTTTATATATTTTTCATACCAGGCAGCATTAGTGTGCAAAGCAGTGGAGTTTTAGAAGCAATCAATATCCCTGAGCTATGGAGCATGTGGAGCATTATTTCCAACTCTGATTTGGGGACTAGCTGGTCCTGCAAAAGGAAGTTTTTATATATCTCCCTTTAAAAGGAGTAAAGGGAAACCAATAGTGGGTGAGTCCAACGGTCAAGAAAGCGGTTTCTGCCCCTGCCATAGAGGGAAGTGAGGGGCAGATGGGGCTCGTCCGCCTGGGAAAGGAGCCCATCTAGGAGAAGGAAAACTCTGATCCTAAACCTTCACTGCCTGGCAGGATATCTTCAGGAGAAGAAAAGGCTCAAGAGGAAGCCCTCCACAAATCCAGAGCGGAGACAGTTGGATGGCGCCTTGTCCGCCTCCTTATAGCAACTCCTGCAGCCAAGCTGGTGCCAAACGTCTGGCTCTGCTTTCTTTTGGACCGCAACAGCGTGGCTGAGAGCGGGTCTTGTGTTTGGGCTGCCCAGGACCTCTGTACACACTGCCTAGGCTTGTGCCCAGGGGAGGGGGGTTCATTTCAGTGCTGCTGACACAATGGCTTGACTTCACCCCCAGACGTGCACTCCATTGTCTCTCAAGACAGATTGATGCCAACAAGTTATATCCCACCTTTTTCTCTAAGGAGCTCAAGGCGGCGTATGTGGTTCTCTGCCTCCTCCTTTAATCTCCACAACAACCCTGTGAGGTGAGTTAGGCAGAGAGGCAGGGACTGGCTCAAGGTCACCCAGTGAACTCCATGGCGGAGTGGGGATTTGAACCCTGGTCTCTCCCAGGTCCTAGTCTGACACTCTGACTTCTGTACCACTTTGGCTGCCAGCTGCCCAGCCTTGTTTGACACAGCCTGGATTTATAGCATGGGAATGTTCTCTTGAAACAGAGTAACTCGGCCCAGCCTGCCTTGCCACTGTCTGTCAGCAAAGCAAGGTGGACCACAAAAGGGGTCGTGACCAGACTGAATCTGTGCCCTCTCTTTAGCTGTGCCAGGTGATGGTCTTTTTATCTTCAATTTCTCTTCCACCCCCCACTTCTGTGTTTATAGGAGCATGGGGCTTTACTTTAAATTATAAACTGACTAATGTGGGGGAGGGAGACAGTGCTCCTGAAGGTAGGAGTCTATCAATTGATGAAGATGATCATCCAAATGTCATAGACCAAATGGAGCAAACGGCACGCAGACCTAGTGGTGGAAGGAAAGAATCCTTAAATAAGAGGCACGGGGGAATGATTAATGGACTTCAATGTCTGTACACTAATGCGCAAAGCATGGGAAATAAACAAGATGAGCTTGAGCTCTTGGTACAGCAAACTAAATATGACATAATAGGCATCACTGAAACCTGGTGGGATAAGTCCCACGATTGGAATGTAATAATGGGGGGATACAATCTATTTCAGAGAAACAGACCAGACAAGAAAGGAGGAGGAGGAGTGGCGTTATATGTCAGGGATGTGTATACCTGTGAAGAGATCCAAGATTTAGAACCTCAAAGCCAAAGTGAGAGCATTTGGGTCAAAATTAAGGGAGAGAAGAATAACAGTGACCTCATTGTGGGAGTTTACTATAGATCCCCAAGCCAAACGGAGGACATAGATGATGCCTTCCTGGAACAGATGGCCAAGCATGCAAAAGGAAGGGAGATAGTAGTAATGGGGGACTTCAATTACCCGGATATTTGTTGGATGTCAAACTCAGCCAAGAGCATAAGGTCAAACAGATTCCTCACTGGCCTTGCAGACAACTTCATTGTCCAGAAAGTGGGAGAAGCAACAAGAGGAACAGCCATTTTAGATCTGGTCCTAACCAATGTTGATGACCTGGTTAGTGGGGTAGAAGTGGAAGGATCATTAGGCGCGAGTGATCATGCTCTTCTGAAGTTTACTATACAGCGGAAAGGAGCAGCCAAGCATACTAGGACTCAATTTCTTGACTTTAAGAAAGCTGACTTCATAAAACTTAGGGAAGTGCTGGGTGAGATCCCATGGACAGTAATACTAAAAGGAAAGGGAGTTCATGATGGCTGGGAGTTTGTTAAGAGGGAGATAGTAAAAGCACAACTTCAGGCAATACCAATGAGACGGAAACATGGAAGGTGCCTAAAGAAGCCAGGGTGGCTATCTAAAGAACTTTTAACTGAGTTAAGATTAAAAAGGATGTGTACAAAAATGGAAAAGGGGAAAACCACCAAAGAGGAATTCAAACAAATAGCCAGCACGTGTAGACACAAAGTCAGAAAAGCTAAAGCACAGAATGAACTCAGGCTTGCTAGAGAGGTTAAAAGCAACAAAAAGGCTTTTATGGGTATGTTTGTAGCAAAAGGAAGAACAAAGAAACAGTGGGGTCACTCAGAGGAGAGGATGGTGAAATGCAAACAGGGGACACAGAAAGGGCTGAACTCCTCAATGCCTTCTTTGCCTCAGTCTTCTCCGATAAAGAAAACAATGCCCGACCTGAAGAATTTGGAGCAAATGATTCAGCAGAGGAAACACAGCCCAGAATAACTAAGGAGATAGTACAAGAATACTTGGCTAGTTTAGATGTATTCAAGTCTCCAGGGCCAGATGAACTGCATCCAAGAGTATTAAAAGAACTGGCAGATGTGATCTCAGAACCACTGGCAGTCATCTTTGAGAGTTCCTGGAGAACAGGCGAAGTCCCGGCAGACTGGAGGAGGGCAAATGTTGTCCCTATTTTCAAAAAGGGGAAAAGAGAGGACCCAAATAATTACCGCCCAGTCAGTCTGACATCAATACCAGGGAAGATTCTGGAGCAGACCATGAAGCAAACAGTCTGTGAGCACCTAGAAAGGAATGCTGTGATCACCAATAGTCAGCATGGATTTCTGAAAAATAAGTCATGTCAGACTAACCTGATCTCGTTTTTTTGACAGAATTACAAGCCTGGTAGATGAAGGGAACGCAGTGGATGTAGCCTACCTTGATTTCAGCAAGGCATTTGACAAGGTGCCCCATGATATTCTTGTAAAGAAGCTGGTAAAATGCAGTCTTGACTATGCTACCACTCAGTGGATTTGTAACTGGCTGACTGACCGAACCCAAAGGGTCTCATCAATGGTTCCTCTTCATCCTGGAGAAGAGTGACTAGTGGGGTGCCACAGGGTTCTGTCTTGGGCCCGGTCTTATTCAACATCTTTATCAACGACTTGGATGATGGACTCAAGGGCATCCTGATCAAATTTGCAGATGACACCAAACTGGGAGGGGTGGCGAACACCCCAGAGGACAGGATCACACTTCAAAACGACCTTGACAGATTAGAGAACTGGGCCAAAACAAACAAGATGAATTTTAACAGGGAGAAATGTAAAGTATTGCACTTGGGCAAAAAAATGAGAGGCACAAATACAAGATGGGTGACACCTGGCTTGAGAGCAGTACATGTGAAAAGGATCTAGGAGTCTTGGTTGATCACAAACTTGACATGAGCCAACCGTGTGACGCGGCAGCTAAAAAAGCCAATGCAATTCTGGGCCTCGTCAATAGGAGTATAGCATCTAGATCAAGGGAAGTAATAGTGCCACTGTATTCTGCTCTGGTCAGACCTCACCTGGAGTACTGTGTCCAGTTCTGGGCACCACAGTTCAAGAAGGACACTGACAAACTGGAACGTGTCCAGAGGAGGGCAACCAGAATGGTCAAAGGCCTGGAAACGATGCCTTATGAGGAACGGCTAAGGGAGCTGGGCATGTTTAGCCTGGAGAAGAGGAGGTTAAGGGGTGATATGATAGCCACGTTCAAATATATAAAAAGGATGTCACCTAGAGGAGGGAGAAATGTTGTTTTCTGCTGCTCCAGAGAAGCGGACATGGAGCAATGGATCCAAACTACAAGAACGAAGATTCCACCTAAACATTAGGAAGAACTTCCTGACAGTAAGAGCTGTTCGACAGTGGAATTTGCTGCCAAGGAGTGTGGTGGAGTCTCCTTCTTTGGAGGTCTTTAAGCAGAGGCTTGACAACCATATGTCAGGAGTGCTCTGATGGTGTTTCCTGCTTGGCAGGGGGTTGGACTCGATGGCCCTTGTGGTCTCTTCCAACTCTATGATTCTAAATCAAACACCCCCTCCTCTGCTCAGCTGCCCTCTCACTCCTCTGCTGTCTCCCTGCAGCTGCAGAGCCCTGGCTCATATTTTAATTAAATGTCACTTTCCGCATGCCTCTGCCTTTGCACTTTGTCTGTGCCTGTATCTGCTCCTGGAACCCCGGCTGCTGTTTCTACTACAAACGCAGGAAGTCTGTGCTGCCGCTGTAACGGCTGGAGATCAATATTCTTCTCCTGAGCTGGCTGGTGTCTTCTTCCACAAGCAATTAAAAAATACCTCTTGGAGGGGTCTCAATGGAGCCGATCAGTGGGGCATCTTGAGTCTGAGACATGCATCTCCTGTCCCAGGTCCTGGTGCCTCTCCTTGAGCTTGCGATCTCTGCCTTCCACTGCTCACAAAACGTTAGGCACCCCGGCCGGCACCACTCTTGGACGAGGCTCCCTGCTCCCTTCTTTGGCAGGGCTCAACTTTCCTTTTTCTTGGAACGAAACTGTGGAACAAAGTTGGTGGCCCTTGTTGCCCTTCTGGCCAAAGTTGCCCCCTCCAACGCACCATCTTTAGGGGTCATTAGTTTCAGAGATGGCCCGCTCCAGAGCCGGGGGAGGCTGGCAGGGTCGGCCCCCGGCAGTTGTGCTGGGCTTTGCAGCAAATGGCAGGAGCCCAGGAAGCTTTCTTGTCCCGTTGGTCCATCTAGCTCAGTATGGCCTACACTGAATGTTGGAAGCTCTTCTGAGCTGCAGCCGGGAGACCTTCCTAGCCCTACCTGGAGATGCCAGGTTTTAAACCTGGGAGCTTCTGCATGCAAAGGAGAGGTCCTGGCACTCAGACCCAGCCTAGGCTCATGAGAGGTGGAGGGAAGAGGGGGTTTAGGCCATCAGACTTTTAAAAATGAGCATGCGCTTGCGGAGGTGGCTGTGCTGCTCAAGTGATCCACCAGATGTGATCCGTTGGCTTCCTATCAGGGACTCCCTGCTGTTGATCACCCTGGTGAGCTCCTTCCGGAAGATAAAAATCTACTTGTCAATAATAACAACAGCAACAGTTTTAATACAACAATCATCAGCTGTGTACAAATGCTGCTGGGTATTCCAAGAATACCACTGTGCAGATTTCAATATTTTATTTAATATCCTTTTCCCTTGATGATAGGAGCTAATAATCCCCCCACACCCCATAATTACTATGTTTTTCAAACCTTTTTTGCTCCCACAACATTAAGGCTTTGAAGATGCTTCCGTGTTCCTTGACAGTGCCTCATGGATTCGTTGACCAGATCCCTTTTTGGCTGATCAGATTCCCAGCCCTTAAGTGGTGGATCATTTTTGCAGGTATCAGAAGAGACTTGCTGGATCTAACCAAAGGTCCATCTCAGTCAGACCCTGTTTTTCAACAACCCCCCCAAAACATCCCACTGGAGAAGGCTGGGGGTGTCCACAGTAGCTTTGGGGTGCTGGGTGACTGTCTCTCTCCTGGGGGGAAATGAAGCCCAATGGGGTGGGGAATGGGTCTAGACTGGGCCTGCAGTACAGCTTATGTGTTTGTGGGCAGCTTGCTGGTCCCATGGGTCCATTGGTGCCCCTTCATCTGCACCTCAGCACCTTCAGTTTTATGCCTTCCCAGCCATACTGGGGGTGGTGGGGCTTGACGGGACTCATTCCTGCCGTGTGTTGCTGTCCCCTCCCCTTAATTAGTAAGAACACAAAAAGAGCCTCCTGGATCAGGCCAGTGGCCCATCTAGTCCAGCACCCTGTTCTCACAGGGGCCAACCAGATGCCCGGGATGGGAAATCTGCAACCCCCAACACAGATGTTGGGTCACCCCCAGCCCCCCAAATAGAATCAGAGAGTGTTATCTTGCGCAGTCTTCTCTGTTTCCGTCTCTTTGCCCGCCCCCTTGGATGGAGGCTGATCCTGGCCTGCCTTCTCCCCCATGGATACAGAGAAGGATGAAAGGAGGTGGAGGAGGAGGAGGAGGAGAAAAAGAAAGACAAGAGGAACAGCAGCAAGAATACTCATCGCAAAGTATTGGAAGACACAAGAACTTCCCACGCTGGAGGAATGGCAGATGAAACTTATGGACTATATGGAATTGGCGGAAATGACTGGCAGAATCCATGACCAGGGAGAAGAGTCGATGGAGGAAGACTGGAAGAAATTCAAAGACTATCTTCAGAAACACTGCAAAATTAAGGAATGTTAGAGTGATGTTGGATTGAAAATAAGTGGTTTCCAGCTGTACAGGTTAAAGATAAGGATAGATTAAGATTAAAGATTAAGATTAAAGATGTTTAAAGAAATGGAAATTTGATAATAAAAGGGAAAAATTTAAAGCTATATGACATTAAGAGTAAGGATTAGGTTTAAAAAGTTGAAGTTATATATTTTAACATTTTATTAAATTAAAGATTGGGATTAAAAAGTGGAAAAGAAACTGCTGGATAAATAATGTGGATTGGAATACAAAAGAGGGAGGTATGAGGAAGTCCAGAAAATAAGTAATTTAAAATTGGAAATGGAAAAGAGAGTTTGTTTTTAATTGTTATGTTTTGTGTTTTTATTGTTGAGTTTTGTATTGTTTTTTGTGTGTGTTGTTTTTCTTTTTTCTTTGTTTAAAACCTTATTAAAAATTATTTAAAAAAAAGAAAAAGAAAAAGAAAGACAAGAGGGAAAGAAAAGTAGCGTGAGCGTTGACAAGACTTTTCAGAAGTCCTCTTCCAAGGCCCCATTACACAGTGTCCTTTTGTGTTCCCTGAAAGTATTTTGGCAGCTTATCTGCCAAAGGTTTTCAGCCTCTGAAATGCTCAAGTGGGAGGTTCAGGGATGCTTTTGAGGCATCTGCTGCTGCTGCTGCTGCCGACTCTGAGTGGGATAGCCTTTGGGTACTTTGAGATCCTGCTTTCAAAGTCTAGAACTTAAGTGCCCCTGCCTGTATGCGCCAAAGACCAACGAAAGCTCTTATGGGCATTCAGAGGCACACTAATGCGTTGCGCATGCATGAATGGCGCCCTTTTCTGAATTGGGGGTGTGTTCTGCATTCTTCCCCAGGGCACACACAAAGCTTCCTTGGGCATAAGGGGGTCCAAGAGACTTCTTACAGAACGCCATTGTGCAAATGTCGCCTCGGTTGAACCACGTCATGTGACTGAGTCCAATCTCAATCTCAAAGTGCCGGAGACTTTTCAGTTCAGTGAAAAGTCAAGTAAGAGGTGGCAGGATAGGATCATAGAATCATAGAGTTGGAAGGGACTGAAAGGGTCCTCTAGTCCAGCCCCCTGCAATGCAGGAACCTCTGCTAACTTGCACCCCCTTCGCTTAAATCCTATGCAGAAAAACTCAGAATCCTGCCAAATGTATAAAATTAGGTGGGGCCTGGAGAAAGAGGAAAGAGAAAAGTTTTTCTTGCTCTCTCATAACCCTGGAACTTGTGGACATCGAGTGAAGCCAGGTGTTGGAAGATTCAGGAGTTTACCTCTATTTATTTTCAGTTATCATTCATGCCATACTGGCTGCTCTTAGGGGGAGGGGGAGCTAACAAGTCAAATTAATTAGAGCAGGGGTTCCCAGTTAGCTAGGTACTGCAGACCTTATTTTTCCAAAGCCAAACCATGGACCCTCTACTTTGGAAAATGTTGATATCTCCATGGTAGGTTTTGTTATGCGAATGGTGCCACAGATCCCCTGGGTGGATCACGTGGACCCCCTGGGTTCCGTGGACCACCAGCTGGGAGCCACTGCATTAGAGCAACAAAGGAAGTATCTAGGGGCTGCTAAAAAGGTCCGGAAGAGGAGGCAGTGCCTTGGTGGGCCAGTTGTGGCCTGTTAGATGTGGCAAGTCCTCGTATCTTCACAAACTCTTTCCTGGTGCCTCTGGTGGCAGCAAACCTCTTGCTTTCTTTGTGTGCTTCCAGTGCGCTGCTGCCCTGGTGTTTCCTCCCATCGCAGGTGTGTCTCTGAAAGGGGAGATAACAAGAGCTGCTTGTTTACCAGAGCCTGCCAATGAACAAAAGGGCTTTGACGCTGCGCTTCAAATGCCACCTCTTGCAGTGAAAACACTGCTTTTGAGCATGATTGGATTTCGTGCCCAACCAGAAATAGGAATATTTTCCTAAATGTGGCAAGCACTGCACTCGCCGGTCTCCCATGTTCCCTTCCCAAGAGTCCCCTCCTTTGCAGGGCAAAAAGAGAGAGGGAGGTTCAGGTATTCATTAATCATAGATAGTTGTGTTAAAAATATAAAGGGAACAAAATCAACAAATCAGGCTTCTGTACAAAAATCTGGGCTATTGCATGTAAACGATACTGTTAGCCTAATCTGCAGAAACCTTTTTGTGTGTGTTGTGGATACGGGGCAGTGGGGGGCTGCTGCTTGGTGTGGTCTATTTCCCTGTGGCACACCCCGCCAGAAAAGTTTGCCTGGCCAATTCTTGGGCTCAGCCAGAAATGCCCCCGGCCCACATGCCCTTGGTGGGCAGGAGCCAAAGGAACAAAGTAAGCGGAGCCACCAGTTCTGTTCTTACTCTTGTACAGCTGTGCAAAAGAGCAGAAGTTTCTCCATGCCCCCCCCATCTGTCCACCCTCTAGCCGAGAAAGTGGAATGGGCACAACTCAGTGGCATTTGCTTGGAGCAGGGGGAGGGAACCTGGGCAGAGTCTGGCGGGCCAGATGGATGGAGAATGGGGACCTCAGCCTGAGGACCCCCACCCCTAGGCAAGTTGGAGGAGGCTGGATTGCAGGGGGTTGGCCAGGGTTCCCCTCTGTGATTCTATGGTGAAGCTGCCTTGGCCCTCTGGATTTTAACAGCTGCATGCAAATAATCCTGCCCTGTTGTTAGATTGTAGGATATTTTCAATTCTTTCTGTTGGGTTTTGTTTAAAGCTCCGCTGTGCCAGAGGTGGAAAATAAGATGATAAACTCCCACCTTCCCACCCTTCAAGAGCTCTGCTGTTTTCCACTCTGCTTCCAGGTGTGATACAAAACACCCAGCGAATCTGAGACACAGGCTCTGCAGAACCCCACATTCTAAAGCAAGTGCTCTCTCTCTCTCCCATCGTGACCTGCAAAATGGTGCTTTTGCAAAAGGTAGTGCAGTCCTGTGTCTCCCAGGGGATCCATGGCCGGGGGGGGGGGGCGGACAGGGAGATCCCCTTGGCTGGAAAATGTTGTGCCCACTAGGCCTCTCCCAACAATTGCTTGAGGGGGGCTTCCCTCCAATCCCCTAATAGGCAATTAATTCTCCTTCAAGCCCATTTCGTCTTGGGGCAAAGTGGCAGCCTGTGGAATTCATGAGGCAGCCTGTGGAATTTGCGGCATTGCATTTTCTGTGCTACCTTCGCATGTGATTTTACACATGCAAGCCTGTTTACCAAATCCATGTCAAGTTCACCTCCATGCCTTTTGCATCTGATTTTGCCCCAAATTGTCCACCTGTAGCAGACCAGCCAGGTCCTCTCACCCTTTTTAGAAACTCTGTAATGTTTCTTTCTGCATAAAATTGCAGGCAGCTTTGGATTCTTAATCTCTCTTTCTAGGAAACAGTCTTAAGTTTGTTGCATAGCAGTGGAGCCTGGCTTTTATGGTCCATCTGCGGAGGCAGCGTGAGGGCGTTGCACTTGTGGAAATTCCCTCTGTTGAGTGATAAAAACTGTTTTAATTGCATCTGCATTTTTTAAACAACAACAACACCACCTCTTTTAATAGCTTCCTAATTAATATATTATACTAATTTTTTATTATAATAATTTTTATTGGTTTTTACATATACTTTTTTACATAACATCATATTGATCCATATTTTTAACAAGCATTTTTGTTTTCTTTTTATTTAATTTAAAACCTGCTACCTGTCCACATTGTTCAATTCTTTCCAGTGCTTCCATTGCACTGGTTGATGGGTCCTCTACTGTTATAACTAAATCGTCTGCAAAGGCTTTCAATTTATATTCTTTTCGACCGACACCAATTCCTTTAATCTTGTCAGTTTTTCTCATATTTCTTAGAAGGACTTTCAGGACTGTTATAAATAATAATGGCGGTAATGGGCAACCTTGTCTGGCAATCTAGCTTTTTCTGTTCTCATCCTGAAGCAAAGTTCTTAACCTGAAACAATATTTATGGGTTAACGGAGTCTGTAACCTGAAGCGAATGTAACCCGAGGTACCACTGTAATTCCAATTTTTTATTATAAATTCCCAATAAATATTATTAAAGGCCTTCTCAGCGTCTATAAATAATACATTATACTAATACCCATGGTATTTTGACAAAGTTGCAGGAGGAAAGTTTTTCTCTTGTGCGCACCCATAAAATATCACCTTAATTTCCACATGGGTTTACACAGGAGCCGAGACAAGATTCCCAAACCCTCCCTCGACTCTGCCCTGTTCAGCTGCATTCCCAGGTGTCCCTGGCAGCTGCTCCCATGTTAGGACCATGGAAATAAATTCTCTGCCGTAGTTGAAGACAGAAAGTTGGGTGGCCTGGAGCTGACCCCCAGTACTCTTCCATCTTGCCAGGACTTTGCTGGCTGACCCCCAGGTTTTGACTCAGCAGAAAGCGTTTGGAGTCTCCATGTTCTTTCTTGGTTATCATTGCATGGGGTGTCATTGGTCCCTGGTAGCTCCAGGTAGGACTGAGAATGTCCCTTGGCTGAAACACTGGAGACCCACGCACCAACTCTGCATAGAGCAGTTTCCCAGTATTGTATTCATTCCTCTTAAGTGCATTTTATTGTTGGTTTGCATAATCTTAATTTATGGCCCAAATGCTTGTCAGCCTGCACCTTTATCTTAGTCTTATCGTGGTCCCCTCTGATGGGCATTGCTGTTTTTCAGCGAGAGGGACGGGGCTTTGTCTGTGGTGGCACCCCACTTGTGGAACTCCTTGCACCTTTGGAGGTGCAGCCGCCATCCTCATACTTGAGTTTTGACCATCAGCTTTATCCACCCTGGCTTTTCAGATAAGCTGGTGTTTGTGCGGTTGTATGTGTTGTTCTATCTGCTTCCTCACTAATATAAAGACTCGTGCATTGTCTGGGGTTTGATTTATTTAGGCATTTTCTCTCTCTTAGGTTAGTTCGGCTTTTGTTGTATTTTATGTTGGAAACTTTCAATAAAAAACGATTAAAAATATATAGGCATTTTGATGATTGTTGTTGATCTGGTTTATTGTTGTGAACCAACCTACAATCTCAATTCATTTTATTTTAATTTTTATTTAAAAGCATTTCCTTTGCTTTAGATTTTGAAATTCGTAATTGATGCAAATCAAATAAACAAATGCATAGGTCATTCTCGCCCTCTCTCTTCCTAATCTCCCTTTCCTGCAGCTTGGCTTGCTTTGGCTTGCAAATTCTGGCCCCTTTCTCTCTGCTTGCAGCCCTGTAGTAGTTGTGTTGCACATGCCGGGAACAGGTGGGTAGATGGACCTTCTCCACTATTGCATGGCAGGTAGTGACAGAGATGCTGTTTTTGGGTTTCCTTATTCTCCATTTTACCAAGCTTAGTGGGGGGCGGGCTGGGGGCGGGGGCAGTACCCACTGCACTCGCAGCCAAAGCCACAAGCGGGGGGGGGGGGGGAGTAAGCTTGTAAAAAACAAGACTGTGCATTTTTACTGGTCTGTTTTGCAATGTGCCTGCCCTCTTTTGCTGCCCTGTTTTATATGCCCATATCCCTGGCCATAAAAGGTAAAGGTCCAGTTGTGGCCGACTCTGGGGTTGCGACGCTCTTCTCGCTTTAATGGCTGAGGGAGCTGGCGTACAGCTTCCGGGTCATGTGGCCAGCATAACTAATCCGCTTCTGACGAACCAGAGCAGCGCACGGAAATGCTGTTTGCCTTCCCGCCGGAGTGGTACCTATTTATCTACTTGCACTTTGACGTGCTTTTGAACTGCTAGGTTGGCAGGAGCAGGGACCAAGCAACAGGAGCTCACCCCGTCGTGGGGATTTGAACCGCCGACCTTCTGATCGGCAAGTCCTAGGCTCTGTGGTTTAACCCACAGCGCCACCCACGTCCCATCCTTGGCCATAAAACATGTTGAATTTCCCTGCCCCCCTTTCTCTCCCCCTTAGTTTCACGAGCTGACCTTGGGCCAGTCACCCTCTCTCAGCCTGACCTACCTCGTGGGGTTGTTGTGGGGATTAAGTGAGGAGGGGGAGAACCCTGTTTGCCACCCCTGAGCTCTTTGGAGAAAGAGGGGGGAGTCTAAATGCAGTGAGAACATTTTTGCACTGGAGGCTCTGCTCTTGGTACGGCCCCTTGCCAGTGAAAGGAGCCTCCAGTTAAAAGCTTCAGGCGCCGCTGCTGCAGCCCTTTGTGCCGGAGTGTCGAGCGTCTTCCGAGAGTTCCCTCCGCCGCGCCTGACCAGTGGGGTCCGTCAGCGCAAAAGAGGCCCCTTCCCTTCCCGCGAATCAAATATTAATCTGCAGCCATTCAAGGAGGATGTTGCTTAAATGGCAGAACAGAGAGGCTGGGAAGCGCCTCCGGCATCCTGCAGGGCCCTTCAGTTGCGTTTATGCGCGTCCTCTGCGCAGCCTCTCCTGTCGTCCTGACATCTGCCCGCCCCTCATCTCTGCGCCTGCTGCTTGCTTCCCCCGACTGGGTGGCAGAGAAGGCCAGCAGTTTCACGAAGGCAAAGCGTTGCTGCTTCTGCAGCTGCAGGTGCCTCCCTCCTCAGATCCCTAAGCCCTTCCACAAAAGAGCTGCCTCTTTGTGCAAAGTTCTGTGGGGATTAGAGCAGCATGACCTGGGAGGAAGGGCATTTCCAGAGACTCCCTGGTTCAGATCTCACAGAGGCAGCAGTGCTTCTGAGTACCAGTTGGTGGAAACCACAGGAGGGAAGAGTTGCTCTGGTGCAAGGATCCTGTTTGTGGGTTTTCCAAAAGAGGCCTCTGGTTGGTGGGATAGATGGGCCCCCATTGGGCTGATGCAGCATCCAGGCTCTTCCTGGGTTCTCAGGTTGCACCTCTGCCACGGACTGCAAGGCGCTTGGGCGGGTGTCTCTCTCTCTGTCGCAGTGCCTTAGCTGAACCACGGACTGCTGGGCGGCCTCACAGGACTGCTAGAGAGAATGGAGTAACAATCAACGTGTTTGCATCTCTTTTGCATACAGAGATTTGCTTCTTCCTTTTATAGATTTAGAGGGATTTCATGCACAAGTGCTGGTCTTTAAAGCAGAGGACTGAAGGTCCAAAGTAACTTTTGTCCCATGCAAAGTCTGTGGAGAGATGTCCTCAGATAGCCTGCAGTCGCTGCAGCCCCCGTGCCAGGGCTTGGGGAAGAGCATCTCTCTCTTGCAAGCAGGATCCCCTGTGGCATCTCCAGAAAGGGCTGGCAGAGGCTCTTGCCTGAAACCTTAGAGAGCTGCTGCCAGTCAGTGTAGACGAGACTGAGCTAGATGGACCAATGGTGGCATAAGGCAGCTTCCAACGTTTTCTGCCCCCACCCACCCAGCTTCTTCTCCCCAGTTCAACCCTTCAACTCTTAAACTAACTGAAGAGGCAGGGCACTTCCAGAGGGCTGTTTGTTGCAGGATCTTCAGAGGATCTAGGCATAGATGTCCAGCCCATATGTCCATCTCCCCCCTCCCAGTGTTTAATCCAGATTTACCTTTGGGGGATGGGGGACCCAGTAAGTTGTCAACAACCCACTTGCAACCTGCCTGAACAACCTGCCTCCCAAGAGCAGCCCAGAGAATATAGCCAGTGTCTCCATTGCTATGGAGGGGTCAGTTCCTTGCATCCTGCTCTCCTGCCAGGTGGGACTCAGAGAAATTCTTCCCTCCCTGTTTGTGGGCGTGCACACACACACACACACACACACACACACACACCCCCGCAGGAGCCACATAAGGAGCTATTGACAAGACCAGCTGGTGCAGCCAGGGCGGTGATCTGTTTGTGGCTGGCACAGCACCCTCCAGCTCCTGAGCTCAAGCGATCCTCCAGGAGAAGCTGAGTTGCAGCTTCTTGGGGCTGGTTTCGCTCTTCCCCTGAGATTTAGGTTCCCAGAGGTTATGCAGAATAAACTGGTGCAGACAACTCTTAATCTATGCTGGTTTGCTCCAGTTTACAGCCTCTGGGCTTGCAGTTGCCTGATTTTGTCCTAATGGGGCCTGCCAATCTGTGCCCTGCTAGATTACTGAGCCCAAGAGGGTTCCCTCCATCCCTACTCCAGGAAGCCCTCCCCCCCCCCAACATCTTTCAAGACCTGATGGAGACACCCAGCTGGAGGTTGTTTTAAGGCGACAAGGCTGCCCAGGAGGAAAACACTCCTGTCTCTCTTATTCTGAACCCCCCAGACACACAAACACACAGAGTTTGTTTTCGTGCTGACCCTAAGTGGCACAGTGTGTGGCATCAACAGCACCAATTCCTCACGAGGAGACAAATTCAACATGACACACGTGTGTAGCAGTATCTGCGGTGACACTTTGGCGGCAGATAATAAAGAGCTTGCCCTGAGGTGAACAGATCTGGCAATGGCGTCTTGAAAAGCCTCTCTGTTAACGGACGGGCTGGTTGGGGTGGCAGCAGTGGAGTCGCCTCATCTGTTCCCTTGTGTCTCGTTACGCAGGAAAGTTGGGAGGGTGTAGCAGCAGGGCCTTGTTTTCTGGGCTCTGCAAGGCTCCCTCAGATTTGGAGAAAATTGGGAGGACAATCCTGAGAAAGCTTCTGGGATCTCTTGGCTAGAGGGGGGGGCACTTAGAATCATAGAATCACATAATTGGAAGGGACATCTAGCCTAACCCTTTGCAGTGCAGGAGCCCCAGCTAAATAACCCCTGATGGATGGCCACCGGGCCTCTGCTCAACAAGCGCCCAGGAAGGAGAGCCCACCACCTTCCAAGGTCTTCTGTCCGCAAGGAGCGCTTTGTCCTTTCAGCCGTCCCAGCATGGGCGCTTCCTTACCCGGGGTCCGTCCTGTAGCTCCTCGGTCTCAGTCTGCCCCACAGGAACAAGCAGCAGTGGCTCTCTGGGGTTTGGCAGGGCATCTTCCCTAGCCTTGCTTGGAGATGCCACTGGGGACTGAATCTGGAACCAGCAGGGGATCAGCTGCTGTGCGCCAAGGAGGCTTATGCAAAGTCAGATCTTTGCTCTGTCTTAACCCACTGTTGTACGTTCTGGTCAACAGCAGCTCTCCAGAAATTCAGGGAAAGGGAAAGACTTTCCTAGTCTTAAGATCTGGGTTTGTTTTGTTTTTTTAAGGCAATATTGGTCAGCCATCGAACAAACCTGAAACTTCCTTTGTGACAATCACTTCCTCAGCTATAGAGCTGTGGCCCCACCCATTAGAGCACAGTGGATAAGATGGGCCTTAAGCCCCCCCCCGCCCACCCCCGTAACTTCAGCCTGTGCGGCCGTTGCAAATGATTTCTCAGCCTGCATCCAGAGCACTTTCCTCTTTCACCAAGGCAAGTTGTGTTTTGGTCTTTGTTGCTGTAGCTGCTGCTGCTTTCGGAAGTGAGCAGTGATGAGACCCTTATGGAAGGACCCTGGCAGCGCAGTCAGCTGGCTGTGCACTTGGCATCTCTTTGCTGCAGACCAGCAAGAATAGTCCCCAGGCCTGCCCTGCTGCTGCCTTCTGGGGTGGGGCAGTGGGGAGAGCCAGCCGGTTTGTACTTGGCTCTGGTGCCCCCCCTCTCCTGCTGCTTCAGTGCCCATCCGGCATCACCCTTTGCCATCATCATTCTGGCTACACACACACTCTTCCTCTCCCCTGCTGAGGCAGCTTCCCATGCTGAGAGATTGGACCTTGAAGCTCTGTTTGCCTTAATTTGTAATATTTCCAGCCTGGGGGAGAATGCAGGGAGCATCGATTGCATTTCAGCAGGCAGCCTCACCCAAAGGCCCAGTGGCCTGACCAGCTCCAGTTGACTTAATTGGAACCTCTGCTCTCTCCCCCTCCCCCTGGCATTTAGCACCAGGACCTGTCTTCTGTTTCAGGCGAGCAACGCACAAAGTCATCAGAAAAATGTGGAGGGAGCATTCTGGGGGGGTGGGTCTCCTGTGCACTCTGCCCTGCTGAGCTTTACGCTGCAAGTACACCTTTGCGATTACAGGGGCTATGCAGCTTGTATGGGTTAGGGGTCAGCAGCTGGCCAGCCTGAGGGCTAAAGCTGACCACCCACAACCGGAACTGGATGCAGCCCCTTGGGCCTCCGTCTGCACTCTCCCAGACTTCCATGCCCAGCTCCACACCCCGGAGAGGTTTAACCGTCGGTCCCTCTGCATACGGAACTCTGGGAATTGCAGATCTGTGAGAGGAAGAGGATGCCTCCCAAAAGCTCTCAACCCCCTGAGCCACTTCCCAGGATTCTTCAGGGGACACCGAGGCTCTTTAAAGGGGTGTCAATAGTGCTTTAAAGCAACAGCGAGCCTTGTGCTTCCCCTTGTTCAGTGTGAGGCCATAAGATACTTCTCCACACACAGGCCTTCTGCGTCAGAGGCATCGCTGCTGTTTTTGGCCTCCGTGAAGGTGTTGGATGGATTATTATTTTAAAACATCAATCAAAGATCAGCGTTTGATTTTATCCCCCATGCTGTTTGACATCTACATGAAACCGCTGAGTTTTGGAGTATGTTGTCAGCAGTATGCTGATGACACTCAGCTCCATTTCTCCTTTACTTCTTCAGGTGAGGCAGTGGAAGTGCTGGACCGATGTCTTGCCTCAGTCATGGACTGGATGAGAGCCAACAAAGTGAAGCTCAATCCAGATAAGACAGAGGCACTGTTAGTGGGTGGTTCCCTAGACCAGATGGGTGGGAGATCGCTTGCTCTTGATGGGGTTACACTTACTCTGAAGGAGCAGGTTCATAGCTTGGGGGTCCTCCTGGATCCTTGAGACTCAGGTGGCCTCAGTGGCCCGGAGTGCCTTCCATCAGCTTTGGCTGGTGGCCCAGCTACGCCCCTATCTGGACAGGGACAGCCTAACTACTGTTGTCTATGTTCTGGTAACCTCTAGGTTAGATTACTGAAATGCGTTATAAGTAGGGCTTCCTCTGAAGATGGTTCGGAAACTTCAGGTGGTGCATAAATTTGGTGGCCAGGTTGCTCACCAGAGCAAGACGGTTTGAGCATCTTACACTGATCCTGGTCCAACTGCACTGGCTACCAATTAGTTTCCGGGCCCAATTCAAAGTGCTGGTTTTTTGTTTTTTTTATTAAAGATTTCCTTGATTTACAAAAGTGTGTGCAATGTCTCTCTCTCGTATATTTTTCCCCCATGTAACACTTTTACAAATCAGTTTCATTTGTTGAGACACTGGGAAGAAAAGGGGGAGATGGGTGGGGTCGGGTGGCAATGTTTCTATTTTACTTACTATATGTAGGGTTTGGTGTCAGCGTTGCTCTTGCAGGTTCTTTGCTGTTCACTTGTGTTCCTTTGGTGGTGAGAGGTTGGGGTTGGCCTAGGGTGTGGTTGTTCATTTGTGGTTGGCTGTGGTGGTCTTTGTTTTCATGTGTGAGTGGGGTAGGTGTGTGTTTTGGATCAGGTTAGCCATATTGATTTGTATGCCGTTGGTGGATTTTTGTCATTGTCTTGTTGGGCTGTGTATGTGATAAAGGGGAGCCATACCGGGGTGAAGGTGTCTTTTTCTATTTGTCTCCATGTCAGTTTAAGTTTATTGGTTAATTTTTCTAGTAGGGCTGTTTCCCATACTATTTGGTACCATTGGTCCATGCTTACTCCTGACAGGTCTCTCCAGTGTCTGGTTATGATGCTTCTGGCTGCTGAGAGTAGGTGGGTTATGAGTTCTTTGTGGTGCAAGTGGGCATTATTGTCTTGGAAGATGTTTAGTAAGGCCAATTCTGGGGTGATTTCTAATATTTGTTTGGTTATTTTACTTATTTCTCGTATGGTTGTTGTCCAGAGTAGTTGGGTTTTGGGGCACTCCCACCACATGTGGAGGTATGTGCCTGTGGAGGTGCACCCTCTCCAGCATTTTGGTGAGGTTTCTGGGTGTATTAGCACTAGTTTTCTTGGTATTAGGTACCACCTGTAGGTGAGTTTCAGAGTGAGTTCAAAGTGCTGGTTTTGACCTATAAAGCCTCAGGACCGCAAAAGCTCAAGGACCGTCTCTCCCCATAGAAACCAACCCGGGCTCTGCAACCATCATCTGAGGCCCTTCTTTGTGTGCCGCCTCCATGAAAGGTCCGAAGGGTGGCAACATGAGAACGGGCCTTTTCTGCAGTGGCTCCCCATTGGTGGAATGCTCTCCCCAGGGAAGTTCGCCTGGTGCCTTCCCTACACAGGCATTATTTTAGACATTCAACTGATTAACATTCTATGGTTTTTTAAAATGTTTTTGTGGGAGGGGGAGTTGTTGGTGTGGTTTTGTTTTTGTTTTACTATGTTTTATCTGTTCTCATTTGTGTTTTTTCTGTTGTGAACTGCCCTGGGATCTTTGGATAAAGGTGTAATACAAATTTAATATAACAACAGTAAAGAAAAAGAAGAAGACCATAACTTTTTGGAATTTATTAACTGTCGTTTTGTAAGCTGCCCTGAGACCCTAACCAAGGAAGGACAGGGAACAGATTGAACAGATAATCCAAAAGGCAGCCCCTTTCCCACTGCTCCAGTCAGCCAGGGGTGCCAGCTCAGCAGCCAGGTATGTGAGGAGCAGTCAAGGAACAGAAACTGGTGCCCAGAGAATGAAGGGAGCTCCTCTCTTGCCACCATCTAGCCGCAGGTAGCTCATGAGAACAAGCCCCCTGCTTCTAACAACGCCCGGCTCCTTTCACCCCCTGAGCCCCAATGGGCAAGATGCTTCTCTGTTTACTCTGGCAGCAGCCCAATTGCTCTGGTCATTGAGCACGCAGATTCTCCCAGAGTTTTAATTTCTGTCAAAGCAAGGTTGTCAGTGTGAGGCTGGGCTGAGATGGAGCCGTGGGCAGGGCTTCCTTGCCCCTTGGTGTGTTCTCAGGAGGTTGGGAAGTTGTGTGTGTGAGAGTGAAGCAGCAGCCCTTCTTTGGAGGCCCCCCTGCCAGCTTGTGGCTCTGGCACCCGCTCTGGTCCTGCGAGGAGGAGGGAGGGAGGGAGGGTAATTGCCACCTCCCTCTGTTTGCCTTGAGCCTAGCAGCTCTTAGCTGTCAGCATCCGGATGAGCCCTTGCTCCTTGCTCCTTCGCTGTAGCTTGAGCTCCTTGGGAGCCAAATCGCAAGACAGGCTGACAGCTGAGCAGTGGGGGGAACAGACCCCTTCCCTCCCCCTCCACAAGGGCCTCTGCAATCGAAGGGGCTCCACGATTAACCCTGCCTTGTTCTCCACTTTGTAACTGATTTTTGGCACATTTTTTTAAAAAAAGTATACGGTTAAAAACCAGGGTTAATTAGGCGCCCTGGCAGCTGGGCCTTGGCGGAGGCCATTGTGTGCCTGAATTTAACCGGAACTGGTTTCACAGCGTAGTCTGCTTTAATTGGTAACTGTTGTGAGTTTGGGCAGGCCGACTGCCGCCTCACGCAGGCCTAGCCAGCCTCCCAATTAGGGGCTTCCCCCTCCTCTCCCCACAGTAAGAATGCTTCTGTTGAACCCCTGTGGGATGCCTTCCCTCCAGCCCTCTGCCGGTTAATCTGATATATACAATGGGCTGAAATTGGTGCGTCTCCTGGGAGCCGTCCTCATTAGTCCTGACTCCTGTGATGTCACGGCATGTTCACGGCTGTTGGCGAAGGTTTCCTGGCTGCAGAATGTTACTCAGAGGCAAGGGCTCTGGAGGGAGGCGCAGAGATGGAGGGTTTTGGAGGAGGGTGCGGGGAGCCTCTGCATTTTGCATCTTGAGTCCAAGTAATGTGCGTCTTGGCTGCTGGTCTGTGTAGTGTTAACCTTTTATTACGTAGCCCAAATATACTCCTCTTTCTGTTTTGGGCCAAGTGCTTTCTCTGCATAAATGGTCGCTCCTGATAGATGCTTTCCCTGCAAGAATTTTGTTTCCCCTCAGTTCCACTCAATGCCATCATCTCCCACAGCAGCTGCTTTTCCCCTGAATGGAGCTCCTTTTCTCCTTCACGTGGGTGAAGCCCACCAAACAGTCATAACGATAAATAGCTGGCCGTATTTGTCCACGTCACTGAGGACAGATGTAGTCAACTCAGCGACACTTTCTGAATCACTTCCAAAGCAATCGCTGAAACGTTTTTTGGTTGGGAGAATACTTTTCGACATTGCTGAAAACGTTCCTGGAAAGTAGTGAGTCCTTGTTAGCTCAGCCCTTGCTATTGCTGCAAACCTCCTGGGCTGGGTCTTTGCAAGGGAGCTCCCAGGCATCCCTCTGGCGCCTGAGCATTCACCCCAGGGGAAGGAGGCTGCTGTGGGCATCTCTCTTCTGTGACAGTGCATGTGCTCGTCAACCTGTCCAGGATACATTGCAAGTTGTCTGTGCAATCTGTGGCCGACTTCACTTGTGATGGTTGGGCCACAGTCCTCAACAGGAGTCCTGGGGGCGCAGCAATGCTTTTGAATGCCAGTTGACGGAACCCATAGTGGAGGAGACGGCTCTTGTGCCCAGGTCTTGCTTGCGGGTTTCCCACAGAAGAAACCATTGTGGCCATTGTGAGAAGAGGGTGCTGGGCAAGATGGGCCCCCTTGGGCCTCATCCACCAGACTCTTCTCATGTTCTCCGTATTGCTGCTGCGTTGCTACTTGTGCTGTACAATGTGAGAGTGTTCCAGATTTTGTGGGGCAGGGGCCTTGCTTTTTATATTTTGCCCCTCCATTCCAAAGAATGTAGAGTTGCTTGGCTGGATCCAAAGAGAGATCTAGTGTACAGACCAGCATTTGGCCTCCACGGAGAGCCAGCCAGGTGAGGGGGCTGTGACAGCCACAGGCCTCTCCCATTGCTGGGTCTCCATTTCCTAGAGTTACCAGAATGGTGTGAGATGCAGTCACACACTTGTGTGAATGTAAAGTTGGCCTTGGTGCACTTTGGGTGTGTGCATGGGGCTTGGCCTTCCCCCGCATTTAACCTTGACTTTGCCACCCTTCCTACAGCCCAGGGTGCCAAATGATGGTTGCACTCGATGACATCAAATAAACTCACAGTCCATGCCGTGTGTAGTTCAGACTAGATGTACCAAATTAGACGTTGACGGTCCATGGGCTGGCTTGGCATCCATCAGCTCTTCCCACCCCCAGAACTTCCTTCACACACCCCAATCAAGTCCTAAGATTTATTTCCCATTGCAATATTCCCAGATCTGGGCCTAAATCTGCCTCCGAGCCAGCCTGTTGGCCAATTTGCAGGGAGCAAAACACTCACCTTGCTGCAGGCATAATCTCATAAGCCTCTGCTGCCATCCTAATGGCTTCTCCTGCCTGCCTGCAAACCGCTCTCCCTCCAGTATAGATTCGCAGAGTAATATAAAAAGCCATCGGATTATTACTGCAGGCGATAGGTTTTCCATTTACAGTAATAAAATACTGAGGAAACAAAACAATTTAAAATTCTAATAAAATTCAAAGCAAATCTTCAGCAGCTGGGATGATTCAATTATTTAGCTGTTATTGAATGCAAAGATGGGGGATAGGGAACAGGTTGTGGGGTTGGGAGACGGGAGGGAGGACTGCTGGTTTGGGGTTTGTTGTCCTGGGCAGTGTCTTCTGTAACAAATAAAAAGCAAGGTCACGCCAGGGAGCCAGCAGCCAGTCGTGAGAGGTGAGCATCATGGGAGGCTGGGGCAGAGGCCACAAAGGTGTGCCATTGGCTTTTCTGCAAGGAAAGGTCAAAGTATTTTGAGGCTTTAACCTCTTCTGGAGAAACAAAAGAACAGCTTTCCCCAACAATGGCACCCTTCTACTCTTTGGCACTACATCTCCCGTCGGTTGTGCTGTCTGCGGCTGATGAGAGTTTCAGTGCACAAGAGCTGCAGGCCTCTAAACCCAGTTTCCTTTATCCATAGATTCATTCATTCATTCACTGCATTTCTGCCCCACCTTTTTCTCCGAGGAGCTCGAGGTGCGTGCATGGTTCTCTTCCTCCCATTTAATCCCCACAACAACCCTGTGAGGTAGGTTGGGCTAAGAGAGATAGTGAGTGGCCAGGTTCGCCCAGTGAGCTTCAGAGCTGAGTGGGGATTTGGACCCAGGCCCTAGTCTGACAATCACGCCACCCCTGGCTCTCAAACCAGTGCCAGTGGGTAGTGAGAGAAGTTTTGCCCACCTGCAGAATGTTAGAATTCAGAGCCACCCAGTGAAACTGATTGGCCCTGGCTCAGGACAGACGACAGGAAGGACTCCTTTGTGGGGCTCACATAACATTGCAGGGGGTTGGTCTAGACGACCCTTTGGGTCCCTTCTGACTCTCCAGTTCCAACTCTACAAAACATAGGACCCGTGGGGTGCAGCAGTTGAGGGTGCTGGGCCAGGGAGCCCCCCACTCAGCCATGGAACTCCCTGAGCCACCTTGGGCCGGTCACTGCCTCTCCGATTAACTCACCTCACAGGATTGTTTTGAGAATAAAATAAGGAAGGAAAAGACCCAGGTATGCCACCTTGAGCTCCTTGGAAGAAAAGACGGAATATAAATGTCTTGCTGAATAAAGCTGCAGCCACACGTTGTGGTGGCTGTTAGTGTTGGGTGTGTTCACAGTGAAGTTGTATGTGGCTTGGGGGCCATTTCACAGTGCTCCCCCACTTTTCCTCACATCAGCAGGGCTTCATTGGTGTCAGATTCACCACACCAGGAGGCATTGACAGGCCAGGGCTGACTCTGCCCCAGGCCTGCTTGTCGCCATCAGAAACACATGATGCCCAAATGCACCTTCGCCTCTCCCCAAACATCCAAGAGATCTCTCGATGCCTCCTACTTCCAGGCTGGGGGGAGTGTGAGGTTGTTGAGTGGCTCAAGGGAGAGACGAGGCCAAGTTCCCTGAAAGAAGGGCTGCAAGAAGGGGGGGGGCTCCCATTATGCACACACTCAGGTAGGAGCACACAGCCCAAACCCTCAGCCCCACAGAAGGTTTCCACAAAGGTCTTTGCAACTTGGCTGGTGACCCTGTCCAGCACCTGAGTTTTATAAAAAAAAGAACAGGATTTGCGTGCATGTCGGACAAAGTCGTTTGAACTCAGATTAAGAGCCCTGCCCTGGAAACGCAGCGGGTGCCCAGTAAACGGCTGGGGGAGCACAGCCTTGGGTGGCTTCAGAAGAGAAGTTCAGTGACTGTTTAACAAATGGCACCAGCAAAATGACTTTTCTGCCTAAATTTGGCTGCTGAAACGAAGAAGGCAAACCAGGTGCAGGTTTTTGTATGAAAGGGCTCCGATCTCAGTTCAGTTCCAGTGTTGCAAACCCTTTGCTCAGAGGCAGCCTTTTCTTTCCTTCTCACTGGTCTGTGATCAGGAGGTTTTGGGATCTGGCAAGACAGAAGTGGGCTCAGCCCTGGCCTGCCCAATCCAGATTTCTCCCCCCAGGGTCCAGCGTTTTCCAGGCCATAAGACTGTAGAGTTGGAAGGGACCCCAGAGTCATCTAGCCCACCCCCCTGTCATGGCGTTTCTGAAGCCCCTCTGCCCGGACGCTCCGTGCCCCGGCTTTGGCTTTAGTCAGCGCTCAGCCGGAGCAGATGGCAGCAGCCTCCTCAGAGGAGCACCTGGTGCCTGGGCCAGAGAAGGGCTTGGCTGTGCAGCCGCTGACAGCTCCGCTTGCAAGAGGAGAAGGGGTGAGGGAAAGGGCAGGCCGTTGGTGCTGGCAACCGCGGCTGCGTGTCAAGGCGAGGCCGCCTTTGCATGACGGGTGACGGGGTGATTGGGGAGAGTAATTACGGCCCGTTAGAAAGCAGTAATTACTGCAGGGAGGGAGAGGCGCTTGCCAGCGGAGTGCAGGAGTGCGCCAGGAACCCTCTCGGAAATTGGTAGCTCTATAATTTTCCCAGTGGGGGTTCGCTGCGTCACCCTGAGATGTGACAACACATGGAATTTGCAGCTTGTCACAGCGAGCCCAACTGGTGTTCAGGCAGTGACACAGCCTCTCTCCCTGACCCCCCCCCCCTTGATCTGGGAGTGATCTTCCAGGGGCTGCTTGGTGCGTTTCCTGTGCTTGACTCGCGGTGGCAGAAGGCTGGCACCCAGTCTGGCTTGTGCCAGGGCAGGTGGGCACTGCAGCCCATGCACAAAAGGGCATCAGTTGCTGCATTGGGTGCAGGAGAGGAGCTTCATGGGAATCTGTGCCTGTAGTTTAAGGAATCAGGAGCAGGTGGAGCCCCTTGTGCATGTGTGGGGAGAGCTTTGGTGGCCCCTCGGGAGCAACTGACGGTCAGAGGGGCAGCCCTTCAGTGCCCTTCTCAGTACTGTATCCCTCCCTCCTGAAGGCTAGGGAAAAGCAAGCTAAATTATGCAAGTCAGTAAAGAACTATGGAATAAATTATGCAAAATCAGAGGAATTAAAGACAAAATTTATTCAGGGTCATGGGGTTCAGCTCTTTTTGGCCCAGGATTTGGATAGCCTGGGAGTAGAATGTTAATAGCTTTTAGCCTGGGCGACTCACGACCCCAGCTTGAAATCCCATTGAAGTCAACGGGGATTTGAAAAGAGGGAATAAGTGCACAGAAGAATTTGCATTGTTCACAGATTCCTAAGAGCTGGAAGAGGGGGGGAACCATCTAGTCTGATCTGAAACAGACACAGAATAATCTTCACAATCCAGGCCCCAAACAGGGAGCCAGGCACCCCAGTGAATGATGCCTGCAGAGCAAATGAACCCAAGCTGCTTGTTTGGGGAGGCCAGGCACCTCCGTTGTTCAGGTGTGGCTCTGCGGCTGTTGCTCACCAGCATTGTAACACAGAGCAGGAGAGCGGTTTGTGCAGTTCCTGCCTCTGCAATGGGCAGGTCGCAGTGGCCGCAGCCGGTCTCTCCTCCTCCGTGCTGGGGAGGCCTACCTGCCCTCCTCTGGCTGTGGGGCTCAGAAGCGCTGGAACAGCACAGCTGGATCCTGCAGGGCACCACGGAGCTTGACCTTGCGGGCACTCGCCCCCCTGCCCCCACCTCCAGACGGGAACCTTTCCCGCCAGCCCTCTCACTGGGAGCCATTTTCATTAGGGATTCTGCGAGTGTCACCAGTTAATTAGCGTCATGTTAATTGAGTATTTGCCATGCTTCCTCCTCCAAGGACAGCCGTGCTAGCATGGAGGGGAATGCAGATGTGTCGTCCGGAGGGTGGTTGGGGTGGCAGCCGACCTTGTCCTCCTCTAGCCCTGGGTCCCGGCAGCAGCCAGACCACAGGGCAGACCCCCATCCGAGCACTGCCCTTGGGTAGTCCACAGGGTGGCAGGGCATTCCTGCAGGGTGAGCTCTTGGGAGAGATCATACTGAGAGCTTGGCTCCTCTGGAAGATGTTTAGGGCTCCTGGGGCTCTAGGCAATGTCTCTTTTGTGTTGTTTGCTCTGCCCAACAGAGCAGGGATACTGAGGCATAACAACTTCTTCACACGGCACATCATTAGACTATGGAACTCCCTCCCACAGGAAGTGGGGATGGCCACCAACTTGGTTGGCTTTGAAAGAGGATTAGGCAAAAATCACGGAGGAGGAGAGGGCTCTGGAAGGCTATTAGCCAGGGTGGTCATGGTTAGCTTCCAGGGTCCAAGGCAGTTGCTGGAAGCCATGGGAGGCGAGAGTGTTGCTCCTGCTTGCAGGATTCCCATAGAGGATGGGCTGCTGGCCTCATCCAGCAGGTGCTCTTCTGATGTTCAGGCCAGGGGCCCACCAACTCCAGCGTCCTGTTCTCACAGGTGCCTGAGGGAAGCCTGCAAAGAGGACCCGGGCACAAGAGCGCTCTCCCCTCCGGCACTGCTGCCTCTGACGATGGAGGCAGAACATAGCCATTGTGGCCAGTAGCCCAGAATCCAAACAAGCACCGAGTGCATGTCGGGAAAGTGCAGAATGCAATTGCCTGAGAATCTCCACTTGCCTTACCTGAAGACAACACAGTTCTTGCCCTTTTAGGGGTTGGGAAGGTTTGCTTGGATGCCTGTGGGCAATGCCTGCTGAGAAGGAAGGGAGGCAGCAGTCAAGGGGTGGGACTTCACTGCCATGCTTTCCTCCTCCCATGGGATGGCGGCAGCGGCATCCTGCTACTGCTAATTGTTGCTTGTAATTATCTTTGTACCCTTAATGTGCATTGTGACAAGAAGATCTCAAGGAGGTTACTGTGTTTGGATTTTGACATTGGAAAAGCAGTCGAGAGATGGGAGGAGACGAGGTCAGGAGGAGGGTTCGAGTTCAGCACAGTGGTGCATGCTGAAGATTATTTGCAAATAAGGGATGCAAGATGGCAACCTTCTCCAGCCAGGTGCCCCCCAGATGTCGGCCCCAGCCAATCTGACCATGCTCCCACCCATCTGTTGTGCAGATAAAATAGGGGGGGGGGGACCATGTACCTAGAGCACCCTGAGCTTCTTGGAAGCAATTAAGAAGCAAGTATTTCTTTGGCCTGCCTCTGTGGGGCTCCTCTGGGAGGCCTCCCTTCCCCATCGGCCTGTGTTGTGTCTGCAGCCGCAGAACCTGCCCAGCCTAGACAGACAGACAGACAGGCTATTTTCCTCCCTAAGTGATAGACTTAGCTGGGCCTTTGGGGTAGACTATTGACGAGATATTGGCAGCCAAGGATCAAGTGGCAGCTGGATGTCCTGGGCTATATTTGTCTTGCTGGCTCGTGATGCGGCCGTAATCCTCACAGAGAGCGGTCAGGGTGAAGACACCAAGACGTGTCTTGCCTTGGAGGCCTCCAGAGGCTCCGAGGGTCACTGGCTCCGTCCCTAAAGGCAGGTGCTGCTGGGCGGGCCAAGGGGCAGGCGTCGGCTCCCGGCTTTGGAGGGGCCCTTGAGCAAAATGCTCAGCCTCCTCTGCAGCAGATGCCTGGCCATGCCAGCCCTTGGCGCCAGCCCTGCAAGGTGGGCCCCTCAGCAGCTGTCCAGGTGCTGCAAGCGGCTCTCCCACAAAATCATATAATCATAGACCGGTGGAGTTGGAAGAGACCCCACCAGTCATCTGCTCCAACTATTTGCCTTGAGCATAAGGCACTGATAATGAGGAAGGCCGTCTCTGAATATGGGCGACGTGTTCACTTATCACGGTTAATAACAGACCCCTCCTCCAAGAAAGAGGTCTGCCTCTCCTCTTTTGAGAGGGGCCACTGGATGCCTCTGCTCACAAGCAAGTCGTAGGGTCATCAAACATTCCTTGCTATTGCCTCCCAGAACCTGGTGCTCTTATTTATCTATCTATTTCGGAAGATTAATGCACTTAAAGCCATTTCCAAAGAGAATAAAACAAGAAAATTAGCAGTAAAAACTAAACATTTGAAAGATAGAATCAGCAATAAACTAAAAATAGATTAAAAGATACATCAGCATTCTACACGTCTGGGTGGGTTTATCTAAACAAGGATGTTATTTAGCAGGCTCCGAAAAGAGCTCAGCAAAGGCAGGGAGTTCCAAAGTGTGTGGCTGCTGCCACACTAGAAGATTGATTTCTAACAAATTGGGAACGTGTGTTATGTGGCACCTCAGATCAAAGTGGGCATATTCGGGGTAAGGCAGTCTTGCAGGTAAACTGATCCCCAGTTGTTAAGGGCTTCACATTTTAATAGTAGCCCCTTGCACTGGGCCCAGGGGCACGTTGGCAACCAGTTCAGCGCTCTGAGTGCAGGTGTTGTACACAGACCGGATTTAGCTTGTCATTCCATGCTAAGAGCTGCCAAGAGACAGAGGAAGTTGCTGGTTCTGAGTCAGACCCTCAGTTGTTCTGTTCTGTTGTGTTGTATTGGGTGTTTATTCTTCTTCTAATATATGTTTATTGATTTTTTTCAAAATGGCAACAAACAATAACAAAGAGGACAAGGACTGTGTGGAGCACATTATTGAAGTGGGAATAAAATGAACAGAAGGTTCAGGACACTTGTGCAGACGTCATAATAAAATAGATTCTGCTAAGGGACATTGGGCTGCCCTGCATGATGACATTTGCTGAGAGAAAGACAGTGGAAATGTGTCCCTGTTAATTCTCTTCAACCTCCAAGCGGTTTTCAGTACAGTCAACCATGGTATCCTTCTGCAGCGGCTCTCCAAACTAGGGGTGGCTGGCATCGCTTTGCGGTGGTTCCAGTCCTACTTGGGTGGTTGTTCCCAGAGGGTGTGACTTGGGGAGTGCTTTTCAGCCCCGTGGAACCTTCAATTTAGGGTTCCGCAGGGCTCAATCCTATCCCCCATGTTGTTTAACTTCTACATGAAACCGCTGGGTGGGGTTATCTGGAGGATTGGAGTACGTTGTCAGCAATATGCTGATGACACTCAGCTCTGTTTCTCCTTTACATCTGCAGGTGAGGCAGTGGAAGTGCTGGACCCAATGTCTTGCCTCCAGTAATGGACTGGATGAGAGCCAACAAAGTGAAGCTCAATCCAGATAAGACAGAGGCACTGTTAGTGGGTGGTTCCCTAGACCAGATGGGTGGGAGATCGCTTGCTCTTGATGGGGTTACACTTACTCTGAAGGAGCAGGTTCATAGCTTGGGGGTCCTCCTGGATCCTTGAGACTCAGGTGGCCTCAGTGGCCCAGAGTGCCTTCCATCAGCTTTGGCTGGTGGCCCAGCTACGCCCCTATCTGGACAGGGACAGCCTAACTACTGTTGTCTATGTTCTGGTAACCTCTAGGTTAGATTACTGAAATGCGTTATAAGTAGGGCTTCCTCTGAAGATGGTTCGGAAACTTCAGGTGGTGCATAAATTTGGTGGCCAGGTTGCTCACCAGAGCAAGACGGTTTGAGCACATTACACCAATCCTGGTCCAACTGCACTGGCTACCAATTAGTTTCCGGGTCCAATTCAAAGTGCTGGTTTTGACCTATAAAGCCTTGAGCGGCTCAGGACTGCAAGACCTCAAGGACAGTCTCTCTCCATATAACTGACCTGGACCCTGAGATCTTCCTCCTCCTCAAGAGGTCCAGAGGGTGGCAACACGAGAACAGGACCTTTTCTGCAGTGGCTCCCCGTCTGTGGAATGCTCTCCCCAGGGAGACTCTGGCGCCTTCATTATACACCTTTAGGCGCCAGGCAAAAACGTTCCTCTTTAACCAGGCCTTTGGCTGATTGGCACCCGATGCCCTTTTAAATGTGTTATGGGAGCGGGGGTTATTGGGTTGTTGTTGTTGTTCTTATTTATATTACGTATTTTGTGGGTTTTTTATCTTGTAACTTTATGGCTGGACAGTTTTATCCTAACGTATCTCCTTATATGTTTTGTTAACTCTGTTGTGTTCTAATCCATGTATACAGTGCAATTTTTCTATGCCAATAAAGGAGATTGATAGATAATTTTATGTTGTGAACTGCTCTGAGATCTACGGGTGAAGGGGTGGTGTGGAAATTTAATAAATGTAATAATTAAAATCATAAACAGAACATTAAAAACAAGCAAACTCACCATAGCACCTTGAATTGGCTACTCGTATTAAGTTGACACCACAGTTGACAATCTGGGGCTCTTCTGTTTTTTGTGGTTTTTTTTTAATAATAATATTTATTCAAAGTTTAAAGTTACAAAAAGAAAAGAGAACAATACAAAATACAAAAAAGAATATAACAATAACAGAGAGAGAGAAAAAAAAAAGGTATAAAAATACATTCAATTGAAATAGAGCAAGAACAGCTTGAACCTTTACATAACTTTTTTCCTTTACTTATTTCCTTGACCTCCTCACACTTTTGTATTCTAGTTCAGATCGTTTTTTTCAGCAAATCCTTCCAACCTTATTTTCATTTACATAGTTTAATTTAAAGTATTATAATTTAACATCCTCTCTTTCATCAATTTCATCAACTCATTTTTGCTTAATCCTTTATATCATATCTACCAAAACTACCTAATTTTCTTTTTCCAACATCTTTCTAACAGTCTTTAATATTACAATATTTTTGAAGATATACTTTAAATTTTTTCCAATCTTCTTCCACCGACTCTTCTCCTTGGTCCCGGATTCTGCCAGTCATCTCAGCCAATTCCATATAGTCCATCACTTTCGTCTGCCATTCTTCTCGGGTGGGTAATTCTTGTGTCTTCCAATACTTTCCGATGAGTATTCTTGCTGCTGTTGTAGCGTACATAAAAAAGGTTCTGTCCTCCCTTCGCACCAATTGGCCGACCATGCCCAGGAGAAAGGCCTCTGGTTTCTTCAAGAAGGTATATTTAAGTACCTTTTTCATTTCATTATAGATCATCTCCCAGAAAGTCTGGGGCTCTTCTGGAGGGTCCTGGACCTGTGTCCTAAATTTGTGTTTTACAAATTTAATAAACAATGGTGAAAATAGCCATAATTTTGGAAATCCGAGTCTCAGGTGCCCCATAGAGGTGGGTGCTGTTGGGGGCCTGTGCAGCACCTTCCTTTTACCTACAAAGTACAGGAACGTCAACCCTACAACGTCAAGAGGGCCTCGTTTAAGAGTAACCTCTTTAAATCCTCCTTGTCTTTGTTGCTTGCTCAGACAAGGCAGTATTCCACCTCCTCTCAATTCAAACCCCCCCCCCCCAGTGGAGGCTTCTGTGCATGGCAGTGCAGCCCTAGCAGCTTCTTGCGAACAAGGATGGGGTATTATTGTTATCTTATTTTATTTATTTATATCCTGCCTTGTTCCCAACAGACTCAAGGCGGCTTACAGATAAAATCAAAACAGCTGGAAAAAACCACACAGGAATAGAATTAAAACTATATACAGACGATCTATTAAAACACTACAAATCATAACAATAGAAACATTGCAGCACCAATCCTTTCCTTAAAAACAGCCTAATCCTGAAAGTCTGTTGAAATAAGAAAGTCTTATTCCACAAGGAGGGAGCCAGTCAAACCTCTCCAAGGAGGGAGCGCCAAAGTCAGGGAGCAGCCACCACCGAGAAGGCCCTCTCCTGTTTCAGTCACTTTCAGTGGCCAGGGCAGTTAATCCTGGGCCCAGGGCCAGAGATGGGTTTCTTAGTACAGAAGGCTCCCCAGGGTTTTATGCAGGGGCCTTTGATACTCAGGGGATGCAAAACGGATGTGCAGAGCACTGAGCTGCCCCCCTTTTCCAGGGACACCAGGAATTTATGTCATGCTTTAGAGCAGCTTCCCCCCTCCCTGGTGCTTTACAGATATGTTTGTCTCCTGTCAACACTTCCCTGCTGACTGGGGCTGAGGAGATGTTGGTGCAAACCATCTTCGAGGCGTGGCATTTGAGAAAGCCACTTAAAGTCCATTCTTCTGAGATGTTGCCAGCCAGAGCTTGAAGGCAGCAACTTTCCCCTGCTTTGATATCCCTGGCACCTGGTTTTTCTGAGGTAGGCTGCCTCGGAAGCAGAAGGCTTTATCCTTCGTTATCACAACTCATAGCTCTTGAGAGACCAAGAAGGCTGATCCTTCCCAAAGGATCCTGGGACAGTTGGCTGTGTAGATCAGTGGTGCCCAAAGAGGGTGGTGGGATTACCGGGGGGGGGGTGCTAAGAGGCAAGAGGGTGGCAGGGGGCACTGGAGGTGTAAATGGCTGTCAGGCTTGGAAAAGTTGCCATCACTGGATCAAGTTCATCAGTTTTCTTGATTTAGTTTCCATTGGATTTTCAGCAAATCCTTAGCGGGTTGTGCAGGCCACTGTTCTGAACAGGGGCTTTTTGTAGGATAGGGGCTGCTGGGGAGGAGTTTATGGAACCAGAAGCACGGGGGGGGCTGGGGGGGAAGGGAACCCCTGGTTCAAATGCAGCCGTGGATCTAGCTCATTCTTAGCTCTCCAGGTTAAAATGGGTGAGCATTTGGGACCCCCCCCCCCTATTTGGGCTTCCTGGTTTTCCTGGCTGTGGCAGCAGGACACAGCTAGGGCGGATCTGCCGTCCTCAGAACAACAGCAGGACGTGGCATCACCCTGCGTGCAAAATGTGTGCTTGTCCACGTGCGCTTCACTTGAGCAGCTGCCCCTCCCCCAGTCCATTAATCGCAGGCTTCCATTAAAACCCACCGCAGCAGGTCGTTTGAGAAGCGAGGCAAATGGGTTCACTGGCCATTTCCCCATTACATTAATGTTATGGGCTTTTTACAGGTGTCTTAAATAGACATTGTTATTAACGAGTCTATTAAGTCAATTAAAACCCAGTCCTTTGAGCTGGATTTAATGTAGCCACTGGGAGAGATTGGGGGGAGGGGGCTAGAGGTATTTTTGGTTTCCTGCCATGGTATAAGGAGCAGCCGGCCATTGCAGTTTCTTTCTGCTCCTCTGCTGCCTGCCTGCCTTCCTTCCTTCCTTCCTTCCTTCCTTTCTTTCTTTCTTTCTTTCTTTCTTTCTTTCTTTCTTGTGTCGTGTCTCACATCCATCTTTGGAGATATGCCTCTCCATTCCTGGGAACCAACTTTTCATTTTCATTATTATTATTACTGTTATATATTGCATATCTATCGCACCTTTTTCCCCAAGGAGCTCAGGGTGGCCGGCATAGCACTCCCCTCCTCCATCCCCATGAAAACCCTGTGAGGCTGGTTAGGCGAAGAGGCCAAGCAAGGATTGGAACACATGGATCATGGAATACAAGCCTGCTTTTAAAACCCTCCGGCCTCTTGTGCCCGCGGGAGGGAGCCGGGAGCCGGGGGCCGAGGCAGAGCAGCAGCACAGGCCAGGAGGCCGGTGTGTCCCTCAGGTCTGCCTGCCTCCCTTGGCGAGCAGGAGACGGTCGAAGCCCCGAGAAAGACTTGGCATGTTGTTTTTAAATGACTTGGTAGCAGCTCTCCCCTTTTTTCCGCCCTCTCTCAGAGGCAGCCTTTTCAAACACCTAATTTATTCCATCTATTAGATAGATTTTGTAGATTTAATCATTTTCACAGTTGGTGGCTCATTGGATACTCAAGATAAACTCCAAATGAAAGTATAATGGGAACGACAAATGAGTTTTTGCACCAGAAATAGCAGAAACTTGCTCAAGAAGGGAGTTTGAGAGGAGCAAAATATATATAATTTCTCCTTCCGCCCCCCCCCCCCGCCCCTTCTTGGCGCTGCCTTTTGCTGACTACAGTAGGTTACCACAGTTAATTTCGCCAGTTTTGTTCATCTGTAAAATTGCATAAAAGTGACATTTTTGTGCTCGTTATAAGAAGTGCTGATTTATAGCTGGTAAATGGAATCCCCCTCCCTTTTGTGTGTGTGTGGAGCTCTCATAGCAGCGTAAAGCACCCATGAAATTGCTTGTATAATGTAGTTTAAATCCAATCTCCAAGAGAGATTCCCTCCCTCCCCCCTCCTTGGCTAAGGAGATGTTTCCTCTCCCCACACCAAGTTTATTTAGGCTGCTTGGAGAATGAAGGGGGGGGGCGGGTCGTGTGTTTCTTTTGGTTGCTGTGGTCCATTTCAGAAGAGTGAGCCAGCTGCTCATAGAAATGTGGAATTGGAAGGGACCCTGGAGGGGCATCTCCTCCACCCCCTGGACCACCGGCCAGGCTGACGGGGGCTGGCGTGGTCTTCAGAAGGACGGATCTGCCGTATATGTAATACAAAAAGGGCAAAGCACATTAAAAGTATCTGGAGGTTTCAGTCCTTCCTGAAGTCACAAATTAGGCGCAATCTTCTCCATTATCCCAGAGTGAGGGGCACCAAGCATCCAGCGTAAGATTTTGGGCTGTTTCCAGCTGAGTTGCAATAACTGTTTGATTCTTCTGACAATATGTTGACATTGGTATCATCCGAAAATATTTGGCAACATTAATTTTTGACAAGCAATAGTTGGTTTATGGAGAGAATAAACCAATTTTGAAGGTGTTTTTTTAAAAAGCAGTTTATTCGCGAAATAAATAGGTGAATGCCCGCTTAACGCTGCTGCCTGCCTTTTTGTGTCCTAGGTGAAGTCATGGCTCCCCTGCATTCCCCGCGATACCCCAGCCCAGCTGAACTGGACGCCTACGCGCAGAAAGTGGCCAACAGCCCCCTCACCATCAAGATCTTCCCCGCCAACATCAGGGTCCCACAGCACAAGCACCTTAACCGGACAGTGAACGGGTACGACACAACGGGGCAGCGCTACAGCCCCTACCCTGTGCACGCCAGCGGCTACCAGGGACTGCTGGCCATCGTGAAGGCTTCCTCCTCCTCCTCCTCCAGCAAAGGCGTGGTGAAGAGCACGGAGGGCAAGCGGACTAAGATGTCCCCTGCCCACGTGGCCGTTGCCCCCTACCCTGTGACGAGCACTTTAGCCCCAGGCCCCTCCTGCGCAGCGCAGCTGGGCTACCACAGCAGCCAGAAGCAGATGGAGGCCCCCGCGGCCCCCAACGTCACGGTAGCCACCTCAACGATCCCGCACGCTGGCAGGAGCCTGGCGCTGCCCCAGTCCAACCTGCCCTCCATCCAGAACATCATTTTCCAGATCAATCAGCAATGCCAGGCGCAGGCCAGCCAGCCACTGTGCCAAGGGGTAGTGGTAGCCAACCCCAGCCCCGCCAAGCACGGCGCCGCCACCGCCGCCGGATTTGCCACCATGGCGACGGTGGGTGCAGCCGTGGCGTACGCGGGTGCCATGCTGCCTGACTGCCGCAAGGGGGCTGAGCTGGTGGCAGGCTCCCACCCGGGTGGTGGGCACCTTGGTGCCAAGGCCAGCCTCTACCCCGACGGCATGGACTACCTGCTCTGGCAGCAGCAGAAGCCACAGCAGCAGCAGCTACGCATGTACAGTGCGGGCAGCGGGGGTGGGGGCGCCGTCAGCAAGTCCCCTGAGGTGTGCGCCGGGGTCCTGCGTGCCTATCCCATGACGGGCACGGCCGACAAGGTGAGCTCGTCCCCGTTGAACTGCGTGGGCATGCACGGGAACTTCTCAGTGGGGCAGTACTTTGCTCCCCCCTGGAACAGCATCCTGGTCACTCCCAACAGCGACTGCTACAACCCCCCGGAGCTGGCCAATGGGCACCGCGAGCTGGGCGTCCAGCCCTCGGACGGGCTGCCCAGCTTGCCCAGCAAGACGCTCTGCAATACCTCTGTCCTCAGCAGCAGCCTGCAGTCGCTGGAGTATCTCATCAACGACATCCACCCTCCGTGCATCAAGGAGCAGATGCTGGGCAAGGGCTACGAGACGGTCTCCGTGCCGCGGCTCCTGGACCACCAGCACGCCCACATCCGCCTGCCCGTCTACAGATAGGAGCCGCCGGCACTCTGCTCTGAACCCGGAGGGCAAACCGCTTCAGCTACGGACCCCCTTTCCCCCTGCTTTGCCCTCCCCAGCACCGCCAGGGCCCAGACGGCTGCGGCAAGCAGGGGCCCCGAGGAACGCAGGCAGAGGCAGGCAGCAGCATCCAGAGACTCGCTGGGATCACAGAGCTTCAGTTGTGCAACCGGCTGCCCTGGGATGGAGGAAATTGCTTGTCTATATAGCTCAGAAGTTTTTGTTTCTATTTCTTCAGAATGTGAACAGGGAGATGCTGTCCAATTTTGCTGCTAATCCAGGGAGAGAAGGCTTCGCTCTGTGTGTGTGTGTGTGTGTGTGTGTGTGAGAGAGAGAGAGAGAGAGAGAGAGAGAGAGAGAGAGAGAGAGAAGGGGCGTGTGAGTATGAGTCTGTGACCAGTTGGATTTGCATGTGGAGGGGTCCCTTTCCCCTCTCCCAGAAAGAAGTTTCTGTCCTGTGCTGAGTTCAAGTGGGAGCTTTACGTGGGGGTGGGCGGGAGTGGATCGAGCCCCTTCCCCAGCCTGCTCCTAGGCATCCAGGTGGCTTAGTTGTGTAGCTTTGCCTACTTTCTAGTTGAAGTCTGTAACTTGCACTGTTTCGATTTAAAGCTAATAATTGGGGAAAGGTGTGAAGTCTATTTAAGGAAGGAAGAAGAAAACACTTGAAAAAAACTTGAAGAGACTTTTTTGTTTTGTTTTAGTTGAATCTACTGTACATTTCTGCGTTTGGCTGCTACACAACGGAGGCCCTCTGCCCTATGTCAGCATAGCCCTAGGTGATTTTTTAAAATTAAAACCTTACATTTTATTGTTATTGTTATTAATATTAATATTATTTTTAACGGCAATATTGCATTGCCTGTTTTTGTCTGGGAAGCCAGCCTATTCAGCCAGGAAGTTGTGCTAGAAAGAATGAGAGGCCATATTGGAAGGATTGTCCCCCCCAGCCCCCCGTTGGCCGTTCATTTTGACGATTTCTGTCTCTTTCAAGCCCACCTGTGTTGCACCTGCCTGCGGATGCACAATTTGAAAGGGCAGAGTGCGGGAAAGAAACTAATTTACCTCTGAAATGTCACAAGCAGAAGACTTGCTCCATTTTTGTTTCTCCCAAAAAGTTAATGGAATCGGACTCACAAGGGCCCATGTGACGTCATGCAATAGGTCCCCCTGCAGCTTGGCTTGTGGCGCGTGGTTTTTGCATTAGGCTGGACCCAGGTCTAAATCAGGTCAGAAGCGTGGCTGGGCGGCGGGACAAGTGGGGTTCGTAAATGATTTCAGAAGAATTGGAGGTGAGCGTAGATTTCTCCTCAGCCCAGCCAGTGTCGTGTCCGTTACACAACAACTCCTCGCCTCCACCTGCTCTGATCAAGTTGCAGGAGCCTTAGGGGTTCTCAGGCAACACATGCGGTTTCGTTGTTGGCAGTGTCTACTGTTAGAGAGGCAGGTTGCAGCTGAGAGGAGTAGGACTAATCCCATTGAATGCATCCAGTGTGTTGTGTTTAGTTTTTCTTTCCAGCATATTATAATTTGCTTACTTTAATTTCCTTTTTTAAAAAAAAGAATTCTCCAAAAATATTCCTTCTGCTCTTGTCATTCAACCCATGTAATTTATGTTTTAATAAGTTTTATTCAAGGGACCTGCTTTGCGGGAATCACAGAGGAGTTTCCTCCCTCCCCTCCCCACTGTTTAAAAGAAGGAAAAAATAAGAGTGGCCCAAAAGGGGTTGTGCTCTGAATATAGAGGTACTGTGTCCTTAACCACCTGTTCCAGCACTAAGTGCATTTACAAATCTCTTAGAATGTGTTTTTATATGAAAAAGTGACCATTATATTCTACTGTGAGAAGTGCATTGTGCACTATATTGTTTTAAAAATGAGAGAAAACAAAAAGTTGGAAAAAAAAACAGCAAACGATGTCTCTGGATGTTGTCTTTCTTTTTTCTCTACCCCCCCTACCCACCACCCCCACCACCACCAAAAAGAAAATTAAACCTGGGCTTTCACTGGCTGTCTGGTTCTGGAATTTGCTTGTATACCTTTTGCTCTCCCTTCCTGTTCTTCAGTGGGTCGGGGAGGAAGCAGGGCAAGTCACACGGAGGGGGGGACCCCCTTGGCCCCCCTGGTGGGAGCGCCCTTGGCCACATGGAGTTCCTCTGTCCACAAAGGAAGTTTCCCACCCATTTCAGCAGAAGAAGCAGGTCTGCCTGGGTCTCCCTAGACGCACTTGGTGCTTGAGGAAGCATTGGGGAGCCCCACAGCCTCACCAAAGCACATGTGGGTCCCCAGATGGGGAGCAGACCGCTTGTGCCCTTACTGACCGCAGGGGAGAGCCAGATCACCCCAAGGAAGGGGGCTGAGGATGGATCCTCTGTCAAACTTCTGGTGTGTCAGATTTCCCCCAGTGTGTCATTTTATTTGGAAATGAGTCTTCATAAGGAAGTGTTGAACTTTTGCAGGGAGGGTTTTTCTATAACTTGATTTATTGACATTCTGAAGATTCGTACGGCATAAGACGTCACCCCTCATTTTTTAGTTTTGCTGTTCCCCTCATGTGCTCCCTCTCTCTAGTCATGCAAAATATTACCACACAATTTGGAAGCCATGTTTTCTTCAACATTTCCTAATCCCCTTCTCTTTCTTTGTGAGATTTTGCTTCTCTTAGCTGTGCCTTGCTTGATTCAGCATTGACCCCATAATTAAAACACTGATTTCCCTCATGTTTTGCTCCAGATAAGCTTGCATTGTACTCCTCAGAATAATGTGTAAATTAGAGGAAAGTGTCAACACTGAATGCTGAGCTACCTCTGCTAGTGCTGCCACCCCTGTTCATTGTTTTGATGAAAAAACAGAAAATAGATGGCGAATTTGTCAATGATAGAGGTCCGTCTACCACAGTTTTACCACAGCAAGGAAAATTTTATAATGGTGAATCATTACAAAACAGTTTTCTCTCCCGCCTTGTGGTGTTATTTCCCTGTAGAAAATGATCCCCCAAACCCCTTTTTCCGTTGACTTTGGGACATAGGGCGGCTTTTATTTATCTTCTGAAAGGATTAAGAGTCCAGGGCATTTCCTTGGCAACCGCAAAGGTCAATAGATAATTTATATGATGCATAAGAAGTGGAGCTTTTTGCCAAACAGCAGGACTCTCTATGCCGGCTCTTGAAGTGGGTTTTCAGATCCAGCTGGTGGTCTGGATATGCCCCCCCCCAAGACACACAGCCATGTCGTCCTCTTAAAAAAAACCCTTGTGCTCCTTTTCTTAAGACCACAAGCTTCCTCCCCACACCCCAAGACACTTTCTCTCTGAGGTGAATTTATCTCCTGTCAGGAAAAGCTGTGATGGAGGAATGTTATTTTTTTGTCTTGTGGGGGGGGGGGTTGGCCAGCAGGCTCCTTCCTTCTCGCTCCCTGCAAGGTCTGTCCTCTGGGGTTCCCAGGCAGCTGAAACAGCGCCTTCTCCCTGCCATGACCCCATCCGCTGTGGGCGAGGGGGCAGATTACTGCCCCAGACAATGAGCTCCTTGCATTGGGGACAATAGTATTAAATGCCAAAGAGGTTTCGGCGCAGGGCTGCTATCACTCACGCCCTTGTCTTCCCCCTGATGTGGCATATGGTGCGCCATTATGTGGGCCTCTGGCCTCGCAAAAAAGCTTTTGCGCTTGGGAGGCTGGCAGGACTCTCGCTTTGAGGGCGAGACTTTCCCATACTGCCTCTCGCTTTTTCGTCCAGAGGAAGAAAGCGGCACCTCTTCCAAATAAAGACCTCAGATGGAAATGTGGCAGCACCTAAGGGGGGGGGGGGCGCTTCATGGGCTTTTAAGCTGAAAAATGGGCCCTTGGCTGAAATGATGCGCAAAAGCCCCAGAGGTAATTTTGTTGAATCGGGGCTTCCGTGGCTGATCCTGAGAGGAGGGAGTCTGGTGCGCTCTCTTCATTTCTGTTTACTTGTTTTTATGCCGTGGCCTTGAAGGGGAGAGACTGGCATGGATGAAAATATGTGCTTGCTACCAGGAGAGGTAGGCTTTGTGTGATGTCTTCTCCTCTCCCCACATGAGCCTCCCAATTCCCAAGCGCTCCCCTTTCTTGGAAGAGGGGTGGTGCTGCTGTCGGTTTGACTGCTCACACAAAGGTTATTCTATATCTGGGCAATGGCTGCGCCTGTGGGATGCTCCTCAAAATTGCCTCCATTTGTCTTTCCTTGCACACATAACAACCTGTCTTCAAATTTCATGCTCTGCATGGAGAGGGGAAGGCAGATGAGCCAGGAATCCTGAGAAACGTAGAGTCTGGGTGTCCCTCTGCTGGCAGAAAACGGCTTCAGACTTCTTGGAAAGAGGGTCAGAACATGGCCCAGGAAAACAGCGCATGCGTATGGCCACCACTTGGCTGCAGTCGGAGCTGGCAAGGCAGCTTTTCAAAGGCATCTAGTTAGATGCTGTAAGAGCATCATGTGTACTTGTGTCTGGGTCTGGTCAGTGCCTGGGTGGGAACTGCTTTGGGTTCCATGACAGAAGGAAGGTGGGCTATAAATGTAAAAGATGAGAGGGGGAGGGATCAAGCAGCAGAGAGATGTCCATTTCAACAGTCACACAGGACGGCATGTCTCTCCCACCAGGATAATCTGCCTTGGCCATTGCCAACTTCCCCACTGGAGATGCAGAGGTAACGGCAGGAGGAACACAGGAAGGTGCCTTGCACAAGTCGGACCCTGGCTCTGTGGAACCTGGTTTTAGGAAGCCCTGCCTGGAGATGCTGCAGGGGGTGGAGACGGACCTTCTGCATGCAGAGCAGATGATGTACCCACTGAGCCGTGTGGCCCTTGCCAACTATACAAAGGATGGGTGCTGAAAGTACCAGTTAGCAGTGGTTCAGGCCAAAGGTCTATCTAGTTCAGCCTTTCGCAACCTTCGCCAGACATGGTTGGACTACAGCTCCCATCCTTCTTACCCAGCATAGCCATTGGCCAGGGATGATGGGAGCTGTAGTTCGAGAACATCTGGCGACCCAAGGTTGAGACAGGCTGATTTAGTCCCACGTGATCTTTTTCACAGTGGCCAACCAGATTTTTCAACTCTATTTTGATAAATCTTATATCTGTTTTTTATGTATATATTATATTTTTTATGTAAAGCGCAGAGAGGTTTTGTTCGCTTAATGGTCTCTGTCGAGAAGCAGGACAGAAGGGCAGTAGTCTTATCATGATGTCCAGTGACAGGCATTCAGAGGCCATCACGGCTCATTGCCGTTGGTAGCCTTGCCCTCCGTGAATTTGTCTTACCCTCTCTGTGTGGTTTGGGCATGTAGAACACACACAATGCATGCCAGAAGCCTGATGTGACACTTGCTCTTAGGTGCATGCAGAGTGCTTTGTCTTCAGTACAGTCCACATGCACACCATCCCAGCAGTGGCAGACCTTAGGGTCTCAAATTCCACCGCCTCTTGCCTTTACATCCTAGCTGCGTCACCCCTTGCAGAACCCCCGAGGCTCTGTGCCCAGCGGACTGAACTCTGCTAAATCCACCTCTGATCCCAGGGTCAAGGGAAGGGTTTCCATTGCCGTGATTAACCCTTGCCTCCACTATGGGAAATGTCCCTGGATCCCATGGCTGCAATTTGGGCAGACTTCTTATCCTCTAGAAGAGGTCCCCTCCAAGGACAATCTCTCAGCAGGGAAATCTGATTCTCTTCCTACCCTTGTTCCTCCCAGATGTATCAAGCAACCCACTTCCTCCTCCGCCTTACCAAGTAGGACCATTTCAAGGGCAGCTGGGGGGAAATGGCCAAGCCTTGGAGGGCCTGCGGATCTCACCAGCAGGGGTGCAATGGGGAAGTCTCTCATTTCAGCAGTTGCTTTTCATGCAGCCCATAGAGGGGCCAAAGGCTTCCTCCCTCACACTAGGAAGACACAGGACCCCTTCCAGTCCCACTCTTGCAGCCTAAACATGGAAGAAAGGGCAGCCCTTTAACTGCTGCGCTTGGATGCCAGGCCAAGAGTTGTGCCACAGAAAGGTTTGTTCCTGCTGTGGTGGCTGAGTTGAGAAGCACCATGGACATCCAGCAAAGGACATCCAATGAAGCAAGCGCACCAGCTTGCCCCCGCAATTGTGGGGGGCGCTGCCAGGCGACGTGGGCATGCCATGTGCACACGCCATGCAACATGCTGATATCACGCGTGCTCTGACTTTGCTTGTGGGGAAGTGGAGACTTTGCACATGACTTTACCACATCTCTGCATTCAGTTCCCCAGCTTCTTTTACTTTCTTATTCGCTGTGATTCCTGCCTTGCGGTGGGCTGGACCAGATGACCCTTGAGGTTCCTTCCAGCTCTACTTTGAATGTCTCTGCTCTGCTCCGTGTTCAGGAGACGCAGCAGGAGGGAATGTTCCCCAGGTGAGGAGAGGAGGAGGTGTGGGACCCAGGCTAGCCCTTCTGGAGGACGCAGGAGACGGAGGGATTATGGCCTCCCCCCGCGCGCCTCCTGTAACTCCGGCTCCCGGTGTTTCTCTGGATATTTATGGCAAGCTGGGAAGGAAGCGCTCGCTCAGTGGCACTGTAGCCACCATGACAGCCAATCAAGGGAACAAAGAAGGATTGGCACAAAGGGGGGAATTTCACTGAGGCTCATGCTACGGGGGGGGGAGGGGCTGGGGGAGAGAAATCAGCGCAAGAGATCTGACTGCCTTGTGGCATGTTCAAATTAAATTGTCTTCAGGAAAAATATTTGCTTAGATCTTTTTTATAAAAAAAAATGTCGGGGGAGAGAGGCGAATAAAAGACACTGGAGGTGCTGCATTCTGCGGAGGAAACGGGGGAAATGGAGGCTGGAGGAGTTTCTCACGGCCAGAGACAGCCACTCGGTTCAGTGTTGCCACATCAAGCGCTGTGAGCCAAAGCTGCGCTCGCTTGGCCCAAGCTGGGCAGTAAGAACAGCTGGGGGGGGAGCAGCCAGTGGCGTAGCATGGGGGGTGCAGGGGGGGTCGGCCACACCGGGCGCAACATCTGGG